AAATAGAAATGAATGCAAAAAATAGTGGAAAAAAATAGAGAAAATCAATAAACCGAAAGCATGAAGCAACAAACAAACAAACAAAAACAGAAAGGATAGGATCAGAGACGAGAGACGAGAGAGTGTGGCAAAACGAGTGGGAGAAGCCAGTGGGGAAAATGCATAACAAACTGTGAAATGAAAAGCCAGAGCTACAAAATTGTGCAAGAAATTATATGCATATACATATATATATATATACGTATAAGGAAAAAAAAAGAGAGCGAAGGGGTAGCAGCGGTAGTGCCTGTGCCTGTGACTGAGCCTGCCCTCTTGCCTCTGAAGTGCACATAAAAATCATTTAAAAACAGCAGCCAAGCAGACACGGAGCAGAGCACAAGCTCGGGGGCAGGACCCCCTCCAGCAGGAGCAGGAGCACGAGCACGAGCAGGAGGTAGCCAGAAGAGCAGGCAGGAGGAGCACTTTCCAGCTGGGGCTCCAAGGTAAGTCCACGTCGCTCTGATTCACTGCAAAAAAATTGAGTTCAACAGAGAGAGAACCCCTAAGCCCTCACCACCTCTATCTGTACGGTGCGCGGGGATGTACACAAAATGGGTCTAAAGTCATAAACTTTTCCCCCATTGCAGCTGATGCCAACACGTTTTCGGCTGCTTTTGCTGTTGCTGTTGCCGTTGTTGTTGCCCCTTGTTGTTGCTGGTTGCTGGTTGCTCAGTGATTTTTCCTGGGCCTGTTACTATGCCACGCTTTACTGGTCTTTTGTTTCCTTCGTTTCGTCTATGACTAACGAGGGAAATATTGGGTTAAGTAAAATATATACCAGTAATAGTACACGAGAGAGTGTGGGCTTGGGTGTGGAAAACAATGGAAAAACCAACTAAAAGTTATTTCCGAAAAAAGCCTGAAAACTACCCTGAAATAAAGCGAAGGTAGGCAAGCTGAAACGACTGAAATTCTTTGCAAAACAATGGGGAAAAAGTCTGAGAACTGCACCGATGGAGAGATGGAAGAAATAAGAACGCCGGGGAATACATTTATACATATGTATGTATATGCAACTCTTTATATTTTAATTGTATTTTTTAATGGGGAATGCAAATGGATTTCCACAGCGCTCAAATTTCTGACTAAGCTACCGTTTCATTTGGATTTGGCCTTAAAATTCATTCCTCATTTTCGTATTATTTTAAATACATTTCTCACGCGACTTCAGAGTATCTTCCAGCTGCCAATCAATCGTGGGGGAGAGGAGGAATGGATGGATGGCCTATGCAACATGCTCGCGTGTTTTGCCATAAATCCAACAAGATTGTTAACCCACCAGAACTCTGCCCCAGAGTGCTGCAGCAGAAGAGCAGCAGCAGCACATCAATCATGAGCAGCAGTCGACGACCCGCAGCAATAATTTTAAATGCCAAGTCAGGCAGGGATTGGGGATCGAGGCGCTTCGAGGCGCGCTTAAAATGTCACACGCCAATCAAAAGCAAAAGCAAACATAAAGCAGAATGGCAGGCTGGCAGTCAGGCAGTCAGGCCGGAGATCGTGCGCCTCGGCTCTCGTGTCATTTAAGTATAAATAAAATATAAGCCCCCCAATCAACCCCCCAACAACAAAATATAATTTCTCAACTTTTGGCAAACATTTTTGGTTGCATATTTTTGGAGGCGCCGCCGCCTTTGCTGCTGCGTTGCAGGAGTATATGTGTGATTTCTTAATTTGTTACAGGAAAAACTTTAACCTACATCCCCCCACCAGGCTCACCCCTCCCCAACACCCAGCCCATTCCCTTGTTTCCTCTCTCTCTGGGTTAAAGTGGCAGGGAAACTTTCCTTTGGCTTTTGCTTTTGCCTTTCCTTTCCTTTCCATGTGCCTGTTTGGTGGGCGGGAGGAAAAACATTTTGTACGTGACTTTTGTAGAAAATGATGGATCAGTGTGGCTGATGGGGGTCGTTGGGGTAGGGAGAGTGCTGGATAAAAGTGAAACTTGTTCCTCCTTTCATTCTTCCTTCCTTCTAATTAATGTCAGTAGCAGCAGCAGCCCTTGGGAGGTTCATATTTCGGTTCTATTTTTGTGCTAGATTGCGCATACGCAGCGCAGCGTACAATGATACCAAAATATTGCGTATACGCACTGCGGGCAGCTGTTGCAGTACGAATTGTAGTAGGCCTGCCTCATCCCAAAAGAGATAGAGAGCAAGAGCAAGAGAGAGAGAAGTGGTACTGCCAGATAGTGAGAGAGAGAGAGCGAGAGCGTAACGATGACCGAAAATTTAAATAAAGCAAAACTCCGTTTTGCCGGCAAACGGCAGAAACTACTATTACTACAACTACTACGCACACACACACATGGAGGGAGGGGGTGCAAGATATACATATCCATATATATATGTATCTGGCATCTGCATGTGTGTGTGCGCTGGTCACTTCCGCTGTAAAACGCATGAAATACGAGGGATTTTTACTACACATCAGCAACAGACATCACACAGCCTCATGCGACACATGCCTCGTATGCCTCGTCTGCCTCGTCTGCCTCTGTGTGTGTGGGTCTGCGGCAATCAATAAATTTTGTGTGTGCAGCAGCCACAACAGCAACAAACGGCAACAACAAAAATTGCTGCTACTGCTGCTGGTGCAGCTGCACTATGAACCATATATGTATATGTATAAGTAGTAGTAGTAGTAGTAGTGGCGTGGCATGAGTATTCCTGTGTGTATCTGCATGTGTGGCACGAGTATATTGCCGGCACAGACAGATTTATAGTTTGTCATGGCGGCGGCAGCATCGTTGGCCAAAAATAGTTGCAGCTTCTCTCTCTCTCTTTCACGAGAAATGCATTTTCGTTCATAAAATCAATAGGCCTGGCTCTACCTCTCTCTTCCTTTATGCTGCTGCTGCTGCTGCAGCATTAGCCGGCCGGTCTTCAGAAAGCTACACACACACACTTTTATGAGTACAGGAGCTGCTCCACCTCTTGACTGCTAATTGCCTGCATAAAGAAGACACAAAAGAAATGTATAAATAAATGCCATTTGCCCCCCTGCCCCATGAACAATACATGGGAAAAATGTCAAACAATTAAGCGGCAATTAGCAGCAAAGGTTGAGAGAGTGCCGCCAGGAGGCAGGCAGGATGTCGTCGTCCTCCTGCCCATGCTGCTACGTGAATGCGTTGCTAAATGTGTCTTCAGCTGAAGCTGCTGCTCAAAAGGGGGTTGGCCATGCCCTGAATTGGGGGTTGGGGCATGAAAGCTGAGAGGCACTTAAGAATGCGGAGGTTACCATGAAGCCGGCATATGCATATGTATGCCTTATTGATGAGGCATGCCCCCGAGCGAACAGCGAAGGCAAGGCCATATGGCACTTTTCTTGCTTCCAAGTGAATTCGGAGAAGATCTTTAAGCGTTGCTTGGAAATCTAAAGCACTAAACACGCAAATATGCTGCAAATCTTCAGTTAACTTTCTCGCATTATACATACATACATAGGTAAGCATATCGGTGGAATATACACTTCTAATGTTAATATTTAATACATGCAAAATTTAAAACTGCACAGCACAATTTTCTATAAATTTAAGCAACTCCTCCTCCTGCACATAGTCCGTAATCTACTTCCACCAAACCCGTTAACACTCCCAAAAATAAACCCATTTCCTGTCTTCACAGCACTCCCAAAATTCACTTCACTTTTTATAAGTATCTCGCGACTAACTTCTCATCAACTAAAACAAATTTGCATGCAATTTTCTCTCTGGCGGAAGCACTTGCACGCGGGCACTTTACCATTTTATGTGTCCAAAAAAAAAAAACAAGCATAGAAAATAAAAGAAGAAACCTTAAAACAAAGTTCTTGTTGTTGTTTTTTTCATGATTTTAGCACGTTGTTGCAATTCAATTTATTTTCAATTTGCGCGCATGCAACGCGGCGGTGAAGAGGAAGGAAAGAGTCCTGGTGGCAGCACGAGGGCACAAGTGCGCGGGGCGGGGGGTGAGCACCATTCATTAGACACAACATTATCAGTGCAAAAGTGTTGTTGTAGCCTTGTTGCATACTTGGCGGAATTTCACGTTCTTGATGGAGCCGGCACACTCACACACACACACACACACACACACATATACTGGTATCAGATATATATATACTGTATATAAGTACTGTTATTTACACGGCACGCACGTTCTTGCCGCTTCTTCTCTTGTTGCTATTGCACTTTCGCCGCCTTTGCATGCTCTTTCGTACACAACGCGAAACTGCAAGCAAGCCCAAAAGACAGAGACAACAACAATACTGCGACGGCGCGCTCTCTTTTTGCCAGAGTGGCTATTGATAACGGTTCTTTTCGGTCTTTGCCATCTCTTTCTCACATCTCTCCCGCTCTCACAGTGTCGCTCATTCGTTTCGCTCTCTGCCCGTCTGTCTGTCTGTCTGTCTGTCTGTCTGTCTGGCACACTTACAATAAGACTTCTCGGCAAAAAGGGAAGAGGAGCGAACCAACCGACAACGAGGAACGTCGAACAGCAACTGAATTCTGATTGCGCTGTCCCGCAGCATTTGTGCATGTTCTTCGTTCACACTTCTCTGGCACATGAATACCAATACCAATACCAATGCCAACATCCTGCATCCTGGTGGATGCTGTGTGCCACTGCGCAGAAGCGCGCTGCGATGGCAACAGGAACGTAGTAAAATTTATAGTAAATTGGATCCCATTCGCATTTCATTCACAGCCCACCAACGCAACCCCATACCCACTGACGAGTAAACGCCGATCGGCAGCAATGCAACTTGTGCAGAGTGCCACTTACTTGAGGTGAGTCACTGTCACTGTCGCTGTACTTTATGCTAATAGAAAGTAAGTTTTTGATTTCAGCGGGCTTTTAGTGACGATTTTTGCCAAATAAACAGAAAAAGGAACTTGCCATGGAACAAAACAGCTGCGCTGCGGCAGGCGTTACACAACACTGCTCAGGCGGCTCGATAAACGCTTTACAACACATTTATCAAACTTGACGCAAAATCCGAAATATTTTATTATGAATTTTACTTGCAATCTGCCCACTCGCTTTCGAGTAAATACGCCTGGGAATATCCAGTAAGTACGGTGTACAAATTAACTAAAATATATGCGCTAGCTTGTACGCAATCATAATAGATTATTTTAGTTGCCAAAAACAAACGGGTCACCCATGACGAGCATCGTTGTCGACGATGCCGCATATAGGCATGAATACTTTCTGCAAGAAGCGCTTATGATTAGCCGCGCCATCACGGACCAGTTGCAGGCAGACGAATGCGTTTTCCAGGATTATCTAGGCGAACTGCGGCATACGGGTATGTATGTATGTCGTGGTGCTCCTCTACACCTGTGTATCTCTTGTGTATCGCCCCCACTGATGTGTGCCCAACTGCAGGTGCCTTTGTGCACGGAACAGACATGGAACTGCCACTGACTTTTGAGGTCTTCTTGCCCATCCGATTGCCCGTTGCGCTGGCACCCAGCTTCGATGAGAAGCAACGCACTGTGCAGCTGCGGAAGCCCGACACGGAGCATCCCTTCTTCTTTGGCAACCTGCTGAACTCCACGAACATGAACCTGCTGCTGGAGCAGGAGCTGCAGCAGGCCATCGCCAGCATAGGCAGCATAGAATCCAAATCGAAAGGCGCTGTGGTGTACGACTTGAGCTACAGGGCGCACCACTTGCGCCGGGTGCCGTTCATGCACCAGATCCTGGCCGTGGAGCGGAACAGCAACGGGCGGCGATGCCTGCGCTTTGACTTCATCCTGGCGATGCTGTTCGAGGGGCCGGTGCTGCCCCTGCCGCCCTACTATGATGCCCCCATCAACTACACGTGGCTCGCCTACACCAAGATCGCCATCGATCGCAACAGCAATCCGGCCGATTGGGGCGTCCTGGTGCCCAAGTGGCAGACACGGGATCTCAAAGCCGCTGTGCTCTGCCACAACGTGCTACTTAACACGCACTGCCTGCTGAGCACCCAGCAGTGTCCCAACTATGTCGCGCCGGGCTGCCTGAAGCTGGGCTTTGCCACAGCCGTCCAGCAAATCAAAGGCTTGGGATATGCAGGCACGCCCATGCAACAGTTCACTGTGTTGGTAAGCCCATCCCTCTGCCCTTCAGTCTATTATATTGATGCTCGTTTCGCAAGTAGATTATGAAAAAATTGGTGGAAAAGAACATATTCCGTGTGGATTCCACCAAAAATGTGAAGGGTGTACTGCTCAATGCGCGCCAGCAGCGTATGCGCGTCGAGGGGCTCATGCGAATGCTAGAAAATCCCCAAGATGAGACGGCCAATAACATTATGAATGCGTACAAGAAATACATCTATGTACCGCCGCCGCCAAAGCGATCCAACAGCGCGCCACGAGGCCTCGACTCGAACGTAGCAAAGCGACGCAATAGCATTTAGAGCAGAGCTTCATTCAGACTTTTAAAACTCAATTGACCGGAAGAGAGTGGACGAGGGTTGTGGGCGAGGCGAGGGTTCCCTTTGGGGGCTTCTCTTGTTATTTGTAAGTGGTTGTGAAATTTGAGTTGAAAGGTTTGAATTGGCCAACCTAATCCTTTCTTGTGTATGCTTGCTGTCAGAGTCTTAGTGTCAAATCTCAGTAATTGAGCAACTTTAGTGCCCACAACCAGAAAAGGGACAAACCTGAGACAAAAGTTAATAAAAGCCAACTAAAAACTAAAGCTCTACGTGCCACTGTTTTAGTATACCTTTTTTCTCCTCCGTTCTTTAGCCTTCCACAAATCTGTGTATGTGGGAAAAAGTTAAATTGCAAATAGCTTGGGCTGGGCTGGGCTGGGACTTAGCTTTGCCCAATGGGCGTGGCGTGGCAGAGTACAGTTACAGAGGGGAAGAGGACATGAAATTTTAGAAAAATTTCTGCTGTTATTGTTAGGGCCAAAACAACAACAAAAAAAGGGGGTAAAAGGCGGGCAAGGGCAGAGCAGTCAGAAAGCGAATGGGTACGGGTACGGGTACGGTACGTGGGGGAGGTTGCATTAAACAGAAAGACACAAAAAAAGTTTTCAGAGTTTACAGAGCGCTTTTGACATTTCATTGTTGTCAACTTTTAACTAGTTTTTTATGCTGTCATTATTTTCAAATGCAAATCGCCTACAGCCAACTCCGAGGGAAATACAGCCAGGTCCCAAAAAAATGGCACAACATTTGTACAGACACATTACTATGTATATATACGAGTAGCTGTGTATATATATATATATATATATATATCCGATTTGATTTGATTCGTTTTGTCTTTAATTGCATTCGAGTGTGTGCCATTTTGTCATATGTTTCGGGATGGGATCGATCCTAGTGATGAGTTAATTCTGTTAATTTGCCAACTGATTCAACCGATTTGATTGGCAGTCCGAAGAGTGTTTATTGCATTTTCCACTTTTCGTTATTTTAATTGCATTTGCCCAGCTCTGCTCTGCTCCAGGACAGAGTTCGCTCAGCTTAAAGTTCTGCTGCAGTAAATGCCAATAAATCAACTGGAGATGGAGATGAAAATTCATCTGCAGCAAAATGAAATCATAAAGAAGTGGAGAGCAGAGCCAGAGCCATTGGAGCTCATAAAACGGAATAGCATGGGCGAAGTGGGAGAGTATACCACTCTAAGCTTAAATTAAAAGCAAAGGTCAGATGGGGTTCTGGTTATGTTTTTCTACTAGCAGCAGCAGCAGCCAACAGCAGCCAACAGCAGCCATCACTTAATATTCTTAATAATATTTTTAAAGTTTGCTCGAATCTAAAATGAAATTCAGCAGCATTTTCTTCTCCTTTTTGCCGCAAACAAGACACAAAGAAAAGTTGCCAAGCGTCGGGAAAAGCGTGTCGAGCAGTGGATGGAATCTTTAATCAAAAAATAATTATGAGCGACAGGGGAGAAGAGAGCGGAAAAGATAGTAGGAGCCAGAGAGAGATTGTGTGTGTGTCCTGGCAGCCAGGAAAATTACATTTGAATTATGACAAAAGTGGGTGGTCGCTGGTCGGTGGAAACGGAAGCTGCCCCGAAATACTGATGTGCAGCAAATGAGCTAAACGAAAAGCGGGAGTGAAATTTGAGTGGCGGCAAGGAGAGATATCAGAACAAATAAAGAGCCAACCACTGCCGGAATTTACGCAACAAACAGAGCGCTGCAAATTGGACAGACAGGGACAATCGCAGGACCTCAAGTTGTACGACCCACACAGTGGGTAGGAGCGTAGCCGTAGCCAGTGTCGGGGAGCTGAAAAAGTTTATGTGAAAAACAGACAATTAATTTGTTTTGCAGCGCCAAAGGGACACCAGCCACAGGACACCAATCGAGGTCTGGGTGTGGGTCTGGGTCTGGGTCCATGCCGCTGCCGGTGTCGGTTCGGAGGGACAAACAATTTCGTGCTTGTTGGCAAAGAAAATTTACTTGCCAAAGACAATTGGAAGCCGACACACAGAGCAAGCTGTTCGAGAAAAGAGGAATTCAGAGTTGGAGTCCAAACAGAGCGAGAGACAGATAGAGAGCGAGTCCGTGAATGAAATGGATAAACATTTTACGCTCTTTGTTTAATTAAAATTGCAACAGGCTACACATGGAGCAACAGAGCCAGAGCCAGAGGTAGAGAACTCTAGAAGGACCATCCCCTGGAAAAGGACCTCTGCAAAGTCAGCGTTTTTCAATTAAGCTTGCATTTCATTTAATAAACAAAGAAAAAGGGCTACAGCATTAGTGCTATTCTCTGCCGGATATTTGCACTTTTTACTCTCTCTCTCTCTCTCTCTCTGCATTTCTTTTGTGTGTGTGTTTTGTCCGGTTATCCCTTATTTGTTTTGTCCCTTTGACATCCTCCGGCTCCGGATCCTGACTATTGTTCTGCCAAAAGAGAAAACTTTTATTGCTGCTATTAAATTACACTTTAAGTGGAAGGCGGAGAAGTAGGAGGAACTACTGGCCTTATCAACGGGTGAATGTGAATGTTATTACCTGTTCCATCTGCTGTTCAGTGCCAGTGCCACGTACGTGTTGGCATATTCATTCACCCATCCAGGCATTCATCTGCGCCCAGGAATTCTGCTCATATTAAACGACAGAGAAACCAAATGGATATCCTCGTACGTAGTGTATCACGTTCCAGTCATTTGGCGGATGCCACTTCATAATTCAATAAAACAATAAAAAAAAAAAAAAAGAAACCCGAATCCCTACAAATTACAACAATCAAATCATGCGAGTGGCGGATGTCCCTAGCATATTTTCATAAATTGGTCACAATTTGCTATGCCACAAGGGCCCCAGGACACGCACACACACGCACACATAAGCACATGGCGGGGCGTGGGAGAGAGCCAAAATTATGACGCCAAGGATAATCGTCTGAAGGCGAGGGATACGTGAGGCGACTTCGCCTGAGCCAGGGACAGAGACACGTGTGGGAGGGAGTACGTGCATAGCTTTCGACAAGTTTTTAGAGCTGTTTGCAATGCTTTATTGGGGTAGGGGATATATTCATATTTCATGTGTATCCAGTGCGTGAGCAGAGGATTTTCTCTGCGCTGTGATGTGACGTGTCTGCGTGTGGAATGTCACTCCGAGACGATCGTAGATGCACATTTCAGGCAGACAATGAACTGTGCATTTACGACAACGCTCTCGAGAGGATCTTTGTAGGTACTATACTATGTGGGCGCCTTCTCTGGATTATTTTATACTAGTCTATAGATATTCTGTGTGTGGAGCCTTCCCATGGGGTGAGGGGCATTTACAATTTGTAGATGGCATTGACATTGGGTCCATGCTGCACCATGGCATCCTTGTGCACCTGGTACTGGATCTCCACAGTTCTCAAGTTCAGCATGATCTTCAACTGATGGCCCAGGGACATCACAGCCGTAGCATTGCACGCGTTCTTGGTCCAGAGAGCTGCAGAAGAGATTGTATAAATAATTCTAGATACTGTTTAGAGAGTGCCACGTTTAGTACTCACACAACTTGTTGGCCTTGTTGCGCACATTGATGACAACGCCGCTGATTTCGTCCGAATGTTGGAAGCACTCGCCAATGCAGCACAAAAGCTGCAAACACACAAAAACACCATGAGTCGGGGGCATTTTTAATGCTAGCTAACACTGCCACAAACTCACCAAATCATGCCACAACTTGTCACTCATGACCTTGGTGCTTTTGTCCAATATCATAATCCAACGGCCGCCATCCTTGTTGACATCATCCTCCCACATGGGACTGAAAAAAGAAATATGAAAGCCGACATCAAATACCAGCAAAAAGACACTTGCAGATGCGTGAAAAAACTTACCGCACTCCCTGCTTGAATACCATATAATCGTTGAAGACGCGCAGATCAGATGGTGGCTTAATAAAATAGTAAACACTAACCACACACACACACACACACATGTATAGAAAAAATATTTATATATGTAAGCGAATTTTCTGCATCAAGAAAAACTCACCTAAAAAAATCCTCAACTGTGTTGAAGCTCGTCACTTCGTTAAGCATATCGCTCCAGGCCTTGGAGCGATCATTCTCCCAGTGCCACACCGTCCAGGTGTGCTCCAGCGGATGCTTTACCAGCAAATCGTCGTCCAGCAGGCTACGCACGTGATTAAACGAAGAACGCTCCAATTGCAGCTCCTCCTGCTCATCGACCATGAAATTCACGGGGCCCGACATGGGCATTGGCATGCCCATAGTTGGGGCCATAGCATAATCTTCGTAGCCAGTAAACACCATCTTGATTTGCTTAGCTCTGCAATTTCTTTTTTTGCTTTTCGCAGATTATTTTTAGTTAATTTTTTCTCGAGTTTTTATATACTTTTATAGAAAACTCTATGCACTTATGGAATTGTGTGTTTGCACAGCAGCTGTATATTTAGTAATGATGAAAACTGAGAAAAAAAAGCGCACTCAATACATTAACTCTTCGCCTACTTTTTATTTTTTTTCGATGCTCAAAGTATCGATTGGCGATAAGTACTTTGCGCAGGTCGCAGTGCTACCCATCTGATCAAATGCAGTGTGACCAACTCAGCCCGAAAGTTTAAATCAAATGTAACGTGCGGCAGAGCCACAGCCAAGGGTCTATCAATTGAAATGTCACGCTAATAAAATAAAATGCCACCGAGCATACGATAAATGCACGAAAATAATAAAATGTGACTCAAATGAGCAACGGCGACAGCAGCCACAGACAACAGCAGCCAGCAGCCAGCCGCCAGCAGGGAAAGGCGAAAGACGAAAGACGAAACCAAGACCCAGACATGGGACCCTCTCCTTGGCTGGAGCTGGCGTCTGCCCCAGCACTTGTGCAACAGTTTGGCCTCCAGTCAATAATCGAAATCGACTCGGGCTTGTGGCAATAAAAATTTGTCTTCGCCGCTTAAGTTCTGCGCCTTGTTGCACACAGCACTCCTGCCTTGCGCTGCTCTCTGCACTTCCCGCTGTGTGCCAGTGCAGATAATAAAGTATGTGAGTCGCTACGTGGCAGCTTCTCTGGCGTTCTGTAAAGTAGCTATGGGGCCCCTTGTAATGTGCACCATTTGTTGCCGGGAGTATGGTGGCACAGAAGCCGCTGTGGCTTTTGGTTGCTTGCAGGAGCCGTGTCTAGAGCTACTGCTGCTGGTTCCTGCTGCTCGACTGAGTTATGTTGGCCAAGTTTTCGGGGTACAAAAGTGTTGGCAATGTTCCTACTTCTGGTCTGCTCTGCTCTGGTCTGGTCTAATATATCTCTCTGTGTGTGCGGCACAAATAAGTTGCCTGCTTCAATTTACTTAAAAATTCTATTTATTTTCAGTCTTAAGCAGTTTTCTCCGGGGAATCGTATGCATTTTTAGGCACCTCCAAGTGTAGATATTTTCACTTGATTACGATAATAAATTCAGGAGCTGTGGCAAATTGAAATGACTCTAGAATTGCGAGCTGCACGCCACGCCTCGTTGATTCCACACTTGTTTCTGGCAAAACTTAAATTCTACGAGTAGTTCTGGAATAGTTTTCCACACCCCACCCCACCGCACCGCACCCAGCAATCTACACTCTTCCGAAGCTTAGTTATGCTTTGTTGAATCTGACTTTGTGCAACGCTTCTCAGGTGGCACTTTGGAGTATACGCAATATTTTACAGCTTTTTGCACTTTGCTGGCTGAGCTGAAAATACATGGTCAGTAAATCTTTTAAAATATTGTAATGTGCCTCAACTTCTAGTGGCAGCTATAAGAGTGGGGGAGGGGTAAAGCAAGCAGGTCTCTTTCTCCCTCTCTGTTCCTCTCTGTTCCAGCTTAAGCGCTTTGCTTTGAGTGCCGTAGAGCAGTAAAAACGCCCACAGACTTGAGAATATGGGAGTAGGAAAAGCGCGTAAATAGAGCAGGAAGCCGGAACGGAGTCCGCCCCAGCTCGTCTTGGGGCTTGGAGGCAGCCGCACCAGCCGCACCAGCAGCAGCAGCTCAGTGCAGACAAGCGCATGCAAGAAATGAAAATGATTTGGGGCATTATGTTTGCCTCCTCCGGACTCCATTTCCACCGTCGCTTCTGCTTCAGCTTCCTTTCCGGTTCGGTCTTTGGGCTCTGTTCTGTTCTGTTCTATTCTGTCTTTTTTTTTTCCTTTTTTGGCTACAAAATTGCTTTGGTTTTCCTTCATGTTGATTGTAAAAGATTTCAGCGTTGAAAGCACAAAGCAGGCGATGATGTACGAGACGACGCACGTCGTACATTTTGCACCTTGAAGTGGCAAGCGAGGAGCCAGGATGGGAGCACTACAGGAGCAGGGGCAGACAGCCACATAAAACAATAAAAAGCAATGGTAAATGCCAAGGATATGTAGCCCGGGAGCCACACAGCCACAGAGGGACGACGACAACACATCCTGCAGCACCTTGAGGCCAACCCAACTGACAAAAGCTTCCTGTCTTCCTGTCGTCCTGCCCTCTCCACCTTCGCCTCATCTGCCGCGCATCTGGGCAAAAACTTCGAGAAGTTGTACAAGGCAAAGCTATGTACGTACGTGTATGTACATACATATATTGTGCTAAATGCTTCGGACCAGGATGCCTCTGGGCGATGGCAACCAAAGCCTTAACCATAGCCGTAACCATAGCAGGGGCCGACGCCGGGGCCAGGTGAAAGTCATTTCACGCTGGGTGTAGCGCAAAAGATTAAAATAATAGCAGCGCGTAAATTAAACAGCCCGTTGGAGCTGGAGTAGGTGGCTCAGAATGGGCAGACGGGCGTCAGAGTCATTGAAGTGGCAGCCATCGAGAAGCAGGACCTCTCTCCCGTTTACATCCTTTTGTTTGGCGCTGCGGTCTGCGCTAAGATGCTTACCAGGTGTACGCCTCGGCTGTCGTGTGTCCGCCATGGACGTTCTCTTGGGCTTGTGGGGCGGGGGGAAAGAGACGCCTGACAGCATCAACCGCATTGCGTTGTCAGCACTTCATTTTGATCCTCCAGCATGCCGCGTGCTTCACTTAATGCGACGACAGCCAGCAGCAGGATGAAGGGGGGAGATGGTTTGGGAATGGCATGGCACGGCATACCAGAGTGGAAGAGGAAGGCAGAGGAGGGCAGAGACTGCTGGCTTCTTCATCATGCACATAACTACAAAGGCGGCTCGGCTGCATTTCTTTGGTGAGCAACCAAAAACAAAAAAGCTTGACAAAGCCGACAGAGATAACGAAAACGATTTTGTAAGATTATAATTAATTAAAGTCCAAAGTAAACACTCTTGAGGCTATGATCAATATTAGTTTTATTACACATTTCTGTTAAACTAAACATAATTAAAATCGGATTTGACATTTTTGTCGCCTGACTGCAACTGTGCATTACACATCACGTCTGCATGCGTATTATACTCTCTCTCTGTCACTTCCCGCTGTTCCGTAGGTTGGTTGAACTCCCTCTCTCACTCTCTCTTCTGCTAGGCAGGTAGGTGGGTGAGAGAATACTGTACAGTTTGAAGAGAGAAATATTTATGTGGTGCGGGTGAGGGTGTGAGTGCAATGGCGATGCTTCGCTGAGCTGTTCTTCTGTCCTCCACTCCCTCTCTCCCGCACCTATCTTGCTGCGCTGAGCTTCTGCGTCAACTTGTCTTGCTCCGCACACTCCTCCAGTTTTATGCTTTATGTTTGCCAGTTTCTTAGGTTCTTTGTTGCTGTTGCGTTTCGCCAGGTACTTTGCTTTTGTTCGATGAAACGTAAAAATAGCAACAAGCAAACGAAAACTCATTTCTAGACAATACCGCATAATTCCAATGGTTACCAGAGGATAAAGTACAATATGATGAGGTGAGGTGAGGTGAGGTGAGGTGAGGGAGAACCCAATGTCTTTTTGTTGTGTGTTGTCTTCCATGCTTCTCCCTCGCCTTCGCCTTCGCCTTAGCTGCTGTTCACATTTCGTTGCGTCTACTGTACAAAAGCAACCGCAAGAAGTTTCTTACGCGCCGTCAGTTTTTGTAATGAAAGTGGATGCTGCCTATGGCTTTCTCTTGCCCCTTTCCGCACCCTAATTTCACTCGGGGAACACCCTCGTTACCCTCACGATTATTCAAGCGCAAAATGTACCGTAATCTCTGCCAGCATATGCAGAAACTTTTCACACAGGAGGGCGGAGCAGCGGACAGAGATTGCCCTCGGGCTACACGCACTCCTTAAACTTTTAACCCTTCTATGTTTGCTCTTACACAAACACACACACACACACACATGCACCTACACAAAAACATGCCAACACACACACACATACACTTGCACTTTGGACCGGAAGGAAGGAAGCCTGTTGCTGGCTTCGGTTGTTGTTGCTTTTCTTTGCCGGTCATTTACGCCCATTTAGCCGCATTTAACAAAGTCAACAATAAAGTCAAACAGTTCTCGCTGCCTGCCTGCCTGCCTGCCTGCTGCCTCCTGCCTCCTGCTACTGCTCCTGTTTCGGCCCTCTCCTGGAGAGTGGCATGGATAGCTTTTCATAGGGGGTAGAGGAGGGATTACCAAAAACCAATAATTGGAAAAGTTTTTACTCAGAGGATATCCCCCTATACATATATACATATATCCATACCTCTATCCTATATCCTAGCCTTTTTTATTCACATCGGCTTATCTAATCCGTTGAATTTCCGCCAACAAATTCATTCCCGTAAAGGAACTTCTCTCTTAACTTTTTTTAAACTTCAAAAATAACCTAAATCTTAAATGTCTATAGTAAGTGTTCCACCAGAGTCTTCGTCTGTCATTAAATATTGATTAAGCACATCAGAAGGCAGCCGTCCGCGCCCTCTCTTCCTTCTAAGTCAAATGTCATCAAAATCATCATCATCATCCTCGTCGTCGTCGTCGTCGTCGTCATTTGCTGTTCCCTGGCTATGTTGACGCATTTGGGTTTCAGGCCTCATTAGCGCCAGAAACAGCCGTCCGATTCGGCTCACAAATTGTGCCAGCATCAGGTGTCAATTTTAATTTACTGCCAGAGCCAAAGCATGTCATCTCCGATGTTTGTTTGCCCTGGCGGTTGTGCAGGGTGGGTGGGGGTTGCTTTCGGGCGGAATGTTAACCCATATTTTGGTGGCTTGCGGCTGCTGTGGTTCCTGCGGTTATTTCGGTACACAAGTGCGGCATGAGTGAGCGAAGGAGGGCAGTAAAGACATAACACATCCAACCATTCCTCCTTCAGCCATCTATAGCTGAAGCAACCATCCATGATAGCTCCTCATAGCGAATCCTCATTGATATGCAGGCCTCGGCATCGGTATTGGCTGGTATTGGCGGGTATTGGCTGGTATTGCCTCGACATGTAGCAATAATTGAACGCTTAGCCACGAAAAACCGCTCGCTAATGGAGCACTTTAAATATGCGCGTCCCAATGCCATATGCATGCTAATCCCCAGCCTCGAGCCAACCGACTCCCAGTCCCAGACAATGCCAAATTCCATTGATTCTTAAACGTTTACTTCACAAACAAAATCACAAAGTGCGGGGGCTGAATGGGAAATAAATGCCAAACCATGACAAGTACGATCATGGTGCACTATTTCGCAGGGATCGGCAGGTTTACTTCTTCAGCAGCAGAGGGGCAGCGGCGTATGGACGGGCCACATAGGGCGAGCTGTAGGCCAAGGGAGAGGTGTAGGCGGCGGCATAGGGGGAGGCGAACGGCGCAGTGTAGGCGGCGGCATAGGGAGCAGTGTAGGCGGCGGTGTAGGGAGAGGCGAGACGTACCACTGGAGCGGCGTATGCAGCGGAAGCAGCAAACGGAGCGGCAACAGGTGCGGTGTAAGCGGCCGCAATCGGAGCGGTATAGGCAGCAGTGTACGCAGCAGGGAAGGCGGCGCTATGTGCCACCGAGTGGGCGGTGTAGCTGGAGGCATAAGGTGCCACATAGGCGGCGCTTCCCACCACAGCCGGGGCGGTGTAGGCCAGCGGAGCGGCGGCCAGAATGCCTGGCTTGGCAGCAGCCACGGCCACAACAGCGAAGAAGCAGACAGCAACCTGGAGGAATGAGGAATAAAGGATGAGATCGTGGCTTGGAATTGGGTGGATCCTCTGAATACTTACGAGTTTGAACATTTTGATTGTTGGGTTTTGGTGTTTGGTGTTTGTCTGGTGGGGTGAGATTGTCACTTGGTGGATGAGCTGTGGCTGTGTGATGTCCAACTGAGAGCCACTCGACGCTTTTATAGCCACTTACACTTTTCGGGCCGCCGCTCCATGGGGGCTGACTCATTGCCCATGCGGATCACGCCCCGTAGAGTTGTGCATATGGATGGGTTGGATTCATGGATGGATTCGAATGTTTGCCAAGTCAACGACTGACGAGCTGACGTTGCGCATGCGCAATTCTTGGCTAGATTTTGTTGTAGATTTCCAGTTGGTCAAGCTAGGCCTTTGGCCATGTCTTGCCAGTCGTTCCAGTACGAGTACGAATACGAGTGTGTGGAGTGTGGTGTGTGGTGCGTGCCTTTGCGTATGGCCCTGACCTTGGGGGCTGCACTGCTCTAAAACGGTCTGAAACGGTAGCCACTCGTACAATCTTATTTATCGCATTTTATGATTACTTCTTGAATGTCATAGAGCAGCAGTAAAAGCAGAAGCAAAGTTCGCTGCCGATTCCGCTTCATTTAAGTTGGGTCTTGGCTTTAATGAGCCTTGCAACCGCCCCACAGATTATCCCCACAGATTATCCCGGCTAATCACAGTCTAATAAACAGCTTGCAGCCACTGGCAAAAATTAATTAATAAATGTCATAAATTGTTGGAGAATTGTAAAGGGCAGAGAGAGAGAAAGGGATTGCATGTCAGAGCTTAAAACTCCACTAATTAGAAATATCGAGTGGAGAAATATACCCGTGTGTGTGTGCAGCGGGGTGAGGGTGTACATATCACACACACATCCTTATGCATTATACCCATTCGCTGATTCAACACACACACACTCATACACTCACTTACAGACTCGACTCGACTCGAACACACACTCACTCGCAGCAGACTCACACTTGAAAAAGTGTTGAAGCGTGAATTTTGCTTAAAAATGCCAATTACGCGAATTCTGAAATGCAATGGATTGAGGAGGGGTGATGGGGAGAGAGCAAAAGGGAATGGCAAGCTGAACTAAGGGATGAGCGGCGGTGGCAAGATGGTAGCTATGATGGGGCGGCTGTGGGGGGTTTTTGTGTGGAAACTGTTGGCTGGCAAAATTGTTGCCAGTTCTGTTTTCGACTGTTGCTTGAAGTACTTCCATTCCCTGCCACTGTTGCTGAGGCTTCCTGTACATCCTGCCACAGCATCCACAGCATCTCCTGTGCTTGGTGACGCCACGCCACTCGAGTGTTTGCCATGTGACTGTGCATACGAACCAGCCTATTGCTCCCACTCTGGCTAACCCTTGCGTGTCTGAGCGGTCTACTAAATGCACAATCAGGCTGCAGGACTTGACAGGCAACATTAAATTGGAATCTGCTACCCAGAAACCGCAGGCAGAGGCACAACATATTTGTTTTGACACTTGACTTGGGGCATGTGCCTCATCATCATCAGTTGCAGCAGCTGCAGCAACCGCAACAGCAACAGCAGCTGGAGCCGCAGCCATTTTGCTTTCATTGTCAAGTTTGTGTCGAGGACTTGCGACTAAAATTATTATATTGGTTAATCCGTCTAAAAGCTTTGATGGGCTGCATTTGCCACCCCCACTGTGGCAACTCTCAAGTGGCACAAAGAAGCAGCAGCAGCATATCAAAGGGTAACACTCCCACCCCCCTCTAATCCCAGGGGAACCAGCAGGGCTAGATGGATTCATGAGTGGCAAGTGCGCAAGTAATTAAAAAGCAAGAAATTTCCACACAAAAAACCAAAAAAAAAAAAAATCCAAGCGCACAAAATTTGCTCCTTTTTGACGGGGACAAAGCTAAGGACGAGGGCGCCCCCAGAACCCTGAAAACCAAATAACCATAAGAAATGGTTTACTCACACTGATGCACGACAAGGTACTTATTAATTGCAACTTGTAGAATAACTAAAAAATAAAGAAAACATTTTTACGGATTTAATTTATTTGTTTAATGATTTTGTTTTGTTTTTTTAAATCAAAAAAATTCCAATGAATTTTCATGGTTAAAATGTACCCCATTTGGGCATACCTAAAAAAACCCGCTTATATGCCCTTATTCTAGGGTATTTCGCAAAGAACTTTTGAACAAGTTCCGTGAAATATTCGCGCCACTTTTGCTCTTTTCGCAGACCCGGACTCGACTCGGGGCCCGGCTCCAAGTTCAGTTTATTGCCATCATAAAGGCCCAACTGCCGCCGACTTGGGGCAGGGCCGGGGGGCAGGATAGGCGTGGCAGCAGCTGTGCGTGCGCGTTAATGCGTCGTTTAAGTGCCGTAAAAAGTGAACGGCACACATGACACCCCCCAGTCCCAACATCAAGAAGAAGTCTATTAAAGAAATTTTGTTTTGAATTTGTCTAGAAAATACCAGCGACATTTTGGCAGGGGCAGAGACAGGGGTACACAGGAGGTACGAGCATGTACGGTACATGAGGCAGGCCTTTAAGTGGTTTCCACAAATTATTCATGAGAACAATGGCAGCCTCCGATGATGAGGGTAGCGGCAGGACCTTTCAAAGGTTGCGAAGGGATGGCAAAAGGTTTCCGCAGAAACGATTCGAATGCTGTGGCGGAACAATGAACTAGTTCCTGGGGCTAGGGCTGCCCAGCTAATGCCAGAGGTACTGAATAATTGAAGCAAGGAACATGGATGATGCCCCATGATCATAATTGGTTTACGGCCTTTGTTCCGCCTCGTGGCACGACGCATTTCAATTGCCGCCAAAGTCAAATCAAATTACGCCCCAGCACGTGCCGCCAGTGCGTGGCCAACAATGGATTGCCATTGCCCCCCGTCCGTTAGCCCAGCGATTGGTTTAGGCCACGAAACTGGAACAGCGGCGTCGGCCAAGTCTCGGCCAAGTGGCGCAGCTCTGGGCAGCGATGTTCGGTGCATTTGTAAGCGCGACCTTCGCTCGGCCTCCCCCTCAATGGATGTGTCATGTCGCTGGCTTTGTGGCTTATAAAAACTGCAGAGCTCCAGCAATCGAACATCAAACAGAGCTCACAGCTTCAAGCACTCACAACTATCCTCCAGAGCAAACCAACAAAAACCCCAAAACCATCAACATGAAATACGTAAGTAACCCAAGGACTTCCCATGGATATGCCACAGATTTTAATGCTCATCTTCAATCCTTCAGTTCGCTGTCTGCTTCTTCGCTGTTGTGGCCGTGGCTGCTGCCAAGCCTGGCATTCTGGCCGCCGCTCCGCTGGCCTACACCGCCCCGGCTGTGGTGGGAAGCGCCGCCTATGTGGCACCTTATGCCTCCAGCTACACCGCCCACTCGGTGGCACATAGCGCCGCCTTCCCTGCTGCGTACACTGCTGCCTATACCGCTCCGATTGCGGCCGCTTACACCGCACCTGTTGCCGCTCCGTTTGCTGCTTCCGCTGCATACGCCGCTCCAGTGGCACGTCTCGCCTCTCCCTACACCGCCGCCTACACTGCTCCCTATGCCGCCGCCTACACTGCGCCGTTCGCCTCCCCCTATGCCGCCGCCTACACCTCTCCCTTGGCCTACAGCTCGCCCATTGCTGCCCCAGTGGCTGCTGCATACAGCGCACCCATCGCTGCTGCCGCCGCCGCCCCTCTGCTGCTGAAGAAGTAAGCCCCAGCGTGGAGTCCCTGGCGTCTCTGACCAATCTGTGCAAATAAACAATTTCATATATCAACGAGCCACACTTCTCTTTCTCTTTCTCTATGCGTACATTCTGACAGCGAAATGAACTGCAAACTTGGACTCCATTCGAGTTGTTTGTGGCACCAATTTGTGCTGCACCCCCTCCGCTCTCTTATCGAGAGCCAAGCATCTCATCTACTCCACTGCTCCCCGAAAACTTTTGCTTGGATTAAACTTTCCATTTAAAAGGATTTCTTTTCTATATGAAATATGCTTCCTTTCGGCATTTCCTGTGCGCTCTTCTTTCTTTCTTTCTCTTTTTTCTTTGCACCCCAGTCAAGTTTTCTGGTTGACTTTGTGCAGCGCGTTGAAAGGCAGCGCCTGGAGGGGCACAGAGTGGAGCTGCTGCCCCTCTGGCATGGAGTTCGTTCTCCTGCTGCTGCTGCTGCTGCTTATCAAAACTTTGGCATCATCTTCTGCCGGATGGATGCTGTGTCCCTGCTGCTGCTGCTGCCACCCACCTGCCTCCTGTGCTGTCTGCACGGGTAGTAAATGCCAAAGTAGTTGTAAAGTTTCCTACGCAAGCGGAAAAGGCTAGTAAAATCCAGGTAAAAGCAGCGAAAGCATTAGGTGGCGGGCGGGGCTCTGTGTAGGTGCCCCATTTCCACAAGTTCTTGCCATAGATAGCGTCCAAATTTAATGACCTTTTATTCAATAAAAGTGCGTCAAGCACCAGAAAACTTTTCTATGTGGAACTCTACTCTATCGCAGCTTGTCATCTGCTCCTCTATTTTGTTGCCTGTCCCCCAAAAATAAGTTGGCAAAAGCGAAGAGTTTTTAGCAGCCAAAATGATTATTAGGGGGGAATTTTGTATGCTAAGTGGGCAAAAATTAAAGGCAATGTCCAATGGAAATTCAGCATTTGCAAGCTCAAACAACAAATGACAAAAGTTCTTACGATTCCCCCCAGTAATCCCCATAAAGTCAAAGGTGTAACTACACTTATGGCGAGTGCTGTACAGCCAACTGGCGAAGCCATAAAACTGAGTAAATGAAATTTGTATTCACTTTATATAATTTTGACGATTTTTCAAATCAAATAAACACCAACAAGCACACACACGTAGATACATATGCAGATACAGATACAGATACACTCGTTTATATATGTATGTATATATATACAACATATGGAAAAAGCTTCCCTTCTTGTGTGTAGCCAGCAGACACACACAATCATGTGCAAACGTGTTTTTCAAATGGATTACATGAATAAAAGATTTATACACGTAAGGTAAATCAGTAGCGGGCTACCGAGAGATACTCCACGCAGACAAGGATGCCGATGCCCCATGCCCCATGCCACACGATTCTTCGCTCTCCTCTCTCTCTCTCTCTCTCTCTCTCTCTCTGCTGCTGCCAAAGACGTGTGCCAAGTGAAAATATGCGCAGATGTAAGCAAATTTGAGCAACGAGTCACGGCGGGGGGGGGGGCAAAAAGCAAAACCCACAGAACAGTTGGATGCCCCATGCCCCATGCCCTTTTTTGCCGTTTATTGATTTGCTTAACATTTTATGTATTTATGCGGCCGAGTGTTGCCACTTTGATTTCGCTGCTGCCAAATCGAATCAGAGCGAGAAAATATCATTAAAACATCAAAACACACACACAAACGGGAAGAAGAATAAATTTAATCGCATAAAAGTACACAGAAATCTTTAGGTTAATCCTAATCATGATCATGATCATCATCATCATCAGCGTCTCAGATATGAGTAGTAGGGATACGTGGCGTATGCGCCATAGACCGGTGCATACGCATACGACGCGTATGCCGGATAGCTGGCATACGCCGGATAGTAGGTCGATGGTGCAGCAGCCAGCCAGGCACTTCCTCCCGTTGCATAATTCACTGGCGATGTTAGCAGCAGCTGCGGCTTTGCACTGCTAAACTGCAGCAGAGTAGCCAGCAGTGCGAGCTGTTCAGGGATTACCGATTCACATATGTATTACGAGGCATATCCACATGAGATCACGGCAAATCCCGGAAGCTATTACTCACCAGCAATATTTTGAAGAACATATTTAATTAGATTTCCTTTCAGTTAATACTCCTGTGACTGCTCTTCGTTCAGTTCCTGCTTCCTTTGAATCGATCTTCCTTGGGTTAACTCGACCCTCTTGTAGTTCTTTAACGCGTGGAATTCCAAAATTAACTGACTCAATGCTCCGACAATTCAATCATATATATAGCCTCTGACCAGACCTATCAGAATCGCCAGAGAACCAGTGAGCGAGAGAGAGGGCCCTGAGAAGTACTCCCATCCCATTGATATTGCCCGGCCTCAGCGCGCTGAGCGGCATAAATTATAGAATAATAAGTAGAATAAATACTCAATGAAAAGATCCTCACCCAAAAGCAAACCTGATCAAATTGAGAATACTCTATGTGGTTCCAGAATATACATATATATTAATTCCATTCTAAGCGACGCGTCGCATTGCTTTCCCCTTTGCTTTCCCTTTCGCTCAGCACAATTAAACCATATTTAGCTACACTTCCTGCTGCGTCACAAACCCCACCAAGAGGTGCACAGATAATACCCCAATTGATACTCGGATACCCTTCGTTTTTGACTGTCGCGCTACCTTCTTTGGTCCGTCATTCATTACACAGCCAACACGGCAGCTCGGAGCCCTGCCAGTCGGCCGGCGTCATTTGCCACTGTGCATAAAATATTTGCGTTTATTTAGACGTTGTAAAAATTATAATTATGTGTGCGTGCCTGCCATGCATATGAGCCTCAAAATCAAACGCTGAAACAAAACCATATTTTGTCGATCAATTCTGTTAGATAAGAGTGCTCCCAAGGGCGGGGGCAGACTGCTGCTGATGTCTTGCTTAAATGTGGAGGGACCTAAAGTCTTAGGACAAACACAACGACGATGGCGATGGCGATGGCTTTAAGCCCTGGCAGACAGCAGAATTTTGCAACTGAGCAAACAATGTTGTGATATAGCAGGGTGGCTGGCAGCAGGGGAGTTCGAGGGTGTATGGAGCATGTTTCGCAAGCTATAAATAATTAATTAATGCAGACGCAGACAGGCGAGTGAGAAGCGTTCTATGCAAATTTCTGAATATAGACCATAAATTTTGCCCCAACCAAAAGCTGATGAAGCCATCATTAATGGCAGAGAGTTATAGCTTTTACGACTATATACACATACATATGTACATATACATGTATATAGATATTCTATACTTATAGTTTAGTTATTTATGTACATAGTTTGCATGACTTTAAGTTGGGTTTTCAGTTTGCAGTGCAATTCCAAAGTGAAGTTCAGTGACCACTGAACACCGCTCGACTTCCCCTGGATGGATGGTCACCCCCCCTGCCTTGACCACGCCCTGTCAACTCTGGGCAGTACTTGGAACAAACTGCTTTTAGCGACAGTTTTTCTTTTTTTTTTTTTTGTATTTTTCGTTTTGTTTTCAGCATGTTTTATTTTCTTTTTAGTGCTAATTTCCAGTTTGCTTACAAAATGGCAAATGCTGCCCCAGCTGGCAGCCATTTTCCTTGTATTTCGCTTTGTTATTAATACCCTGTGGGAGTGGAAATAATAGAGAGGTATGCGGTGCAGCACGAAAGTTGAATGGCAGGGAAAAACCTTTTATTCAAAATATACAAGCCAATATATGAGCCAATATACGTGTGCTGTAAGGTGAATTTTATTTTACTTGGCCAAGATTCGCTTTATATTTTGCACACGAAAGTCTCTGCATGACTACATACAGTTCCCCATGACAGATGTGTGCGTTATGGGGAATGATCCGGCTGGCTCTGCCGATGAGTAATCGAACTACATATTGAAAGAAAACTAAGCGCAAACTGTGACAGATACGGGTATCCCTTTATGGGGAAATAAATAATTAATATTCAGGAAAATCGAGGCTTTTATAATCCTTTTACTGTATATATTACATGCAGTATATATCCTGGTAGCAAGCCAGAGCCCAGCTTGGCCATCCCAAGTGCCACACTCCACGCAGCACAGCCAGACGGACTCTGCTTGGCATACAATTAGCCCCTCGGCTGAGTCCTCTACAGGGTAGCGCACAAGTCGACAGCTCCTGTTCTTCAATACCATTTCAGCTTTCCGTGTTTTGTGCGCAAAGCAGCAGCGGAAACATTGCATAATTAAAAAAAAAAAAACACCCAGCTACTGCTCTTTAGCGAGTAGATTGTTTCTTTATTTTGTTGCATGCCCGAAACCCTACCTGCCCCCGCCCATTCCTACACCTTTAATTTGTTTGCTGTTGCCAGGTCTTTTTTAATAAAGCGTAGTGTTTAAATGAAATTAATTAATTAGCTGCGCGGCCTGGCGTTGCGCCTCGACAGCTTCTCCTGACGGCGGACCAGCTTATTCAAGCCCTTTACGAGCTTCATGTACTTCTCGTCGAGCTTCCCGAGCACCTGCTGCAGCTGCTGGTCCCGGATCTTGCCCAGACAGTGCTCCACCCACAGCTCCTTCAGCTTGGCCGTGTGCGCCATCTCCTCCAGTAGCGTGGCCTTGCGTGTCTCAAACAGCTGGTCCAGCTCTTTGGCACTCCGCGGCGTCAGAATGGGTTCACTTTTGGCGCACACGGACTGACGGTAGAGGCTCCAGACGCGCTCCCGTCGCAGGCGCATCTGCTCCTGCAGCCACCTTGAGGCCATCTGCTCCAGGCGACGGTCCAGACAGCGCAATCGCGAATGTCCCACGCCCACCTGGCACTTGCTGAACACAGCCGAGAAGAACTTCAGGCTGTGGGGAGCTCCGCTCCAGCGCCTGAGACGCTGCATTCCGCGCAGGACACCGCTCTCGAAACCCTTCAGCAGAAATTTGAACTGCGCGCCATCTGCTGGGCTCTGCCTCAAGCGGCCATCTTCATGGTAGTACTCCAGGCACTGACGACGCAGTTCCTCGTTCCTTTTGGTCAGCATTCGAACTCTTTCATCCACAGAGGGGCTTGGCATTGAGCCTTCCTCTTGCTCTTGCTCTGTCCTCTGGTTTGCGGCTGCCTTACTCCAAATCTGCTTCTGATCTTCCAGTTGAGGTTTTAAGTTTGATTCTCCATCTCTTGGCGTCCATTCGGTGGTAGCGTCTTTGGTATGAGGCTCCTTGTGGCGTTCACTCCGGATCTGCTTCTGATCCTCCAGGACTTCGCACCCTCGAGGTGTGCTTCCTGTTTTGGCATCCTCCGAACTCTTCTCCCCATCATCCAGTGGTGGTTTTGGGCTTGATTTTTCTGCTCTTTCGCCATCTCGTGGTGTCCATTCTGTTGTGGCATCCTTGAAGCGCGGTTCCATTGGAGCTTCACCACTGATCTGCTCATCCCGTGAGGGTTTTACTGTTGTTTCCACATCTCGTGGTGTCCATTCGGTGGCAGCATCTTTGCACCTTCGGATCTGCTTCTGATCAGCCATAGAAGGTCTTGGGTTTGGTTCTTCCATCGTTTCGCATCCTGTTTTGGCATCCTTGAAGCACTGATCCCAGCTGCGTTGATCCATGAATCGCACTTGTTTGCCAGCCAAAGATCTGGGCATGATGTGTTTCCTATTCTCAGCGCCTCCTTCTGGTTCGTCCTTGCGCTGCGCTATGATCCTTATTTTCTCGCCCAGAGAAGGTGCTGTGCTGACGGATTCCTTGAGTGCGGCTTGTCTCCGCTCGTTGCTTCGCCGTTCCCAGCTGCGTTGTGTCAGCATCTTTGCCTGCTCCTTTTGGGAGTGCTCCGCTCCTCCTGCAATCCGTAGCCGCGTTCCTTCAGTTGCGGCCTCCTTCGGTTGGTTGCACTCGGCCATCATCCTGATTTGCTCACCCAGCGAGGAAGCTGCCTTGAGGGTTTCTGCCGTTGGCTGCTCGGCCTTTGGGGGGGACGGAACACCCAGCCGCTTGGCCAGTTGCTCGAAGCGGAACTTCAAGTCACGCAAAGAGGCGTATTCGTCCATGCCAGCGCTCAGAGGCTCCCCCTGGGTGAGGCGTGGCCGGTTGTAGGAGGTTATTCTCTTGGCCAAAACCTTGCGAAAGTTCAGCAAATGATCGCTGCCCTTGCTGGGGTCCAAGGCGGCTTCCCCTTGTGTTCGCTGCGCGAGTTCCTCAAAGGATTGTATCTTCTGCATAACGTTGTCGTTCGATGGATGACAGCGGCCCAGGGCAGTGCGACTCTGGCTCTTATTTCGTATCACAGTGACGGCGCTGGAGCGATCCTGATCGGAGGATGCCAGCTCCGCGGAGACCTCTGTTATGGGCTCCAGGTATGCTCCTTGCTCACTCGACGACGAATTGGTTTCGCTGGGCTTCGGGCACACGGATCGCTCGGACATATCCGACTCGGTGGACTCTTTCCCTTCGCACTGACCCATCGATATGCCCTGATAGTTATCCAAGACGCTATTGAGATCTTTGCTGCAGTTGCGCATATCCGTGAAGGGTTCCTTGAGCAGGCCAAAGTCCGCCAGGTGGCCCTGCAGCAGAAGCATCAGCGCGTTCCTGGACATCTTCTCGGCGGCGGGTGCCAACCGAAAGATCTCCAGCCATTTGTCAATGATTATCCGATCCGAATTGTAGGCAAAACTCTTGTGGTGGCCGTCATATCGTCTAAGCAGCGCCCGGAAATGATTGTCCAGCTTCGCTTCCTCTGTATCCTCCTCCTCCTCCTCCTCCTCCATTTCTGAGCTGGCACTTTCAAACAGTTTTTCAGAGTTTTCCATGTTTTTATTTGATATTTACTTTCACTGGAAATTTGAATGAAATCTTCCTGTTTGCATGGATCTATCTATGAATGTTCTCCCACCCCCCCAGTGGATGGTGTGGAGGGATCAGTGGACGCTAGGCGCTGGTTCAAGTGCTGGCAAGTCGCGCCCAGCGCAAGTAGCAGCCCACCACCAGACCAAACAACAAAGTGTGCGGTCGCCTTGCCACGTAAATTTTCATTAGCACAGCGCGCGCGTATAAATTAGGAAAATGAAGCAGCTCCAGAAGCACCAGCAAGCAGCCAGGCAGCCAGGCAGCCAGGCAGGCACTTGAGTGCACCGCAACCTCTACAAATGCCCCCACCCCCCAAGGGGTGGGCTTAACCGCAGCGATACGTTGCTGCTGTTGCGGCTTGTGGCAGCAAGCACGGGTGCAAAAGTTGTGCCTCACTGCATAAATTTTATATTGTTAAACATGAGCTAGAAAAAAGCACGCGCCGGCTGTCAAAAAACAAAGCAAAAAGATGCCCTGACATGCAAAAAGCAGCCCAAAGAAGACAGAAAGCGCGCAAGTGATACCCTGGCAGACAAGAGTTCTTCCAATTTAAGCGAAATTCCTCATTAGAATGTTTGAATTTAAATTTGAATGTCTATCGATCTACTATCGATCAATCGACTGACTGCAGCCCATCTGGCCAGTCTGGTCACACTAAAAGCCTTTTAGCTTTTGCACACGTGCCGTCGCTGACTTTAAATTTATATTTTTTTTCGTTTTTTTTTCGACTCTGTAAATGGATTTCCAGACCCAATACTCCAAAAGACACTTGAATGGGACCATCTACATAGCCACACGACGCGTGCTGGACGAGAAGCTGCGATCCGAGCTGGAAAGTGGTGCCGGCGAAGTGAGTTCCGTTCCGTATGCCACACGCCACGCTACAATTTGAGGCTAACCAAAGTTTGTTCTACTTGTTTTGCCAGATGTATCTGTTGTTCAAAGCGCCGTATTCCACATATGGCATAGAGGAGATCGCCCAGGTGGCCAGCGAACTGGGCGAGATCTTTGTCATACGCTTCAAGGTGGACTTTCGCAACGAGAGTCGCGGCTATGCCTTTCTGCAGTACATTGACGCGTCCCTCCAGGCGACGGCCATGCAAGTGTGCGTTTGTTTACACAAATAGAAAATGGAGGTGCATAAATTAACTTTATTTTGCTTTAGTTTAAGGAAGCGCTTCAGTGATATCAACTTGGACATTACCATATTTCCATCGCGCAACGCGAGGGAGCTGATCCTGCTGACCGGCTCGGGCGAGGGCTCGACTCCCTTCCAGATCTACCAGCAGATGCGCACCTTATGCAGCTTCAACAGTGTCCGTGTCTACGAGTATCGTCCGCGTACATACTTGCACGTATTTTCGTACGTGAACAATGAAGCGGCCACCCTGGCACATCGCAGGATCCGTGAAAACATTCTGCTCTTTGGTCCCGCCGCCCACGTATCCTGGCTGCGTAGCAACCAGACGGTGGATAATGACGACTTTGTCACTGCCTGCTGCCAGCAACTGGACAACGAGCAGCTCACACCCCCCAATCCCAAGGCGTGCAATTGTTTCACCTTCTCGCGGCCACAAGCGTAACTGTTTAACAATTTTAATTTGTGTGTTTACCCAACAATCTGTATCCCTTATCCGAGTTATATTTTTTTTTTTTTTGTTTAAATGAATGATATGTTTGTTTGTTTGGTTGACTCGTTCAATTACACCTTTCGCGCAAAGATATGCCAAGTGCCAGTGAAATTGTTTCTCTCTGTCCCTGGAATAAATTTAGTACTTAAACTGGAGACTGGAGACACAAGCTCTTTACGTCTATTCGTCTGGCAAAAAGCAGCCGCAGCTTGTTGACTTCATTAACTCGACTGGAGGGGGCAGCAGCAGCAGCATCATCATCATCCAAGTTGAGTCACAGCAGCAGCAGCAACAGGGGAATGCAGTTTTTTCACATGCAAATTAATGCAGTGTCGTCGTCCGACGTCGTCTTTGCGAGTGCCAGGAGTTTCAGGGCAATGCGACAACCTGCGGCATAATGCAATTAAATGAGTGCAACGAAGAGCAGCAGGAGCAGCAGCAGCAGCAGGAGGAGGAGTAGAAGCAGTTGTGAGAGCCGCAGGCTGGCATTGTCAGCGTCGGAGCAGCATGGAGCATGGAGTGCAATGATCGACGGACAGGGAGAAGTAGAGTGCCGTGCCAGAGTGCTCATCCATCACGACGGAGGCGGTAGGAGATGGTAGGACACCTTCGCGGGGCATTCTAATGCGATTGCCGCACTTGACGGGATGTCGTGGTGCAAACGGAAACGGATGCTGTTGTTGCTTCAGTTGCTGCCGCTGCTGCTGCTGCTGTTGCTTTTTCTGTGTTGCAATTAAATTAGAACCTGAGATCGAAATGCAGTCAGCAAGATGATGCAGAAATAAGACAGGGAAAAAACATGCCGCTGCCTTCTGCTTCCTGCCTCCTGCCTCCGCCTCATAAATATTCATTAAATTAAGGTTAAGCAAGGGGGGAGAATCTTCGGTAGGTTGGCGTGGCATGCGGATGAGTGGAATGTTTTCAAAAAGCATTTGCATTAATTTGTTAATTCAAGCGCGACAGCCACGCCCACGCCCCTACATTCCCCCATTCCTGTGCACTCACTTAAATGCCATTAAAATTTCAAAGCCCACAGATATGGTGTGAGAGAGATGCGGCCAAAAACGGGTTAAAGCCACATCTGTGACGCAATTACAATGGCTCAAAGTTGTGCCTCTAATTTTCCTTTAGTTGCCATAACAGCGCGATGGCAGCATTGAAGGTGTAGCGGCGGGGTGGTTGGGTGTGTGGAGTGGAGTGTGACCCATTTTCTATGGAGACCCCGGGCCCCCGATGACAGAGGAGAATTTAGCATGGGGCTTACCTGGTTATTGCGGCAAGAGCCAATATTTGTTTTCTGATGCGAGAGTAGGCAAAGGTAAAGGCATGGGGATAGAGGCGGAAGGCGGTAGTGGCTCTGGAGTGGAGACGGAGTGGAGTGGCTGCCAACTGACACAGTTTGCTTTAGGCTTTAAGGCGTCGGTCTCTGGGATTTGGGTCACAGATTGCCTACGACAAAACCACCGAAGCAGGGTAGGGTAGGGGCAGCCCTTAGCAGGCACCTCCCCTGCTCTGTGTCACCGGAAAGCGAAAGTTATGCACATATTGAGTTCAAGCTTTAAGCAATCCCCGTACCCATATCCATACCCATTCCCATTCCCATTCCTGTGGCAGCCTCAGCTTCAGCTTTTTGAATGCGGTTTTACGAGTAGTTCTGTTCTTTCCATATTCGTTATCCTTTCCTTCTTTTTCTGTCGCTCTAACCGCAGCAGCAGCTGCAGATGCAGCAAAGAGCATGACAGATGTGGATGGCGGATACGGATACGTAGCCAACGGATGCAGATGCAGATGCCAGATGCATCTGCCTGAACCACCAGCACTTAACGCGAATTTTTTGATGATTTTTTAAGCAACTTGTCGTTGGCTTGGCAATGCCATTACCAACATGCAGCCATGCTGCCATGCTTCCATGCAGCCACACAGCCATGCCCCATGCATATGCATGGTATCTCTCTGGTTGTTTTTCCAACCCATTCTCCTGCGCTCCTCGCGGCTAACTGTGGGTTTTTTGTCAGATGGCATACGAATAAGTGGATGCACGAATTCCAGATGAGATTTAGACTATCTTTAAAATGTTTACTCGTATTTAAAAGGAATTCCTATAGCAAATGAATTTATGTTTGTACTTTGCATCGATTTCTCCTGCTTCCAGTTGCCGTCCTCCGTCTGCTATTTTATTAATCAATTCTATTTGTGTCATAAAATATTATGAAAATGTAGCCAGATGCTGCCCAAACCCGTGACCAACGACAACGTAAGTTGCTAATAATTCCGGGAGGGGGGAGACGAAGTGCCAAAAGTTACAACAACAACATTTTTACATTGACATTTTCCAGCATGGCTTTCAAGTGGAAAGTCGTTGGCCGACGACTAATCACCAGGGTGCCGGACCCCGCCAATACTCTAGACGCTTGTAAATTAATGAAAAAAGTTGCGTGGGCACAGAAATATTTATTTATATTTTGGCATAAAGAGAATGGGAACTGGGAGTCAGGCAAGGAAATCCTTGAGGTAATATTAAAATGTGTTCCTTGGGAGCAGCAGTTGTTGTAAATGAGTTTATGAGCGTGTCCCTGTCCGTTGTGCGTTGTTGGTGTGCGTGTTGGTGTCCTTGTTGCCTCTGTGTTTATGCAGCATATTAAATAAATTTTGACATCAGCCACGACAATTCCTTGAGCTGTGTGGGGCGGGGGGGCAACTTTGCTTGTTGACAATAAAATAACATTTTGCACTCACTTAGCCCAGATGGGGCTTCTACCCCTGAAACACCCCCTCTCCACCACCCTACCCCACTTTCCGGCGGCACTCTAGCTCAAGAGTTTTAATGAAAAAAGTTTCAACTACCCAAAAGCCATACCCATTCCCCATTGCCTGGCTGCCCCTCGCCTCTTCCGATGCGAATATACATACTTATACTTGACTCCGGAAATTGGCATGCAATAGAGTTGATTTCTGTGTACAATATTTATGTATATATGTACATAGCTATGTATGTGCAGTGCTTCATTAAAATGTACACTTGATCATTGAATTTCTTGGGGAAACTTTCGAGAAGCGAAGCAGCAGCGGATGGATGGAAGGCAGCATAACAATATTAAGCATACGCAACGTGACGCCCAATGACTGAAAGGCAAAAGGAAGATGGAAAAATGAAGAAGCTGTTGCTGGTGCCTGTTGCCTGTTGCCTGCTGCCTGCTGCCTGGGCCATGGGCATTGCAAATCAATCAATAAAACATGCGAACTCAATCGTAAGGAATTTTTTCCACACAAACACTGAGAGAAGTGCAAGGAATCAGAAATGTAAACGGCTAAATCTAGATCAAGATGGCTTTCTGCATTTATAAATTATTTCTCGCTGTGTTGGAACTTAGTGTACGAGTATATCCAATGCTATGTGCAATACTGAAGCATCTGGCTCATACTTTAGCTAACATTCCAATTGAAAGTCAAATTGAACGCCTCCTGTTGGTCCTGACTGACAATCGATTATTTGCCCGAGTGCAAAATAAAAAAAAAAAAACATCAAATGAAATAAAATGAAAAACCGAATAGAATGGAATAAAGTGGCATGGAATGGAGTATAGAAAAATAATATATACATACATACGTATACGTTTACGTATATCTGGCACAAGAATATGGTTTTAGCAGAGCTCAAAGTTTGCTTTGACTGGCGCATTCGGGGGGATTCCTTCAGTTGAATGGCAATTTAATTTCAATTTCTCTGTTGCCTGGACTCCGCTTTCTGGCCTGCTGCTTCACTCCTGCTGCTACTCCTGCTGCTCCTCCTCTTTTGCCACATTATTTATGGTGCAATGAGAATAAAAAAAATAAATATATTGAAGCAGAACTTTGCATAAGCATGGCAACACAATATTTGTCGACATTCTTTTGTCCAGCCGTGCCCACACTTTCGTCTACAATTTTGTTGCGAAATTTCATTATGAACGGATGCCGCTTAAGTGCACATTGAATTCAATTAGAGTCTGGCACATGCATGCCATATACGTTGATGCCATATTCAAAGCTGCCAATTGAAAATTGAATTATAAAATATTTCCCCCCCCCCACACAACCACACACACACACACATATTCGATGAGATGATGATGTCCTTTTGAGACACACAGTGTCTGAGCTCTGGCCAGAGTAAACCGCAGCCAAATGTTGTCTGTATTTGCCTGAAAGTTTCGATTGGAATGCGCTACACCAAGAAGCTAACAATCCATGGGGCAAACAATTTCAATCTATGTGCAATTTTGACTTCTTACAGGACACTTTCGGGCACAGTCATTAGCTTTGGATGATTAGTTTGAGAGGCGGGCAGTAATCATGAGCGTTGAGTGCAGCCCCACCACGTCTACGGAAAGCGTCCACTGGTTTCTGTCTGGCTGAAAGCTGGCCATTTCTTTCCGCCTCTGCTACTGCTGCTGCTGCTGGCCAAGATGCTGTGCATGTTTCCTGCATCCTGTCGTTTCCTGTGTGCCACAACTGCCAACACACACACACATACAGAGAAAGAAACCCCAAGTGATGCTGCTGCTGATGCTGCTGCTGCTGCTGTGGTGGCCATTATTTCCTGTATTTAATTGCACTACTCTCGGCTGCGGTTTTCTGCTACATTTGTTGCAGCCCAAGCCAAGCCAAGCCACGCCAGCCTGCAACCGACCAAGGACTATAATGTACTTTGGCCAACCATCTGGGGCAGTGCCGACATTACCTTTGGCTACCGGCTACCGGCTTACAGCTTACGGCTACTGCTGCTGCTGCTGCTGCTCGACTCGACTCGACTCCCACTCCAGAACTCTGGTCTTTCCGGTGCCCTTTCTTTTCTGCACTTTTATGCTTTTAGTTTACTTTTACTAATGGGGAAATCCCGCAAGGGTATCAACTGCTTCGGCCTGTCTTGGTCGCTTTCCTTTTCGGTTGACGACAGTTTTTCCTTTGTGACGTATTTGTTGGTCACTTTGCAGCAGCAGCAGCAAGCGATGAATAGAGTGAGGCAGAGAGGGTGTAGATGTGCGGGTGAGTGTAAGAATGGAGCCATCAAATGATTTATACTTTAATAAGCGTGCACAGGACATGCAGAGAAATTAGATGTGACCACAGCACACACACACACACACACACAAATACCCCACCAGACCAGGCCCCCCTTTATTTTCTCCACCATCCTCTTGCACTGCTGCCATTTTTCTTTGACGCTCCACAAAAGGAATTTGCGCAATTTATGAGTGGAGAAAGGCGACAGGCAGCGCCAGCAAAAAAATACCAAAGCAGCATTCAAGGAATTAATAAGAAAGAAAAGTATGAGATGAGGAAGCTGAGCCGAGCCGAGCCGAGCAAGAGCCAAGCCAAGCACGGGCAGGGCATGAGATTCCTGCAAGCATTTGCGGTATTTATGCCATTAAGGTAAGGTGAGAAAAATGCTTACCCCACGGCCCACAGCATGGGGGGGACACGTTCAGAAGTGCCTACCCAGACCTACCCCACAACGCCTTCAATTTGATGTGAAAACTTGGCCATATTTTCAGATCAATAGTAGGCCCCTCTTTGGGCTGTTACATCAAATCAATTTCCATTCCAGTGTGTTCGCCGCCTTCGTACGTTTCGGGTCAGGCTCTAAAAATTTGTTTTCCTGTCTCACAAAATTTTCCATAGTAGAAACACATACAGCATTCAATTTTCCACCAAATCAAAATTCCATATTTAGTTGGCAAATATTTGTTGACTGTCCCGAGATGTCGTCGACGCTGAACGAAGCTGCGCTGGACCAGCACTTTGCCGCGCAGTCGCGTGTACTGGGCCAAGTGCTAACGGAGCAGATTAGCCGGAACGATCACAGTCTCGCCCAGAAGTGGCTGCGCGCGTTCAACCGGGCCTGCAAGAACGACAAGTACGCGCGCAACTGCCTGATGCTGCTGATGTTCGGACAGCTGAAGGATATGGGACAGCTGAGCGAACCCTTTGTGGAGCTGGAGAATCTGCAGCTAAGCCTGCAGGAGGTGCTGACCGAGTACGATGGGAATCTGACTGACTTACAGGAGTCGCCCAGTGAGGACTTCAACGCGGAGGATGGTAACGCTGCTGGCACACAGAAATACGTGGCGCCCCCCAATGTCGGCAATTACAATATGGCGGAAAGCAATCGGGCTGCGCCAAGCCGAATGAGCACCCGCGCCACTGAGCCCATGTCTAAGAATCCGGTGATAAAACAGGCGAACCAACTGCTGATGAATCAGGTCAAGGTTGGCCTGCCAATGAGTAGCCGAGCCGTGCCCATGGAGCGCGAGCCGCAGCACAATGTAAGACTGCTGGAACCCATCCACACGCACGCACAAATGCACGCACAGCATCCAAACCATATGATCCAGCCACAGTATCGGAGCCAGCATCACCATCAGCCGCAGCAGCAGAGCCAGCATCAGCCGCAGCAGAGCCAGCTTCATCAGCTACACCAGCAGAACTATCCGATGGAGCAAACGCAGCAACCCCAACATCCCCAGCATCCGCAGCAACCCCAGCATCCCCAGCATCCGCAGCAACCGCAGCAACCGCAGCAACAACAGCAGATCAAACAGACCGATCAGAACCTGATATCGGATGCCTGGAACTTTTCGCTGCAGGCCATCGATCGTTTGGACAAGTGGAGAGGAAGCAACGACAAGCTGAGCTTCTTTTCACTGTGCCTACGCCCATTGATCATCCAAGAGCCGGAACTCCGAAAGAATATTCCCGAGCTGGATAACAGATTGGTCTTGGTTATCCACCAAATCATTGACGATGCTACGGCATCGTTCAATGCCAAAGAAAGTGCCGTGTTGCAGGAGAGAGCGAACCAGCTGCTCAGACGACAGGAATTGGAGCAGCTTAGAGCGGATCTGGATCGTCGGGAACACGAGCTGCGTCGCCATGAGGCTGCCATTGCACAGAATGAGCATCCGGGGCGATCCCAGTCACCGACCGGAGACGCACGACTTTATGCTGAGGAGCGTGGCCATCCGCGCCATCTCACACCGCTCAAACACCCTGCGAATGCTCCTTTGCCTGCGGGACAGTGCACAAAATGCCTGGCCATTGACCCGAATGCAGGCGCACCTTCGGGTGCCACGGAGGGAGCTGCAGCCATTAATTATGTCTGTGCCCAATGCGACATGGATTCGTCGGCGGTGACTTTCAACAGCGTTGATTTTCTTCAGGGCGAGCAAGGATCCGAGCTGCCCGAAGAGAATCAAATGGAATCCATGGAGGAGTCCGCCAATGTGAATGGCCAGTGGTGATGGAGATTGCTGCCATGGCGGACACGCATTAGAATAAAAAAACAATTTTTTTAAACGCCCCATCGTTTGTTTTCTTCTTTCATCTCTTTCTCTCTGACAACTGCAGAAGTTTTAATGTAGTTTTAATTTTCTAGTAATCACGAAGGGAGAGGAGGAAACTTGGCACTGTCCTGTCCCTATCTACGCACTTGGCGCCTCCCCAGCCTGTCCTGCCGCAAGAAGGAGAAGTAAACGACTTGCAGCAAAACAGCTTTGTTCGTAATTAGTTTTTAAGTGAGAGTTTTTAAGACGCGGAACAGCCAATGTGTGTTGCAGCCAAGGACTTCTAAACGATGGCCGACTGCCGATAATGGTCTTCTGCAATTGATTCGCCAGCCACATAACATATAAATTTATGTAAATCGATAATGCACTTCAGTGCAGGAAACGAAGAGTATCCGCAAAAGTGCAATTAAAACTGTTGCCTCAGATACAAAGTGGATAAATTTCAAAAAAGGATTTGCTCTATGCTCTCTTGGGTTGTAAGTAGTTGAGGGGCAAAGACCGGGTAAAAACTTCCAGGCAGTTGTGAAAAAGTTGCCAACAGAAAATGCAATTCCCACCCCCACAACTGATCCAGCCAGTGCTTGCCTCTGCTGCATGACAATGGCTCAAATGTGTTGCACCAACTGTCGATGCAGCGACAGTGCCAACGGCACAGAGAGGACAAAAATAAAGAGTGCGACTAAAAAAGTTTCCCCTTGGCTTTAATGATGCGCACAGACACCAGTCAAAGTTCCGTCGGCATCGCAGGAAAAGGGAAAAATGGAAAAAAATTTGAGTAAGTGACGGGAGCGCCGTGCCGAGCGCTTACATTAGTGGGCACAAAATAAACGACAAATGTTGTGCGGCTTATGGCGGGATGCATTGTTCGGCCAGCCAACAACTTCCGACCATCCAAAGACTCCAAATGCAAAGTCGTCATGGCAAAGAATTTATGGGTGCCCGCCAGTGCCAACAATTAAGGACCCGAGCAGAGCCACTGTTGCGCCGTATTTGCGTAAAGTTGGGTAGGAGCCGAAGTAGGCGGAGGAGGATGAGAGAGCAAACATCTGCGACCACAATCTTCCAGCTGGCTGTGGAAATGGGCAACAAAAGTTGCATTTTTGCGGCACTCTAGCAACTATCCGGCCCCAACATAACCATTATGGGAGTGAATTACCCACTGGAGTCGAAAATGCAATGTTAGCTGTGTTTATCACATTCTGCAACGTCTCCACAACGACGCTTAATGGTTTCCTTGCCTGCTGCTGCCAATGACAACTTTACTTCTGGGGGGTGGAAGCACGGCACTTTGGAGACACCAAAGAAATGGCCTCTGGCTTGTACGATGCGCCCCACATATATTGGCACATTAAGTGTTCTTTTGGGTGGCAAGCTAATAAGTTACATATGTGTGTGTTGTGTCCATTACATTGTCCTTATTCAAACCTTTATATATTTACACGGTGGAGGAAGAGTCTACATTTTTCTTGGAAAAATGCCGCTTGGCAAAGGTTTCGGCCACAATGAGGGGAAAAACCAAACTGGCCTCGGCGTACACTTTAACCGGCGTAGCATCTTTTCGTATCTTGCCCCAGGATATGGCCTCGTCCGGTCGGGCGCCGCTGTCGCTGCCATCGAACTCTGAGGCGGTGTTTATGAACACCGAGTAGTCGGCGCCATTTCGCATCAAATTCGCATTGCAGATGTGATGCTTGATGACGCCGCCACCGACAATGATCATGCCGCTGTTGACGGCCTTCACGGCCATGGTGTTGAGGCGCCGCAGATCGGAGAGTATGTCCACAACGAGGCCAGGCTGCCGGAACGAGTGAAAGTACATCATGTCACCCAGACTGCCGTCTGTGAGGGCCGGACAGAAGACGGGAATGTGATTCTTGGCCGTCCAGTAGTAGATCGAGCTGGGATCCGCAATCCGTTCGCCCAGTCTATTGATGATGCGAGATGGTGACCAGACCGTGCGCTTGTCGCGCTGGTCTTCGAGCATTTCGTCGAGCAGTGGCATTAGCCAGTCTTCAAACTTGCAGTAATTGTCGTTGGGCACCAGCAGATTGCCAATGCGATTGATTCCCCGGTCGCGCAGCTCACGTCCGTTCAGCTCGAAGGAGCCCATGAATGTGGGGGCCAGGCATTTGATAAAATCCTCCTCCACGCCCCCAGCGGTGGTCACAATGCAGTCGATCATGCGATGCTCGGCAAGGAAACGTATCGTCTCCCTCATTCCGGACGACACCAGGTTCGAGGTGTAGCCCAAGAAGATGGTGCACTTGCTTCGTCGCCGAATGAAATCGTCCGTTTCATGGAGGTCCTCCTGCTCTGCTTCCAGCGGTTGTGCCCTGCAATCCAACTGTCAGTGTTTAGTGCTTGAGTTGTGGATTGCTACAGATTCAATTGGGCTTACCATTTTGTTCACCTCCTGCATGGCCAGGCCAAGATTTGTGGCTTGGAAACCGGTGTTTACATACGATTCGAAGAGTTTGCTGTAATCCACGCCCTGGTTGAAGTCATAGCCGTGAACCTGGGGCGTGCCCTCCGGAATGCGCTCGCTACGCTTCAGCACAGCTTCTTTGGCTATTTCTGGTCGCGCTGACATCGCTTTTTTAATAGATTTAAACAAAGTTTATAGCAAATTCAACATGTGCGGGTGATATTATGCCAGCCCTAGTTTTTGGCCGCTGACCAACACAGTAAAGTTAACGAAGTTTAAGTGACCGTATATTTATGGTATATTTCCTACATTTTGTGATATTTTACGGTATCTTCTCGCGATCAGGGGGAATATCTTTCTATTGTTTTCTTACCTTTCAGTTCTATATCAAAATCGGGGAATATGATTTATTTTATTTCGTTAGAGTCCATGTCGAAATGAACATAAATATGTAGTTAATATATTGCAAGTGTGTAGTTAGCGTGTAGTTAGCGTGTATTTACCATGTAAAACATCAACTTTGCCACAAAAAGACTATTAATTAAACCTTATGTTATGAATAATCAAATAGATATGATTACCTTAAATAAGCGAAGGTATACAAAAGTCCATACGCATAGAAGAAACTTGGTTGACCAGAAACACTGACGTCACATTTAGTCAACATTTACGGTTTATGCTTTGGCCGTTTTTGTTTGAACCTTAATATGTAAACAACCCAATAAAAAAGAGTTCTAAAAATTAGCCAATCCTAAACAAAATTTATTGGGGAACTGGATAAAATTATTGGTTTATGGCTGAGAGGGCCAACTAGCTAGTAATGTTAAACGGAATATCAAAATCGAGGAATATCATGTCACAGAATATCATGGTATGGCAGCCCGCAGCAACTACGAATTGCACGAGTCTGGCAGCGCCACAAAATGACGTCACATTCGTTTTATGTTGTTTTTGTTTGAACCTTTTTAGGAAACAATCCAATAAAAAGGACTTCTGAAAACTTGCCAATCTTGTAAAAAATGTATGTATCTATCTGATAAAATGATATTTTTGGTCTTTAAAGTCCTTACTAGTTAGTAATATTAAACCGAACATAAAAATCGAGGAATATTAAAGTGTCCGTCAGTATATTTACGGTATATTTTGATATTGACAATGTATATTTCGGTATTTTTCTGAGGGTCAGGTGGTATATTTTAAACATAAATCCGCGGTCACACTGCACTCCACTCACTCAAAGTGATTTTTTTTCACATAAAATTTAAATTGACGGTCTAATTATAAATTTTAACAAATTGCACGGTCAATATTGCAGAATTAAAAATATACACTCAATTTAGGAAGCAAAACGCCAGCTAACAAAGAGCTGAAATAACCCGCGAATCATCCGCAGTAGAAACGAAACGCCAGCGAAGACGAGGACGCCAATCATAGCAGCCAACAAAAATATAGAAAAATGATTAAACTCTTCTCGCTGAAGCAACAAAAGAAAGACGGCGAACAAAAAGGGAGCGGTGGTCAGCAAAAGAAAGCATCGGCTGCCCAATTGCGCATACAAAAAGGTTCGGGCGGGGGGTTGCTGTTTGGATTAATATTGTTTTTCTGGCCTGGCCATTTGCTCATACAAATTTATTATTTTCTTGTTCTTGCTCCCTCTTGATGGTTTTGGACAACAACAGATATTAGCGAACTGAACCTGCCAAAAACTTGCGTGACAGAATTCCCGGATTCCGATGACTTGCTCAACTTCAAATTGATCGTTTCGCCCGACGAAGGTTTCTACAGAGATGGGCGCTTTGTGTTCAACTTCCGCGTGGGATCCAACTACCCGCACGAGCCCCCAAAAGTGAAATGTGCAACGCAGGTCTACCATCCGAACATTGATCTCGAGGGCAATGTGTGTTTGAATATATTGCGCGAGGACTGGAACCCAGTGCTGACCATTAACTCGATAGTCTATGGCTTGCAGTTTCTATTTTTGGTTTGTACAATGCCCATCGCAACAAATAAAATTAATCCTGTATGTCGCTTTCTCTTGCAGGAACCCAATCCGGAGGATCCGCTGAACAAGGAGGCCGCCGATGTCCTGCAGAGCAATCGTCGCCAGTTCGAGTACAATGTGAAGAAGGCGATGCGCGGCGGTTGTGTGGGCGAGACCTACTTCGAGTGCTGCCTCCTCAAGTGATATAGGAAATCAAACAGTCTTTTTAATTTAAGCCTGGCCCCGCATTAGAAACGATGAGGACGAAGAGCAGATGCAGATGAGTTGGCATGCCAGCGGACAACAGAATCAACAAATTATTGTAATAAAAGAGAGCACACGAAGAACACGAAGAAGCAAAACCACAGTCGAGTCGAGTCATCGATATTCATTTTTCTTTTTCTTTAATACAATTATTTATTCAATTTAGCATTTTATTCGCCCCCCTCTGTAGACTCCCTAATGCTTACTCACAGGTGTATGCTGTGCCTGGCCATCTGCATGTTCCGCCACAAACAGAGATCGGCCACCGCCGCCTGTCGCCCGCCCGGGACACGCAGGTCGTAGAGTCTGCTGATGAGACCCACTCGTATGTCGTCGGTGGGCAGGATCTTGAGCAGTTGCTGCACCAGATTCGCTGGCAGCAGACGGAGCACGGGCGCCACTCGCTCGCCCCCGCACTCGACCAGCAACGAAATGAACTGATAGACAAATACGGCCTTGGGCGACAGCTCATCGCCGCTCACAAATTGTAAAAATACACCGAAAATATGCTGAATACTCGACTGTAGGGGCTCCTTCAGGCTCAGGGGTGTGGCCCGCACCTCAGTGCTGGATGGAGAGGCCAAACGCGGGCCGCCTGCCAAGCCAGCGGCGTTATCTGTAAAGTCGTTGGAATTCTCACTGCCATCGCCAATGACTTTGCGCACCTTGGCCACATTGGTGGCCAGCTCCTCCTCATCATGGGAACGCGAACGTTTCTTCAGGGACGAGGAGGCCGCAGCGCTGCGCGTCTCCAGGCAGGAGATGACACAGTAGACGCACAGTCGCGCCAGAACCAAGGACTGCGGCTCATTAATGTCCTCCCTGCAATAAATGGGTGGATGGAAGGCAACTTAAGCAATGGACTCAATGGCATATTAGTTGACCTGGCTTACCCCTGGCGACGAAGCATCAGGGGAGGCACCACATACTGTAGCAGCGCCTCGGTGCTCTTCTCAATGTCCAGATGCATGACGGCAAACACAATGTCCATGGCTTTGGACATGTCCCGAATGTACTTGCAGGTGAGCAGCTGTTCAACCAGCTGCGTGGCCAGCCACGCAGCTCCACCGGCCAGGAGAAGCGACTCCAAAGTCTGGGCGGCACGCACGGGCAGATGCCCCGCCTCGGCGACGGTTTTCCACACCTCACGGAACTGCTCGATGAGCGGCGAGTGAGAGATAAGGCGGGACTTTGTGCTGGGCGCGGGATGGACATCGTGCTGCATTTTTCTGATGATTGGATAGGAGAGTGCCAGTCGCTCCTTGGCATATTCCTGACTGGACAACTCCTCGCTGGTGAGCGGTGCCAGGAACTGCTGGATCATGTTGAGGGGCTTCAGCAGCTCCGTTTCCCGCACCGAATACATGTAGGCGCACAGAAAGCTGGTGGCGCAGACGGAGAAGCTGAACAGACGTCGCTTGATGTTGTCCAGAATGCTCTTCACGTCCGCCGATGAGAGGGTCTCCTGCTCCCAGGCAATCAGCACATGATGCAGCACTCCGGGCAGATTCAGACAGGTCTCCTGCCAGCTCAACGTACACGGCTTTAGTTGGGCCGCCTCCGGCTTGCTCAGGCTGAGCAGCAGCTCATCCACCATGCTGTCATCGCAGAGCGCCAATATCTGGCGGGGATTCTTCAGCTTATTGCGCTCCACCATGCACTCCCTCACCCACTTCTCGAAGAAGGAGTCCCCGCGGTCGGACAGCACCACCTGAAATACGAAAAAGGAAATATCCTCAATGAATATATCGCACATTTTCAGCGGGTATTCCTTACATCTGAGCCATAAGTCTGCACGATGCTGGTTAGCATCAGAAAGGAGACATCAAACAGCGTGGAGCGCGTCACACAGAGCTTTCCCAGCTCCGCTGGCACTGGCTTGGAGTTCTCATTGCACTGAATCAACCGAGAGACGAATGTCTTGAGGCGTCCATCCACCGTGGCCACCGACAGGATCAACTCGAAGCTGTTCCCCACCGGCACCTGGCACAGCACATTCACCATGTCCTGCACTTTATTCGTGCACAAGGTCTTCAGCACGCCCGACAGCGGAACCTCTGCGCGTTTGATGAAGATTATGTTGGAAGGCGTTTGCTGGCCATTGTCGCACTTTTTGAGCAGCAGCGAGGCGGCCTCTCTGTGTGGGGAATGTGTGAGAAATCAGTAGAAAGCATGTTTCGGGGTCATCGAATAATCTTACCGCTGGCTGGCAAACTTCTTCACATGCACATCGTTTACGAGCTGCTGTTTGGTCCAGTCGTTGAGCAGGAATTCAATCATGTTGCACGAGCATTTGGTGTCCATAAAGTCGAGCAGTAGATTATCCTGAATGAGCAGCTCCAGGGCCTCCACCAGCTCTGGTATATAATCAGCAGGAGGCGGCTGCTCGCCGGGCACTCGCTGCAGGGCATGCAATTGTTTGATGATGTGCGGCATCTTGAAGAACATAAATGCCCCCCACATGGTGTCCGGACTAGTGTCGGCCACATTGCTCAGGGTGAGGAAGCCCGCTCTGATAATCTCGTAGAACAGACGCGTGTTTGTGTAGCGCTTCAGGCGCTGCAGCATCTGCAGCTCAGCTACGTAGTAGCTGGTCTCCTTGCAGGGTATCAGCAGCACCTCCACGGCCAGCAGCGGCTGGACACAGTAGGAGATCTTCTCAGCGGGCAGCACATTCAGCTTTTGCAAGTCCAAATGGGAGACATCAATGTAGGCGAACTGTTGCAGCTGCTGCTCCACGCCCGGAGAGCTCAGGGTGAAGTTAGAGTTGGTGAGGGATCCCTTGATGGCCGCATATTTATCGCGTATCTTGCCGTAGCACTCAAACTCCTCGTGACAGCCCACATAGAGCATGGAGAGCATGAACTGGTGCTGGCTGATCCGATCGATGATCACACAGGTCTGGTCCAGCATATACGACTGCTCGGCACTGATCTCCCCGTACAGCTCATAGTGCTGGACGGTGCGGGCAAAGATCTGGAGCAGCCAGTAGACCAACTGCACCACAGCGCCCGGCAGCACAGCCTCCTCAGCTTTGATGCTGCAAAAGTTGATTCAATCAGCGTTATTATGGATAAGAGATTGGAATAGAGACACTCACCGACAGGTGACACCATCCACAATGCTAACTAGAAACTCCAGCAGCGACGTGATGCAGTAGACACGCTCCAGCTTATCATATTTGGCTATGCAACGGAGCACTGCGGCATGCGAGACGAGGTGGGCACACAACGAGTGCTTCAGGTAGTTGAGTACCAGCTGAAAGGAAACAGACATCCATCATAAGGGTTTGCAGGGTTTAGGGTTTACATTCAAGAGAGGAGAAACCACTCACTGGATTGGCTGTGGAACCAATCAGCGCCTGCTGCATGAGGCAATCGGCCAGATTGTAGACATCTCCACTGACGCCTCTGGGCAGCACCTGAAGATACAAGTAAGAAAAATATTTAGAATCAGCTGTCGGTGAGATTTCAATCGAGATTTCATAATTCCAAATTCGCCAACAATACAGAGTGCGCCTCTTACTATTACAAAACAAACAACTAACAACAAAATACCTACGAATAATTCTCTGAATATTTCAAAGGAAATGCTCCGCTTGAGTCTGTGTACTATCCGCCCACTTCGGCAAATCCGCACTACAGGTGCAGCACGACTATGGATAAGTCGTCGCTGTCCCTGTCCCCTGCTGGCCGAGAGACGATACTCCACCAAGTACCAATTTAAACAGCCACAGACATTCTACTATCCAAATCGCAAGGCAGAATCCGACCGAAAGAGTAGTGTGGGCAATGAAGCCCAAGGTCAGATCGAAGATAGCGGAAAGCCAAGGGACTTTTACTACAAGGTCCTGGGCGTTGGCAAGCACGCTACCAGCAAGGAAATACGCAATGCGTACTTGATGCTGGCCAAGCGCTATCATCCGGACAAAATGCGCTCGGAGAGGTCCCTGAAACACTTTCAGGAGATCTCCAATGCATATCACATTCTGACAGATGATAACAAGAGGTTGGAGTATGACCAGCTGGGCGGTGTCACGGACGAGAAGGCGTTCCTCGAGCAGGCAACTGTCAATCCGACGATCCTGGGGCAGAAGCTAAACGAAGCTAAGAAACTTCAGGCGGAGACAAATGCAAGCGATGGTGAGCTGCCCTGCCCTTCCCTGCCCGGCCCTGCAATTGTATCCGTTTATCCGTGTCCTCCCATCCCGTATAGAAATCAGTAATCTGATGCGTGCGAAAGGCAAGAACTGTGAGTCTGAGTTGAAGCTTAATTTTGAGGAAGCCGCCAATGGGTGCAAGAAGCGCATGGACATACGCTACCTGCGGAAGTGTGGCAAGTGCGGCGGCAAGTCGCAGCTGATGACACACCGCGATGTCGGCAGGGAGCCATGCCGACGCTGCAATGGCTCTGGCAAGGTCACCCAGCGCACGGTGACCTTTACGGCCGACAGGCCATGTGAACATTGTAAGGGGAAGGGATACATCAACCGGCGCGACTGCGAGCCGTGTGGCAACCGCGGCTTCATGGTATCCGGTGTCGAGGTGCTGGTTAAGGTGCCGCCTGGATCCAAGGACGGCGAAGTAATGACCATCCAGAACCCAAAAACCAACGAACGTATTAACTATCGTCTGGTGGTCGAGCACAGCGACTACTTTCGCCGAGACGGCCTGGATGTGCATAGTGACAAGCTGCTCACAATATCGCAGGCCATTTTGGGCGGCAGTTTCACTGTGCGCGGCCTGCACCAGCCCGTGGATATACGCGTAGCGCCGGGAACGCAGCCAAACAGCCTGATAACACTCAAGAGCAAGGGCATACGCTGCGAGCATGGTGTGGGCAACCACGTAATAACTTTGAAAGTTTTTATACCTTCGAAACTTTCAGTGAAGCAGCGTCTGCTGATCCTAGGACTGGCCAAGGCAGAAGATCCCATTTTCGAGCGGCAAACCCTCAAAACCAAATAGGAGGAGCGTAGCACTTCCCACACTCTAAATGTTGTTAAATTGTCTGTTAAATTATTCTGTCAATTATTCTGCTAAATAATGTTTATATTTAGTATGCATTTCAAAAACCAAACTATTGATTGTTGCTTGCCTTCTTTATGTTGATGCCCCATTGCGAGTCCGACCAGCGTTCGCGCCACGCCACATAGATGAGCTGAAGGATTTTGTTGTTTTCCTTCATATCCTTCGCCCGAAGTCTCCTTCAGTGATGCGGTTATTTATATTTTTTCAATTTTTACAAGTAATTATTTTTTTCCCACTTTTCTTGTGATACGTTCAGTGTGACCGCGGATTTATTGAGAAAATTTACCGGCTGACCCGTAGAAATATACCATCTCATTTTACAAATATACCGAGGAACAAACCGAACTTAACCCCGCCATATTTAAACATGTGAGTTCAATTTTAATTACATCTGCTGCAAGCTGGTTGATTGACTGATAATAGTCATTGTACGTATGGTTTTAACAAGCCCTTTCATAATCTAGCTGGACTAGAATTAAAGATTTCCATATATGTAGGTCGGAGGCGCCAAAGTAAAAGAATAGATGAGCGTTAATTTAAATAATTTATTGAATACAATAAAGTTGCGTATGAGTTGTTTCTTTTGTAAAATTTTTTTTTTTTAAATATTATTTTCTAAAATATTTGACTTTGTACAAAATACTATTTATACATACATATATGCCGAAAATTGTTCCTCTCCATTGCACACTCTAGATTTTTTCACTCATTTGTTTTTTTTCGTTTGCAAATGTTTGTATTTGATTTGATTTTAGATTGAAAATGTATTGTTATTTAATGTGTGTGTGTGTGTGTGTAGTGACGACGTGCGCTTAGTGTGAGATATATATTTGGATTTGACTAAACAATAGCTAGGCCATAACTTTAAATTTATATGGATTTCGGTGGATTTTCAGGGGATTAATAAAAGCTTAAAAAAAGGTAGCAAAATAAAACTAATTTGCAAAGGCCGTTTATTTGTAAAAGCAGGGCAAATCAATTATGAAAGCAAATCTATAAATCATTTTTAATTATTAATTAACAACTAACTTAGGAGTGTATGACAAAAAGCATTTTCCTATTCCAATGGCATCGCCACGAACGGGACGGGTGGGGGCTTAACCACTAAGCATTGCTTGTATTTATAATGGGGCGGGGGGATGGGGGATAAAGGAAAAAAGGACTGACAAGACGCGAGAGTGGTGTCGTGTCGTCCCCTTTGCTGGTACAAAACGAGGAAGAGGGTCGGGTCGCCATTGATAACGTTAAAAGCTAAATTAAGTCTATGACCTATTTATTTCTTTACTTAAATATGCTTGACGCCACACAGAGGCTACTACCGTCGCTACTACCCAATCTTCGTCGTCGTCGTCGCCAGCTGCATGAGCTCCAAATTGCAATCACTTTAGCATCATCGTCCGTAGTACTTTGAGGAGTGAGTTTGTTGTTGTTGTTGTTGTTGTTGTTTCTGATCCGTTTCTCTGGTTGTTCGCGCATTGTATTTGCATCTAGGTGGTTGAAGGTCCTCCACCTACTGGGTCGTCACCCTTTACGGCCGAGGCATAGCTGGCCCCAGCGTTTCCACTTCCGCTGGCACCACTTGTGGAGCTGCTGCTACCGGGCTTGTCTGTGGCAGTAGATTTTCCATCAGCACTTCCGCTAGCACCAGAACCAGTACCAGCACCACTGGGGGGAACGCCAGCAGCACCGCCGATGCTCACGCCACTGTTCAGGCCTAGAGTTTGAGGTGAATCAACTAGAGAATTTGTTTCGATTGTTTGTGTCGGTTAGGATGTGTTGGGTTTTTTTGTGGATTTTGTGTGCAAATTGCAAACGGTTTTAAGCACCTTTAATATCCATGGCATAGTGATCCTCCAAACGCAGATCGTGTCGCTTGATCAACTGGCATTCGGCACCCTCGATCGATGGTATGGAATACACATACAAATAACCGTCCTGCGAGGCAATCAAGAGTCTAAACAAAAAGGAGATATCATTTAGTTGATAGTCGATCAATCAGCGTTGATGGATGATGGATTTTCTCTCACCTGAGCTGCTTTTGTATCGTGGCAATGGCGCACATGCGACGCACTCCTGCCTCGGGCAATGAGACCGAAGCAAAAGCCCGTCCCTGGCTGAACACATCGGTCACCTGCGTTGGCAGGTAGCTGGTGACCGTTTTGCTCAAGAATCTAAAAAACGAGTAACTTGCATGAGAGAGTAGATTTTGGTGAGTTGAGTTGAGTTGAGTGGTTGGTTGGTTGGTTTGGTGGTGGTTGTTGTTGGTTGTGGTGGTTGGTGTTGGTGTTTTTGGTGGTATTCGAGAAAATGAAAGAAAAGAAAAATAGATAAATGTCAAGCGCCACACGAAAGAAAAGAAAACAACAAAACGCAACAAAAAGAAAGAATAGAATGTGTTCGTGGGGTGGGGGAGGCCCTACGCAACACACACACACACACACACACATGAATGAAAGATTGGATAGAAGTGGAGTATGGAGTGTGGAGGCTGGAGTGGAGGTATGAAATGTAGCAAGTGGTGGGACAGAACACCCAAACACACAAATTTGATGACCTGATCCTTGCCCCAAAAGCCGTACATACAAATACAAAACAACTAGCTAGCGATCCAACTTATCCGCTTACCCCATCCAGTCGTCGCTCGATTGCTTCCCATGATCAGCTGTCTCGGCAGCGCTGCGATCCAAGCGAAAGATGTGCACGGTCTCCGTGTTGGAGCTGGATACCAAGTATTCCGAACAGTTGCTGAACGACAGCGATACAATGGAGACGCAACGCTTGAGGCCACGCCGCAGCTCAAACAGGCGGCTGCCATCCTGGGAGCTGAAGACGCGTATGACCGTGCCGCGTTCGCTGGCCGTGGCTATTTCCGTGCCCGAGGGGCTGAACGCTATGGCCGCCAGTGGTGTGTCGTGAGCGGGTATCATGGTCTTGGCGTGCAAATTGATGGCATCAAAGATCTGCACTTCGCCGGAGGTGACGCTGCCCGGATAGGCCAGATAGCAGTGCTCCGAGGATGAGGACAGGGCGCACAGCCCCAGCGGATTGCAGGGCGTGTCCCGGATGGTGTGCACCACCTTCATGTCCTGTATGTTGTGAATGTAGAGCGACTCCTCCAGGCAAACGATCAGGCCGCTCCCGATTCAGCTTCACCGCCAGAATTGTGTTCGCATACGAGTAGTTGCAGATCTCGCTCTGCTTCTTGAAGTGGCACACCTTCAGCTTGCGCGGCGCCCGCTGCGACACAATGGCCACCAAGGAGCTCTCAAACAGCCGCTCGATAAGGAACAGCTCATCGCTCTTGGTGTGATATATCTTGTCCAGTGTCGAGTCCACAGACCCCAGACTGTACAGGCTGTAGCCTCCGCTGGTGGCGACTGCAAGCGATCTACGGGGGGACAGTAAAAACGAAAGCCATGAGAATCATTAAGATCTGCGAGAGAAGAGTTCCTTTGTCCGGACTCCGGAGACTGCTGCCTTACGTTATGTTTTGATTGAAGTTGACAAACACTTCGCCCGCATCCACATCGGGTCGGCCCAGCAGGCTCATCATCGTTGTGCTGTGTGTAACGGGGGCGGGGGCGGACTGAGGAGCTGCAATAAAATTAAACAAAAACCATTGCAACATAAGTTTCAGCCACTGTTTTAGTTCGTTGGCGCATATGAACGCGGGCAGCGCAATAAATATGTTAATAAATACACCAACATGCACGTACATACATGTGCATATGTATGTCCGAATGTACACGTTGGGGATAGGGGCTGCTGCTGATAAAAGGCAGCAACAACAAACAAAACACACACAATCTACGTGACTAAGGAGCGTTCTTTTACCTCTTTGTATGGGGAAACGTTTGCTGTTCGATTAATTGAATATTCGCAGGACCACTTACGAGTTGCAAATTGAATAGTTTACTGAAGCTACGTAATATTTAATGATATTTGGATTTTTTTGTCGCGCAATTGTTTTTGCTCTGTTTTGCACACACAAACACACGCACACACAAGCACCCACACATATGCATATTGGACAGCAACAGAGCAACCAGGGCTGGCAAATCATGGTTGTATTTTTGCAACTGGTCAGTGCCAGTGCTGTAAGGTGTAGCTATATACTTTGTGGGATATTTCTGAGCGTCAAACGGTATATTTGATTGATAAGCTCGCGGTCACACTGCTTCTCACTGCATAAAAGTTTTTTGATAAAATTGTTCAGATTTTTGTCTCACATAAACAAAAATGAGCAGCAGCACATCCAGAACTTGGAAATAATGTGACGTGAGGCTCTGCAATAGAAGATATCGTGCCTTTTTTGAGAGTGTAGCAACCCAGCCAACGAATAAATCGATGCTTGATGCTGTCTGCAGTCTCATCTTATGAGTGCAATATAGTGCAATATAACTATAGCAATAACAATAAAAATGTCTAGTAATACAGGAAGTAAAACGAAATTTTAAGCCGTCTGTAACTCACAATCATTTCAAATCGGCCGAACATGCAGACGGACAGATACCAAAAGCAATAACAAAGTGATCGAACCAAAATAAATACACACGCACATACATACATACAAACATAAATATGTATTGCTGTTGATTTTCGTTTATTAGCCATATTCGTGTCTACTTCAAAACTTTACTTTAGCTGATTACACAAAAGAGATCCTCGACAAATTCTTTATGTAAGTATGTAAACAGACACCTTGGGGGCTCTTTTAATTGTGACGCTTGCTAAGAGTGATAAGGAAATTGTGCGCGCTTATCTTTCATCTCCAACCTGACTGCTGCTGGGCCCCCGTGTCGCCACCTTCCACCCCTACCCCCTCCCATTGTCTTTAAGTTGCGCGCTTTTTTTTCTAATATTTCTAATCAGCGTCGTCGGCGTTGTGCGTCGTGATTTGTAGTACCGTTAGCTCTGCTCTGAGTTTTTGGTACTCCACGCACGGTACCGTTATCACAGTCCGGTCCGCTGTGTGTGATGTGATTGTGTTCTGTGTGTTTGTACTTTTCCACCGTCCGTTGGATCTTTCATTCCGTTCTGTTCAGTCAGCAGCCCACAGTCCGCGGAAGAGAGACAGAGACCAAGTAGGTTCGCCACCCATTGCACTTTTAATTGCATTTTGCATATGTATGCAACATTCTCATTAGGCATTGGTGCCGCATAGTGGCTCCAAGTCCCGCGAAACATCAATAAAAAAACAATAGAACGTAGGCATTTTGATTATCAGTGTCTATGAAACCACAGTGCGGCGCGTTTTGTTCATTAAAATTTGCAGCACGAGCACGACATATTAAACTATTACCCTACCCTCTTAATTCGCCAGCTCCCATTCTCGAATATGTCCGACGGCGTGAGCATCTTACACATCAAGCAGGAGGTAGACACATCCTCGGCCGGAGCAGCCTGCTACAGTCCCACCTCCAAGGCAGCGACGGCGCAAAGCAACTCCTGCAACAGCAATAACGGAATGAAGTCCTCCCCGTCCGTGTCGCCTGAGCGGCAGCTGTGCAGCTCAACGACATCCCTGTCCTGCGATCTCCACAACGTTTCGCTGAGTAACGACGGCGACAGCATCAAGGGCGGCGGAGCGGGCAGTGGCAGCGGCGGCGGAGGCAGTGGTGGAGGCTCGACCCTCAATGCCAGTGCAAATGCTGGCTCCGTTCGAGATGAGCTGCGTCGCCTGTGCCTGGTGTGCGGGGATGTGGCGTCTGGGTTCCACTATGGCGTCGCCAGCTGCGAGGCCTGCAAGGCCTTCTTCAAGCGCACCATCCAGGGTAACATCGAGTACACGTGTCCAGCGAACAACGAGTGCGAGATAAACAAGCGGCGACGGAAGGCTTGTCAGGCCTGTCGCTTCCAGAAGTGCCTTCTCATGGGCATGCTCAAGGTAACCTTGACGATCCAATTTTCTAATCGTTCTTCGTTGCTAATTATTCACCAATTTGTGCTATCGTAGGAGGGCGTGCGCTTGGATCGGGTGCGCGGAGGGCGGCAAAAGTATCGACGGAATCCCGTCTCGAACTCGTACCAGACCATGCAGCTGCTCTACCAGTCCAACACCACGTCGCTGTGTGACGTGAAGATACTTGAAGTGCTCAACTCGTACGAGCCGGATGCCCTGAGCGTGCAGACGCCATCACAGCAGCCGCACACGACCAGTGGCGGCAATGATGAGGCCTCCTCCTCGTCAGGCAGCATTAAGCTGGAGAGCAGCGCGGGCGGCAGCAGCGTGGGCGTCACGTCCAATGGAACATGCATTTTCCAGAACAACAACAACGATCCCAATGAGATACTCAGCGTGCTGAGCGACATTTACGACAAGGAGCTGGTCAGCGTGATTGGCTGGGCCAAGCAGATTCCTGGCTTCATAGAGCTCCCCCTCAACGATCAGATGAAGCTGCTGCAGGTGTCGTGGGCGGAGATTCTAACACTGCAACTGACTTTCCGTTCGCTGCCCTTCAATGGGAAACTCTGCTTCGCCACCGACGTCTGGATGGACGAGCTGCTGGCGAAAGAGTGCGGCTATACGGAGTTCTACTATCACTGTGTTCAGATTGCCCAGCGCATGGAGCGAATATCGCCCCGTCGGGAGGAGTACTATCTGCTGAAGGCTCTGCTCCTGTCCAACTGTGACATTCTGCTCGACGATCAGAGTTCCCTGCGCGCATTTCGCGACACCATACTCAATTCGCTGAACGATGTCGTCTACCTGCTGCGCCACTCCTCCGCTGTCTCCCATCAGCAGCAGCTGCTGCTTATCCTGCCCTCGCTGCGGCAAGCGGACGATATCCTGCGACGCTTTTGGCGCGGCGTTGCACGCGATGAGGTAATTACGATGAAAAAGCTGTTTTTGGAAATGCTCGAACCGCTGGCCAGGTGAAAGAAACAGACAGAAACATGGCAGAAGTCTAGTGGATCTAGTTAAGATAATTCTGGGTGCAAATATAGTCGTAAGATGGGACGTACCGTACTCCTCGTATACTAGTGTGCCTAGTCTAGTGTGTGTTTAAGCCCTAGAGTAAGCATTGTAATTGTACATACAATAATAGTTAGTAAATTACTTGTCCGGGTATGATTAGATTGAAAAGAAGAACGCGCACTCTCTTTGTTTAATGGTTTACAACACCCCACTTAGAACTAGAATTAACATTTACACTGGTTTGAAGTAGCTAGACCGAGGCAAAAACCTTCAAAAATGTATGCAGGATGCAGGATGCAGGAAAAAGTATTGGATTTAGTTTCGGCTTAGATCTATTCCCATGTTCGTACCCCCACCAATGTGATCGATCCATGGGCTGCTTACGGCATGCGAGGCTTACAATTAGTGGCTATATCGATGGTCATATTTACATTTACATTTTTTTGCAGACTAGAGACGTTGCGTTGCCAACTCCAATGGTATGTTGGATTTGGCATGCAGGCACACACGAATTTACACTACATCTTACACGTATATAGTACATACAGATCTAGTATATATATTTAGGGCCGACTTCGGTGCAAGTCGGGCGAATCAAAGTACTTGTTGGAGCTCTCCTGGAACCGATCGCTGCGCGCCAGTTCGTTGCGAAAATAGGAGATGGTCTGCCGCAGACCCTTTTCGAGCGGAACCTTTGGCTCCCACTTCAGATAGTGGCGGGCCCGTGTTATGTCCGGCTTGCGTCGTTGGGGATCATCCTCGACGGCTTTCGTCTGCTTGATCACACTCGGTCCGCCCACCAATTGCTTGATGATTTGGGCAAACTCTTCGATGCTCTGCTCCACGGGATTGCCCAGGTTCACCGGCTGCGTGTAGTTGGATGCCATCAGGGCAATCATCCCATCAACCAGATCCGAAACGTACTGGAAGGAGCGCGTCTGCCGGCCATTGCCATAGACGGTGATGGTCTCGTTGCGCAGAGCCTGCAGGATGAAATTGGACACCACACGGCCATCGTTCATGTGCATCCTCGGTCCGTACGTATTGAAGATGCGCGCCACCCGAACTTGCACTTTTTCCTGCCAATAAAAACCAGATGATAAAAGCAGATCGGTTTAACGATCGAAACGAAACGACAGATTGGTGCAGAGCAGAGGACGGGTATAGAAATCTTATCTCGTGACAAGCTGCCCCCCCGCCCATGCGGAACGTGAAACGTTGCAGGCCAATCAATGGCTGGCCGCAGCATTCACAGCATTCCAATTGAAATCGTTTAATGCTTGAGTGAAGATCAAATCAAATCAGGAAAATACTGCATCACTTCTGGATGCGAGCCAGAAATGCAAGTTTGACGTCACACCCATTCCCATGCCCATTCAGAACGTACCTGTTTGGCGTACGCATAGCTCAGGGTCTCGGAGACACGCTTGCCCTCGTCATAGCAGGCGCGTGGTCCAATTGGATTCACATGGCCCCAGTAGGTCTCCGGCTGCGGATGAACTGTCGGATCGCCGTACACTTCCGAGGTGCTGGCAATCAGAACCTTGGCCATCACCCGCTTGGCCAGACCCAGTACGTTGATGGTGCCCATGGTGTTTGTCTTGATTGTCTTCACCGGATTGTACATGTAGTGCGGTGGGGAGGCCGGCGAGGCCAGGTGGTAGATCTCGTCAATCTCAATGAACAGCGGATTGACAATGTCATGGTGGATGAGCTCAAAGTTCTCGTGTCCCAGCCAGTGGGCCACATTTCGCTTGCGGCCGGTGAAGAAGTTGTCCACCACAATCACTTCGTGTCCCTGGATCATCAGATCATCGACGAGATGGGAGCCCACAAAGCCGGCTCCTCCGGTGATGAGAATTCTCTTGCGGTTCTTGTAGTTTAGGTATTTGACTTTGGGATATTTGCGGGGCGTGCTGGCCTGGAGCGAACGGATTTGTTCCTCTAACTGGGCCAATTGCTCTTTGGTGCGCTGCAGCTCCGCCCGCTGCTCTGTGATAAGGGAACTGTGGGCTTCGTAGGCATTCTGCAGGCTCCTCTGCACAGCATCTTCCGTGGGTGGCCACTGGCCCTGCTGCTCCTCCTCAATGGGTCTGGACAGCCGTCCCAGTCCCACCGCCACCCCACCAGCAGGCATTCCCACGGTGGAGGCGGCACCACTGATCGCTCTGTACAAGTAGACGACCAACAGCAGGGAGAACGATGTTGCGGCCACTATTTTAAGGCGCTTCTTTGTTGCCGTCATCATCGTGACGATGCTTTGTGAGAACTAGACTGCTTGCCAATGCTTATCAGCGATTGCAATCGCCACATTGCATTCTTATTAAACTGTATAAACAATTTAGACAATGTTATCAGGCACCGAATCGATAGGTTTGCAAAAATACCGACCGGACTGTCTTTGCAGTGTTGTGAAATGACTGACTGTCAGCCCCAACATAAATACCAACTGCATATAGTATTTTACTGATTGGTGTTTTTGCGTCAGCTGCTCGCCGTTTTTGCGATTCATTGCAATTTATATTTTGCTGAAAATAACAATAATTAAGAAGTGCAGAAGATGCCGAACAAAAAACCGGCCTCACCCGATGTGGACGAGAATGCTGCACAGGACCTTACGCAGGCGGCCAAAGATGTGACGGCGGCATCGGAGGAAATGCTGGAAAAAGTCCTTGCCGGCTTAAAAATGCACGACTCGGAGAACGAGAATGAGGCGTTGGCGCAGGAGGATCAGACCACAAATGGCGGCACCTCTGCAGCGTCTGCAAGTAAGTTTTCCCACTCGCACACACCCCAAACCAAACCCACGAAGTGGAGCCATTTTCCTTGCCATTACAAAAATGAGGTTAGGTTTTGTCAGGAATCGGTAGTTTTGGCGGTGTGAGGAGCATAGCATGCATATGAGATATATTAAAATCAATACATGATCCGATTCCGTTTCAGGCAAGCAGCAGGCCTTACTCCAGGCCGTCTCCGATGTGGTGGCTAGCCGGCAGGCGAAAAAGTTTGCCTTCTGGTCCACACAGCCAGTGACAAAGTTGGACGAGCAGGTGACCACCAATGAGTGCATTGAGCCAAACAAGGAGGTCGCCAAGATTCGGCCCGAACCGTACACTTTGCCCGGCGGCTTCAAGTGGGTCACATTGGATCTCAACGATACCAATGACCTGAAGGAGCTGTATACTCTGCTGAACGAGAACTACGTGGAGGACGACGACGCCATGTTTCGATTCGACTATCAGCCGGAGTTTCTCAAATGGTCCCTGCAGCCACCTGGCTGGAAGAGGGACTGGCATGTCGGTGTGCGGGTTGAGAAATCCGGCAAGCTGGTGGGCTTCATCTCAGCCATTCCGAGCAAACTCAAGGCCTACGACAAGGTCTTAAAAGTCGTCGACATTAACTTTTTGTGCGTGCACAAGAAATTGAGAAGCAAGCGGGTCGCCCCGGTCTTGATACGTGAGATAACGCGGCGCGTCAACCTAACGGGTATTTTCCAAGCTGCCTATACTGCCGGAGTGGTGTTGCCTACGCCGGTGGCCACCTGTCGCTACTGGCATCGTTCGCTCAATCCGAAGAAGTTGGTGGATGTGCGCTTCTCGCACTTGGCCCGCAACATGACGATGCAGCGCACTGTGAAGCTTTACAAACTGCCAGATCAGACCAAGACCAAGGGCTATCGTCGCATCACGGCCAAGGATATGGACAGGGCGCACAAGCTGCTCGAGGACTATCTGAAGAAATTCTCCCTCTCCCCAGTATTCAGCAAAGAGGAGTTCCGTCACTGGTTCACCCCCAGGGAGGGCATCGTCGACTGCTTTGTGGTGGCGGATGAGAAGGGAAATATCACCGATCTGACCAGCTACTACTGTCTGCCATCCTCTGTGATGCACCATCCGGTGCACAAGGCTGTCCGCGCCGCATACTCCTTCTACAACGTCTCGACCAAAACCCCCTGGCTCGATCTGATGAACGATGCATTGATATCGGCCCGTAATGTTCAAATGGATGTCTACAACGCCCTCGATCTGATGGAGAACAAAAAGTACTTTACGCCATTGAAGTTCGGTGCCGGCGACGGAAACCTGCAATACTATTTGTACAACTGGCGCTGCCCGGCCATGCAGCCGGAAGAAATAGCCCTGATCCTCATGTAAAAAGACTCCATACCACCACACGCACTTTCTCACATCAGTCTTATATACATTCTCGCCCAGTTCGAGTCACGTACGTTGATCAAAATTCCCCACATCCCATCCCGCCAGCTGTGCTGAAAGTCAAACTTTTCTTTGTGCACGTGCAGGTGGGTCGCTTCTTTGCTTAGCTTCTCTACACAGCAATTTTCCAGGCGGAAAAAAAATTGTTCTTTACCTAAATTTTGTATAAATAATGCATTTTGCAATTGCCAGGCTTGAGTATTTTGTACGAATAAAAACAAGCCAAGCTGAATCAGATTTTGAATTTTCAATTGTCCCGCTTCATACGGCAGTCTGGCAACGCTTCACCGCAAACCACTTATACTATTATTTTGCGCGTACAATAGTACTGTAGCGCTTAAACTATTTTAGAGTGCCAAGTTGCAGTGCACTCTATCAAAAAGTAGCAAATTTATAATTATGTGGATAATTATTAATTGTTTTAATGGATTTCAATTGTCACTATTCATCCGACAGTCTGGCAGCACCTGGAGAAAAAAGCGCGCGCTCAGCAGAACACACAGCTGGTTTGGCATTTCTGGACGTGGTTTTCTAAATGTCTTAACTTTAGTTTGTTAGCCATGGACGATCCAATCTTTAAGCAAAAATATGAAAAGTATAAGCTGCGGGTCAAGCTGTGGGAGAGGGATTTCAAGAAGAAGCATGGCCGTGTGCCCTCTAAGGTGAAACTGAAATTTTAATGAAGCACGCACAGAGTTTGTAATTTGTTTACTTGCAAGCAGTACGACATACGCGAGGCCGGCCAGGACATACGCGACTCCTACAAGATGTATTACAAGCTGAAGACGTCGTTTCTGGAGGAGACCCTCAACGACGTGCTCAGCGAGGATGGGTTCGATGTGCTGGAAATGTCACAGGCAAGCGAACTGGGAGTCAGCCTGCTGGACAACGACTTCAGCATGCAGAACGCGCCCCAACTACCGATGGACATGTCCTCGATTGTGGATCAGCAAGCGGCGAGTGGAGGCTTCTCCAATCTGGAGGAGTTGACCAACCCGCAGGCCCTAACGAATCTCGTAAATCGTGATGAAAATCATGTAATCAGAAAATTCGAAGCTGTCGAAGAGCTGCCGAGCAATCGAAATGCCTGGGGCACAGATGTCAGCAAGAAGCAGCCGCTAGAGGCGCCATTGACGCCTTCGATGCCTCACGCTGCTGGGCAGCCAAAGCAACGTGCGGCCAGCTTGAAGCCCAGCCTCAGTGCCAAACTATTTCAGTCCACACGCGGCTTTGCCAAGCGCAATCCCCGTAAGCCACTCTCCCGCAGTTCCTCCAATGTGTGCGCCTCAGCCACATCTGGCAGCCGGCCAGGGCACGACGATCTAGCAGAGGAGCTGCCCGACTTTGAGACAATTCTCATACGCAAGGCGCAGGAGTACAAAGAGAAAGAGCTGGCCCTGGCTGCCAATCCACATCTAGCCACGGATCAGCCCAAAGATGCCATCAAGACGCACGTGGATGAAGGCTGGCTGCAGAGGAACACCAAGGAGAACACTCTCGATGCAGATATGCACAGGACAGATCAAGAGAGAGAGCCCAATAACAATGCCAATCATCTGCCGAAGAAAGTCAACTACGGCCTGGCGAACATCGATCTGAGCATGCTGAGGCCAAGCACGAGTCTGGAGGAGCACCAGCTCCAGCCTCAGCATCAGCCTGAAGTGCAGGCAGAGCATATGGCAGAGACTGATGTGGTGGCGAAACCATCTGTAGAGCAGGAAACGGACAGCGATTCCGACTCTGTGGTGGCCGAAAGTGATGAGGAGCCGGATCCGCAGGAGTATCGACAGTTGGCCAAGCGGCGAAAGGTTGCTCCAGAGGCAGAGGCAGAGCCAGTACACGTAGCAGCAGCGAGCGCCGAACCTATGGAAGTGTCCGCACCGGAACCTGAACATGAGTCCCTACTCAAAGATTTCTCTGCGGATGAGGAAGAGCAAGATGCCACCTATGAGCCGGAGGAAGGGAAAAAAGCCAAGGCAAAGCGTAAGCAAGCAGCTGGAAAAAGACAGGCTACCAAACCCACAGCAGAGAAGCAGCCAAAGGCAGAGAAGAAACCCAAAGCAGAAAAGAAGCCAAAGACAGAGAAGAAGCCGAAGGCGGAGAAGCAACCCAAGGCAGAGACCAAGAAGACCAAGTCAAAGAAGGCCCATCCAGCTGCAGAGTCAGTGCCCGAACCAGAGGAGGAAGAGCAGAGCCAGCCCCTGGATCCAGAAGATCTCAAGTATATGCTCGCCCTGGAGGCGGGCGAAGTAACCTCTGTGCCACGCATCAATCCCCGGGAACTGGAACTGGTAGATGTAACAGCCCAGCGCTACATTAACACCTTTGCCACGCCCACAATGGCTGGAGGCGGAGGAGGAGGAAACTTCCAAGTGAATGAGAAGCGAGCTGCAGCCAGAAAGAAGCTGGAGGAGCGCGTGGCCTCGGGCAAACTGAACGAGAACTTTGTGACCATCAACATACAGAAGAAGAAATTTGTGCGGGGCAAGAAAACGGTGAATTTCACCAAGTACAAGAAGCAGCAGTGGCGCCACAAGAAGCACATTGCGGCACTGAGTGGCCCGGACATGGACATGGGCGGCTGTGATGGCGGAGTGCTGACCTGCTTTCAGTGCGGCGGTGTCGGGCACTTTGCCCAGCAGTGCAAGATGAAGGGCGACAGTCTGCTGCCGCTATCCGCGCAGCTGGCAGAGGATCCCTCGCCGTTTCCCACGCTGGCCGAGGCCCAGGAAATGGCCTCGCAGGGCGCCCTGGTGGCGCACAGTCGCAACATTGAGCGCCTGCCCCAGGCGGCCAATGCGGCCATTTTGCAAATAGAAGAGGAGGAGGAGGACGAGTCGGATGAGAGTGAGGAGGAGATGAGGAGCCACAGCGATGGGGAGAAGGAGCCTTATGCTGAGCCAGATTGGTCCAGCGATGATCCGGATATTGACTTTGAGGCCTTGGATGCTGCTGTGGAAGCTGCCCAGGCGGTGGCGGTGGCTCCCAGTTCACCCATTAAGGCCTACGTGGGCCACAAGATACCCGAAGAGTTCCTTAAACAGGCTGGCCTGGATGCCGCCTCCACTTCGACGACCGGTGGCTCCAGTCGCAGCCAGCATGGCGGAGTTCAGCCACTGTACGATCTTCTGCCCGATGGCAGTGTCCAGGAGGCAACACCCGAGGTCCTGGAAGCCCTACACATGTTTGGCCACAGCAACTTTCGCAAAGGTAAGCTCATTAGCAATCACATTTCTGGCTTATTTTAATGCTGTTTGACAGGTCAGGATCGTGCCATTATGCGCACACTCTCGGGACTGTCCTCGCTGGTCACTCTGAGCACTGGCAGTGGCAAGTCGCTGTGCTACCAGTTGCCCGCGTATCTGTACAACCGGCAGAGGGGTGCCATCACGCTGGTCATCTCGCCGCTGGTGTCGCTGATGGAGGATCAGGTGACGGGGGTGCCGCACTTTCTGCGCGCCCACTGCCTGCACACCAACCAGACGCCCCAGCAGCGCATCAAGGTGCAGGAGATGATTGCCAACGGGGAGATTGACATACTCCTTGTGTCGCCCGAGGCCGTGGTCTCGGGGGAGCGTGCCACAGGGTTCGGGGCCATTCTGCGCAAGCTACCGCCCATCGCCTTTGCGTGCATCGACGAGGCACATTGCGTGTCCCAGTGGAGCCATAACTTCCGCCCTAGCTACCTGATGATCTGCAAGGTCCTAAAGAAGAATCTGGGGGTGCAGACAGTGCTGGGACTCACCGCCACGGCCACGCTGCCCACCAGGGTGAGCATCATCAATCATTTGGGCATCACGGATGGGGAGCGGGGCATCATTAGTGACACCCCCCTGCCGGATAATCTGGTGCTGTCCGTGTCCAAGGATGAGAACCGCGATGCGGCACTGCTGCAGCTGCTCAACAGTGAGAGGTACGCAATCCAAGCTTTGTCCATCAGCCAAACCTCACGCACACATCCCTTGCAGATTCGAGTCTTGCCAGTCGATCATCATCTACTGCACGCGTCGTGATGAGTGTGAGAGGATTGCCGGCTTCATACGAACGTGCGTGCAGGATCGCAGGAAGCCAGCAGCAGCCCAGGAACAGGGCAAGAAGCGCAAGCGTGTGAACTGGCAGGCCGAGCCGTACCATGCCGGAATGCCAGCCTCGCGGCGTCGCACCATCCAGAAGGCGTTTATGGGCAATGAGCTGCGCATTGTGGTGGCCACCATTGCCTTTGGCATGGGCATCAATAAGCCCGACATTCGGGCCGTTATCCACTACAATATGCCGCGCAATTTTGAGAGCTATGTGCAGGAGATCGGACGCGCTGGACGCGATGGCTTGCACGCGCACTGCCATCTATTTCTGGACGCGAGGGGCGGCGATCAGGGCGAACTGCGGCGTCATGTGTACGCCAATTCCATTGATCGCCATGTGATAAGGAAGCTGCTGCAAAAGATCTTTGTGCCCTGCAGCTGTGAGAAGCAATTGCCGAAGGGAGCAGCACCACCGGCCCCGGCAGCTATTGGGGCAGACGGAACACGGCACCACATCTGTCCGGGGCATGAGATTGGCTTCTCTGTGGAGAAGACCGTTGAAACTCTGGACATTCCCGCCGAGAATATATCCACGCTGCTCTGCTACATGGAACTCGAGCCGCGCTGGTGCATAAATGTCCTCAGCTCCGCGTATATCATGGCCAAGGTGATCTCCTACGGCGGCCCAAAGTATTTAAAGTGAGTGTGTGACAATCTGTGAGTGAAACCAATCCTCAACATTCTCTCCTTTGGCTTGTAGACATGCAGCCAAAGAGTGTCCGCCACTGGCCATGGCCATTGCCCTGCAGATCAAGGACAAGAGCTTCAAGGATGACTCGAATATCATCGAGTTCTCGGTGACGGACATTGCCGCTGGCATTGGTTGGAACAGCGGTGTGGTCAAGTACCAGCTGAAGGACCTGGAATGGATAAAGGGTACAAATACCAGTGATGATTGCATCTGAAACATTTCTAACATTCTCCCCTATCCCCTTTTGGCAGTTGGTGGCTACCCAAAGCGTTCCCCCATCACGGTCAGTTTCTACGATTTGGGTTTCCGCATTAAGGTGCCTGGAGACTTCACCGAAACGGAGATCGATAATGCCCTGGACACGCTCTACACGCGCTCCGTAAAGCAGGAGAAGACCCAACTGATTCAGCTGCAGTACGTAGCCCATGGCCTGGCTGCCGTGGCCTACAGCTCGTGTGGCCACTGCTGCAGTGCGGACTTTCCGCAGGATCGATGCACACAGCTGAAGGCCATTGTAAGGAACTACTTCCAGAACGACTATCCGCAGAGCCTTGAACTGGAAATTGAGCCCAGCAATGTGCCGGATGAGAGCATCGTTGATGATGTTCATTCGCTGATCAATATGTATCCCGACAACACGTTCACTGGACGGAACATTGCCCGCATATTCCATGGCATCACCAGTCCAAACTACCCGGCCGTCATGTGGGGACGTTGCAAGTTCTGGCGCGTCCACATGAAAGTCGACTTCAATCGCATCCTCCAGTTGGCCAATCAGGAGATTATCAAACGGCGGACTTGAGTCAATGTTTTAATAGCTGTAGCTAAGCGGCATCTTTAAATCTGTTCAAATAAAATATTTTAATATGTAGAAATACTTGTTGCAAGTCGCTACCCCCAAAACAGCTATAGTCAAACATTTTTTTTAAATTAAATAAAACGGCTAAAAATGTTTTTTTATTTTAAATAAATTTTTTCCGAATTAAAGTGCCGCTTATCGCACAAAAATATCTTTATTTTTCTACAGCCTATCGATGAATGAAATCGATATGAAACAGTAGAAAAATAGTGGGAAACTAATCTTATAAGATTAGATAAGATAAGATGATGCATCACACAAAAAAAATTATATTAATATTTTTGCCAGTTTAAAAATATATCACAAAATATATCATCCTCGAACAATATATATCGATATATTGATGCATCAATGTAGATATATATTTAACATCCCTATTAACTATTAAACTCGCAAACCGTTTCCACCCGCGCTGTTGTTTCTTTGCTGTGCGCTCTCGTGTGCGAAACCCAATAAAGAAATTATCGGGTACGGCCTCAGCTAACGTGAAATCCCATTGACCAATTATTAATAAGTGCACGTGCATAAGTTTCATTCCATTCCCCCAAAGTTGTGACTGTGCAGAATTATCACACATTCTGCATATACATATATACATACATACATCCATGTATGCACATATTTACTGTGCACACAGCGTGCACCACCTCCTCTCGCTGCAGAAGCGCAGGAATTTTGCGCGTGGCCTGGCCGTTGGAGAAGCTTACAATTTATTTATGCAGATAACTTTGAATGCTGCGCATTTGCTTGGCACTTAATTTCTCTGCTTTGTTTCACAACGAAACTTCTTCGACTGGTGCCGTGCCCCACCCCCGCGCGGCCTCTAGAAAACTGCATATACATATCATTGAATTGTGTATATAAAAAATGTATATATAAACTTTTGTTTGCAGCCACTTCAGTTGGAGTCAGAGCCGCACCTCCTGCGGCCAGTCAGGCAGTGAAACACCAGCAGCAGCAGCAGCATCGTCGATTCCCAAGCAGGCATCCAGCTTCGGTAAGTTCTACCTACTACCCACATACATACAAATATACAGAAATCAGAACAATGCAGCCAGTAGCAGCCAGAAGCAGAAGCAACAAAAAAGTAAACGTGTCCACGCCTGTCGCGGGCCCTTTGCCGTTGGGCGGTCACCGAACTGGGTGGCGGGTGTGCACTTCCCACTCCCTTTACTCCCAGGTAGACGTCAGTCCCTCGGCACGTATTCGCGCTCGATATCAGCATTTTGACAATTGCTGTAATCCTTTCAACCTGTCTCTGCTGTTCTTCTGCCTGGGTCTAGGACTTGTTATTCCTGATTTATCATGTGTGTGCGTGTGTGTGTGGTGTGTGTTTCCCCCCGGCTGCATAACCGGTTGCTAGTCATTATCATATGGGCAACACGATGGGGATTAATCATCTGTTTATCCGGAGGTTCTATGACTCACTGCCTGCTTGTTGTTCTTCAAGGAAATCTCTCTCTGTCGGTCTCTCACGGTCTCTCTCTCTCTCTCTCAATGTACTTTGTTAAATAAAATCATGTTAAAGTTGTGGGACATTATAATTCGATTTAAAGGGTCATGCTCCCACACACAGTACCCTCCACAAATTTACTGGCAAATTGAGTGCAGAAAACCCTAGAGAGAGTGAGAGAGGAGCAAAAATCAATATGTGTTAATAGAATTCTGTGGCAAGGAAATTAAAACAAGCTCATGCACCCATGCACCATGCAACCTAAATTATTCTGTTGACTTTGTATCAAATATTTGAATAGCATAGCATGCACTTGATTTGTGGTCTCAACATATTGAGTCGATGGCAGCCGAAATAAACAGCAAAAGTGGGTTATGTGTGCCATAAAGTCGACTTAATTTACGACTGCAGCCACGAATGTGGGTTAGCGTAGGTCCAGATAAGGCTACTCTCACCCACCCATCCCCAACCAAACACCGCGCCACACCACAGCACAGCAAAAAGGAGTGGGAGTACGATCTAATCTTTGGAAGCAGACAGAGCAAGGCAATTGGGGCTTAGAATCTATATAGATATGAGCCTTAATACGAGTGGGGGAAGGAATTCTCTATTGAAATTGGATTTCTTTTCCATTCAATGCCAATGCAAATTGTGTCTACATATAACTGACATACTATCCATGCCATGTCTCTTCTGTTTTGCTCTGTATATGTCATAGGTGCACTCTGCTACCTCTGGGGGTGGTTCATGCAACGTTTTTACGCACTCCACAGCCACTCCCACAGCCCCCACTTTTCCGTGCCCCGAGGGCCTGTAGGCAGAAGCGGGTTAATCGTTGGAAAAAAATTGTTTTTTTTTCTCTTTTAGTTTCCTCGTTTTTCAGGCCCTTTATTTCTGGTTTGTGGGTCAACTGCAGTGCAATTTCTGCCATTAAAATAATTATTTGATTGCAAGTGGAGATCCGATGAAGCAACCAAGCCCCAACTAAAATTCATAATTAATGAGCACTGGAGTAGAAGATTAGCACTATCTGAAGCACCCCCATATGTTCCCATGTTACCAGATATCGTTTATACAATCCGTTTAGCTTATCGGCATGTGGCATGCGGTTTCTGTTTTTTGGTGATTGAGTGATTGGACTTTACTGGACAGTTAGTTCCCCTGCTGTGCTCTCTAATCAAGCAGCACGAAAATGCTCTTATCGTACGACAACAGGGGAGGTGTGGGAGGTGGGTTCTCCAAACCGTAAGTGGAGAGTAGACGAGCTGTGCGACTCGTTTCAGTTCGCACACTGGAAATTGTACTTTGAATCAGCAGTGGATTGTGAGCTGCATTTTGAATTGATTTTAATTGAGTTTCGTAGGCCACGCATGTCACGTGCTGTCTAGATGTACGATAGATAGATACTTACATGCATACATACGTACATATGTATACAGAAAAGCATAGAAATATGCATCGATTTTATATGTAGCATGTAAAGATACATCCTTGAGGCAAGCACAGCAAACAAATCAAAACCGGAAATTATCTTTTTTTGATATGTAGAACAAATCACGTAGTTGCTATACCCCCCACCCTACCCTACCCGTCCCGAGGCCGTATGCAATGTAGCCGTTACATTTAATTACAATTACAACTTCATTTAAATTATGCAGTGAGTTTCGGGGGGCTGTGACATCACATCACCGCTTTAAGTGGCCAAAGATATTTAGTGGTAGCATATAGCAATGGCTTAACCATAATTTAAGCGACTTGTCTGTCTACCTGCTTTATGCCAAACACGTTCGTGCGTTTGTTCGACCATTGCCAAGAGCTCAAAGAGCTTAACGGAGCGGAGCCACAGCGTATCGCCTATCAGTGATTCCCAGTGACATATTTTAAGCCATCGCTCGGTTGACCATTCGGTTGGCTTGGCCTGGCCGGGCCTGGCCCTATCTCCTTGGGAACACAGGTACCGCGGGGGGAGTGGTCGTACTGTCCGTGAACGGTGCACATGGCCGAGACAGAGGCAGTCAATTTTATGCAGTATTTAATCAAGTGTGAACGAACGAGGTTTCTCTCCCGCTTGAGGTTCCTTACAACATTCCAATACAGTATCGACTCTACACGTCTGTACATAGGAACAGCTGTAAGTAAGTTCTGTTACGTAGTGGATTCACCATATATGTATACCTTTGTTCTTTGGTTCAGTTACTGTATATATGTACTACATATATTTCCCAGAATATTGCTTGTTCTACGGAATCACATGTGCTTATTTTCTGCAATATTTGCCAAGGCATACAATACGATAGGGTTTCTTCCGTGTTGACACAAACATTCATCTATATACGAGTGTATTCTAGGGATTTACTTTGCTATAAATACCCTTTCAAAGGGTAAACGAGATCAGAAGTTTGTGCAAAACGGAACCTAAAACATAAAGGATAACGGAAAGATCGGGGGACAAATACTAGTTAGATATGGATTTTCCATATAAAAAATAAATCTTTTGTTATATACCCCGATGGAATGGGGTTGATGTATACTGATGTATGTACATTTGTAGTACTATTGACTTGCCATCTTGAAGGGTATACAATTTTCGGTACTCCAAAATGGGTTTCCTTTCTGGTTCTTTCTAGGGATCCGATCCCCGATCCCCTTTGTTTCAATAGAAATTATGAATAGCACGCTTGACTGTTTGTTTGCCTCAGATATAAATTGCTTACATTGTAAGCCAAAAAAAATTGTATCCATGCGATGACTCCCACTGTCGTCGCGTTCTCTGAGTCCCAGTGCCCCCACCGCCTACCCACCATCCTCGACCGATAAGCATTGTCGTCGTGTGTGTCTGTCTGCCACTTGTGTGCCTGTGTTTGCCTTTTGCGCACAAGCTTCCAAATCAGAGTCTAATCACAAAGAGATTATTGCTTATCGGTGGTGTTTATCTAGCATAATAGTTCGCCTTTCCTCCCCTCCCCTACCCCCTACCCACAGATGTAAATTGCAGCAGAGGCTGGCAATTCCCACAACCCCCGACCACCCCACCCCTGACGAAAGATAACGGCACCCATTCGGTGGTACGCATATATCGGCGAAACCCCCGCCACTCCACTCCTGTGCTGCGCACGGTACCGAAATGTTGAGATGGCTGATGAAGGGAAGGGAGGGGAGGGGTGAAAGCGGGAGAATAGATAAAAATCAAAATCCTCCGTCTCTGCTGCTCGCATCCCCTTCCTCAACTTCTCTCGCTCTCTCTCACGTCTCTTTTGTACCCATTTATTGGCGAAACCCCTTCCGCTGTCGCTCCTCTGCGCACGACACCCATTGGCTGTGTGGTGGGGGAGGTGGAGAACAGATAAAAATCAAAATGCAAAAAGAAAACCTTTTGGCCTTTTTTTTGGCGTCTCGTGTGCCGATCAAAGAGGTGGAAGTGGGCGAGGAGAGGAAAGATAAAAACAACGTGGAGGAGGAGGGCGATTGTGTAATCAGTTCTTGTTGGCTTTTACGTTTAGTCAGAGATCTAGGAATGCTAATCAAGATAGCGCAAATATCCCCCCTGGATACACTTGGAGTTAGTTCGGTGCACGTGTTCCGGTGCACCATCCACTTTAGTGGGTGCTGCCTGTTGTTGCCTTTTGCAGGTTGCTCAGCCAACGGAAACGATGCGATGGGTGTTTTTTTTTGTTTTTGGTTCGGTTTGGGTGCTGCATTTCCTATGGAAATTCCAGTTGTTTTTCTTACCCAAAGCCCCCCTCTTTGTTTGCTTCCCTTACCTCTCTATCTCAACATTTGTTTGCTTTCCTATCCATATCCCTCCTTTTATGCTTCCCTTTCCTTCTCGGGCACTTTGTTTATGTCCCTTCGCTGATTTCCCCTTTGTTTGTCCGGCGCCCCTGGCAACGGGCTGGTGCTGGGTGCTGGGCAATTGTGTCGCCTTTCGTTCGATGCCGACGATCCACTTGTATTCAAAATTGATTCCACTTCGTTTACAGTCACCACTTTTACCCAGACGAAATAGTTCGAACCATAGAGCAGCAGTTCCTCCATAAAATGCAGTTCTTTGCGTGAGTTTTTTTTTGGTACTGATGGCTCTGAAGGAGGTGGAGCAGCCACATGCTGTCCATTCAAGCGTAAAGCGAAGCAAAGCCAAGCCCCCACATACGAATGGTGGGGCTATCGTGGGCTCGTTCAGGCTGCTCCTATCTATTGAATTCAATTTAATTCCGCTCTAAAGTAAGCGGCGTGGCGAAAGGGCAGGGCTAAAACTTTTCACCCACGCAACAAACAAAAGGCTAAATGGAAAACAGTTTGAAAACAACTGCAAATGGGAAAACAATGGCAAATTGATAAACTCGCAATTTGTTGGCCATTTGTTTGGGTGCCCACCGTGCCTGGAAAAAGTGCATTTCCCGAGGCGGCTGTTGGTTGAATGAACTTCAAATAAGTTGAAGCAAAATTGATTCTAATCTCTCTCTCTCTCTCCTTCTCTGTTTGCAGCTTCTCCAAGATGGCCAAGTACTCGGGAAAGAAGTGCCGCCTGCTCTCCATGATGTGGCTGACGGCATTCTTTTTCTTTGTGGAAATCATCGTTGGATATGTGACAAACTCCATGGCTTTGGTGGCCGACAGTTTTCATATGCTGGGTGACATTGCCGCATTGGTTATATCATTTCTGTCAGTGAAGGTAAGTCCCCTCCCTTAAGACCCCCACATTGATAGCACACCGCTCTAATGTCCCCCCTCTATATCTCTTTCGACAGATGTCACCGAAAAAGTGGTCGAAGAACACCTTTGGTTGGGCCCGTGCCGAGGTTCTGGGTGCTTTGGTCAATGCCGTGTTTCTGGTGGCGCTCTGCTTCAGCATCACCATTGAGGCGTGCAAGCGGTGAGTGTCATTACGATGCCGAACTGAGATTGAGAGTAATTACATATCAAAGTCCGCACCCCAGTGGCTCCAACTCGATCCGATCGGATGGGATCGATCGGAGCTGATCTGTGAGAGGAGCATTAAGCCATAAAGCTTCTCGACGTGATTTGATTACATTTTCTGAAATTATCTTAATTTTATTCGTGTGTGAGTTAACATTCCGTGTTAATGCCAACTGCCCCTGACACCTGTGTGTGTGTTTGGGTTTGGGTTTTTATTTAATTTGCATTCCGCGGGCATATTATCCGCTTTCGTTCACGAGGTGAAGCGATACCCTTTCGATTGGGTGGGGGTGTACGGCAGCTGATGCTCGACACGCACAAGCGAATGCTGCAAAAGAGAATGCCAGAGAATTTCTTTTTGAATCCTAAATCCTTTTCTTTCCTTTTATCAGATTCATTGAAATGGAAGAGATCCATCAGCCCAAACTCCTGGTTATTGTTGGTGTTCTGGGACTGCTCGTCAATTTGATTGGACTGTGCCTGCTATATGGTAAGATATATGCAAATCCAAAATCTGTCCAAAACCATTATCTAACAGAATTGATTGCGTTTATGCAGAGCATGGCGGACACCATGGACACTCGCATGGCGGCGGTCTCACGCGCAATCACAGCCGCCTCACCGAATTGGCCAACATGGACGAGGGCGAGGGCGATGATGAGCAGAATGATTATGCCTACGAGAAGCAAAAGGAGAAGAAACAAATTAAGAAATCCAGCCATGGCCACAGCCATGATCCTGGCTCGATGAACATGCGCGGCGCCTTCTTGCACGTACTCAGCGATGCCCTGGGAAGCGTCATTGTGGTCATCAGCGCTGTTGTGGTGTGGACGACCAAATGGGAGTATCGCTACTACATGGATCCCGCTCTCTCGATTGTGCTGGTGGTGCTCATTCTGCACTCTGTGTGGCCATTGTTGCGTGAATCCGCCTTGATTCTGCTGCAGACTGTGCCCACGCACATCCAGGTGGATGCCATACAGAAGCGTCTGCTGGAGAAGGTCGATGGAGTGCTGGCAGTGCACGAGTTTCATGTGTGGCAGCTGGCAGGTGATCGCATCATTGCCTCTGCACACATACGGTAGGTTATAGCTGAAAATTGCGCTCTTCATCCATTTAATCCATTTAATGATTAATCTGTCCTTTTAAAGCTGCCGCAATCTGTCGGAGTACATGAAAATTGCCGAAAAGGTCAAGGAGTTCTTCCACAATGAGGGCATACATTCCACCACCATTCAGCCAGAGTTTAGCGAAATCGAGGCCTGCAACATGTCCGATGGTACCTCCAGCATCAACATGAGCGGCTCCGATTGCTGTGCCCTCGACTGTCCCACCACCGATGAGGGCTGTGTCAAGGCCACTTGTTGCCAAAATAACAATAAATTGGTATGCAAAAAGCCACGCCTCCTTCTGTCAACAGCATTCACAAGTTAAATTGCCTTTCAGAACCCACTGCCTTCACCCACCAATTCGCCTTATCTGTGTCGTCAGCGGAATGCAGCTCGTCAGGCTGGCGATGTGGAGGCTGGCTCGCTGCTGGAGGCGGCAACGTCCAATGGGAACCCAGGCGCTGCGGCCGGGGAAGTTAGCGACTCCCTTGCCATTGCGGCGACATCAACGCCAAAGAGCGAATTAGTCTGACAACATCCAAAGCAAGCGCACCAGCAACAGCCGCAGCAACCGCAACCGCAACATGTAGTACACTTTGCCACGACCAAGCCAACAGCAACAGCAAAAGAAAAAGAAAAAGCAACAAAATCAGCCACAAAACCAAAAGCAAAAGCAACAGCAGCAGCAGCAAAAGCAGAAACATCATCAATACGTGATATAATGTGCGAGCCAACAAGCGCCAACAACAAAGTAGAAGTGGCTTCCAGCAGTGGGTGTGTCGTGGGTGGTGACGCCGGCGGGAACAATCTGTCGTCGGTGACTGCCCAGCGTCGACGAGAGCTTCAGTTGCGCGCCGAACAACAGTTTGAGGAGCAGGTGACTGTGACGCCTCTGAGAAGCCGCAACGGCGATGAGGTTGCCCTCTAATTGGGAGCCCAAGCTGTTTAATTAGTTAGTTAGGAGACTGGTGCTGCCATGCCACTTGGTGCAGTATTTTCTTGTGTTTCAGTGTTTTTGTATCCATTATTTGTTCTTAGTAGAATTTAGGCATAAATGAGAGAAGGAGTATAGCATATATTGATAGACGATAAATGGATAGACCATAGGTGCAGTGCTGGCTGATGATTGTTTGCTAGTTTAATTGAAAAATCAAATCAAAAGCAAAAACCACACAATTGAATGGGGGCAGCGAAAGTGTTTGTGGGGAGTTGTGCGTGCTGTTTTTAGGGGACATATTTCGTTTCATTCATTTTACTATATATAGAGCATACACACCTATAGCAGCATATGTTAATACCTAATCGAAGAGTGTAGTTAATTCAACAAATATAGTTATTTAAGTTAAACAAAAAACAACAAAACAAAACAAAAAAGTAAACGTGAGCCCAACCAAACCAGAGAAATACACATATGTACTACAGATACGTTTTTTACATTTTGAAAAGTTTATACCGTCGCAAAAAAAAAACACATGAATTATTGTATTCAATATACATAGTTATATATATAGTAGGGTATAGTAGGTATCCATCTACGGCTTAGTGAATGACTAAAAGACAGTTGTACTGTCTGTACGCGCACATCCATCGTATGCATTCGCATATGGCATGGTATGGTTAGGGATTCGTTAGTTAGGGATAGTGTCTCTTATTCTTAGTAGTTGTAATGCTATTTGTAAAAAGAGTTTTTACCGCAACCCAAGAGAAACTAGTTTCTATTTAATTTTAATCGTATCGAAACTTTATAATGAATATACATCATGTATTATTTTATGATCTGCATTCACTCGCAACGCAAGTGTGCAATATGTTTGTAAATAAACGTCAAACATAATCGATCAACGGATAAAATCGAATCAACTTTTATTCCAAGTGGAAAAGTCGGAATTCCAAGCACTCATTGCAGGCCTTGCAAACCCGTAATTTCAAGGACGATCTATGGGACTCTGTGTTCCTACCAGCAATAAAAATACCAGCTTTGTTATATCGGGAACAATCGTGGCCACCATGGGGCAAGCACATCAACCAAATGATTAAATATATTTCTTTAAAAGGCATGCGATTATTTACAAATTAACAATTTACAACAAAATAACAAGGATAGAATTGGATTATGATTATGATTGGAATGAAAAATGCATGCAATAAGTTATGGATAGACTAGGTAGAGAAAAGAAAGCTAGAAAAAAGTATGTACAATCGAATTAAAAGAATGCCAATGACTAGTGCTCCCCGACATCGCCGCCACCATGCTCGTCTGGTTGTAGCTGCTGTGAGAAGCGAAGCTGACGCTATAAGTTCTCATCGAGATTCTCGTCGGTGTTCTCCTCCACAATGGCCTCGTCCCAGGGTCCATGGATGTTGAACTTGTATTTCTGCTGCCTCACGAATATGAACGGACACACAAAGTTGATGAACAGCGTGCTGCTGGCGTAGAGACAGAGCACCGGCCGCGATATCCAGTAGAGAGCTCCGCAGCAGATGGCAAAGATGGGGATAATGAAAAGGGCATTCCAGTTGGCCTCCGTGATGATGGGATACAGGACAAAGAAGATGGCAGCCTCGACGAGCAGCACAAATGCATGATACGACGTCGAGAGGCGCGAGGCCAGGCAGATGGATCCGAATATGGCCGCGTTCAGCGATATGGCTTTGGAGACCACGGCCACGTCCAGTCCGTAATTGGTGAACATCAGGTTGGCCAGCAGGACGAAGAAGGTCATGGTATAGATGGTGTCCGTGCTGATGGCCTGCGTCAGGGTGTGCAGCATCGGGGAGAACAGATAGCCAAAGAGGACGACCGTTGCCAGGGTCTTTGAATCCTCTCCCAACAGCGACATGCTCAGACTCCTACCGCGATAGCACAGATAGCCCATTCCGGTGACCCCACAGCTGGGCAGGAGAATGGTGGTGGGCGAGACGCTGTCACTGAGCATCATTTGGTAGAGTATCAGGAAGCCGGCTATGCAGGAGATCTGGTTGTTGAGCACCGTGATGCCGGCTATGGCCTCTCTGTAGGTGTAGATGCGCACATGGAGATTGGTGCGCAGATCCTCGAGGAAGCTGGCATCGGTATAGTTGTCTGGGTATTCGCGGTTCGAATAGAGGTTCTTCACCCACGGCTTTCGTTTCTCCTGCGTTTTCTTTGGCATTTTTGAACATGGAAATTGTTTATATTTATTTGCATTCGAATGTGACCATAGTCTGGAATACAATAAAAACAGAATACCGAAAATACACCTGCCCTGTGGTTACCTACGTCCCTGGCTAGACATTTCATTTTGTTGATACCCCATTTTGTAAACAATACAATACAAGAGAGTGGAGTCCTTAAAATTAGATAATATTAATAATATTAGTCGCTGTTTTTATGTTGTTCACCTGTTTAAGTGGCGGTTTTCTAAAGGTGGCTTAAGTGGGTTAAGGCGAACATCAGGAATCCTGATATTCCGGGCCGGACATCGAAACGACCGGGGCGAACATCCAAAGAAAGCCGTAAAAATTAAATAAAACGTGCTTAATCGAACGCTATATCATTACAATTATAAACAATTGGCCGAGCCGACTCGTCTGCTTTTACGTAAGATATTCCACCAAATTACTGGAGGGTGCGCTGTTCTTGTTTTTGTTTGGGCTGCTGCTGCTGCTAGAATTTTGCAAAACCCACTCGCACACACATACCACCTGTTTGTTTATAACCAACACAAAGACATCCGGACAGATAGACAGAGGAGCGGAGCCCGTGGAGCCACAAATAGTTGGGGAATTGCGTGTGTGCGCCCCCATGAGTAGTAATCGTAACGTAGTTTTCCGCAGTCGCCTCCGAAAGTCGCGTGTCGCACACATTCGATCATTTATTTATGGCGTCAAATGCGCAGCTCGGAAAAATCATTTTGATAACCGCAATCGCCGTGTTTTTCTACTATTTCTTTTGGGTGGCGGTGCTGCCGTTTATGCTCATCGATGAAGGTGAGTACGACTACGCTACGAGTGGAAGCAACAACAAACAGCAGCTGCTCTGCTGCTATTTTTTTTATTAAATAATCTCCGCACGGTTCGCGGGCGGCTTTTGTGCAGTAATTAAAGTAACGCTCTTTAAATTGGACAGTTATTACTATGTATATGCCATATAATCAACAATACAATACATGCACACATATAAGCAGATGTACATAGTAGATGCTAATGCGTAAATGATTTAAAATGTTACCTGAAATGTGAATGACGCTCTCTAGGGTTTTAGCCTTTTTCAAGGTCACACTTCTAACACACATTCTCTCCCTCTCTCTCTCTCTCTCTCTCGACAGGCAATCCCATAAGGCTGTTCTTTCCGCCTCTGAAGTACGCATTCATAGTGCCTTTTATATTCGGGGTAATCTTCCTCGGCGGCATTGCCGCGTTCTCCTTCTACCACATTTGGAGCCTAAAGGTGAAGCGCGATTAGAGCAGCACACGCAGCACAAGCGATCCGGTAAGGTTATCACTTGGAGCCAACGCGCTGCGATTAAACTGAATATAGGAAAGGAATCCCAACGTCAGTCGACTACAAGATGCCTCAGTGGCTGGTCATTGGCATTTCGGGTGTCACTTGCGGCGGCAAGACGACCCTGGCCCACAGTCTGCACGAATACTTCAAGGGCCTGAGCGGTGCACCGCTGTGGAATTCGCCCTACACCATTGGGGATGTGCAGCTAATCTCGCAGGACGACTACTTTCTGCCTGTGGAGGACAGGCGACACACGCGCAACGAGGCACTGAAAGTGATCAACTTTGAGCTCCTCACCTCGCTGGACATGAGCAAGATGTTGAATGACATAGCCCAGATCATCAAGGGACGGCACCTGGCACCCGAGCCGGCCGAGCAGTTGGTCACTTATGCAAATTTCGAGCACTATGCCCTGCAATTCCAGCAGCAATATCGCCAGCACCACTACAATGCCAACTACTACAAGCAGGGCGGAGCCGCAAGCGGTGCCTATCAGTATGTGCCTCAGCAGCAGCAGCAGCGGCAGCATCACCATCAACAGATTCACCACCAGCAGCAGCAACAGCAACAGCAACAGCTTCAACAACAGCAGCAGCATGCGGCGCACATCATGCGATTGAATGCCCAAATCGCTGCTCAGTTGAGGGATAAGAAAATCAACTTTCTCCTGGTCGAGGGCTTCATGATATTCAACCAGCCGGAGCTGCTGGCTCTCTGCAATATCAAGTACCACTTTCATTTGCCCTATGAAAAGTGCTTCGAGCGGCGCAGGAAGCGCACCTATGATCCGCCGGATGTCACCGGCTACTTTGAGCTCTGTGTGTGGCCGCACTACGAGAAGAACTTTAGCGAGTATCGGGACTGCAAGGACATTACCTTTTTGAATGGCGAAATCTCCAGGGACAAGATCTTCAAGTATGTGCTGCAGCGCATTGTCCACTACTTTGAGGAGCGCTGCGATGTGCCAGCGGCAGCGCCGCCCGCATGTCCGCCACAGCAGAAACGTTTCGGTATGCTCTACGTGGGGGGAACGAGCAACAATAACGTATTACCCACGGCCTGCCCCATGGAGCAGTAGTAGTAGGGCATAAAACCTGTAGATTGTAGCAACTGGCTTAAAGTAATGGATGCCGAAAGGAATGCAAATATTTCGAATTGCTTTGCATTCATGCATCCACTGCAGGCCCCAGTGTACCCTACCTTAAGGGAGGGATACATACGAGTATATGTACAACGTTTTTATTAGTTAGTTTTATTTCGTATTTAAGATAGTTGTTATGTGGGTGAGACATGACATGACATGACGCGATGACATGGATAGTCTCTCTCTCTACGGATAATTATCCGTTGATCATTCAGATTCGATTGTGAAATATTGAAGGAAACCCGGTTCAGGAATTCATACTTTAGCTGTGCTAACTATTATATAATTGTATTATATTACCATCCCCCCCCCCACCCTTTAAATGAAATGAAAACCAACTGGAAAATGCTTAATTTGGTGTGAGGGATTAACGATGTAAATGCATGAGCCTTGTACATATATATCTTAGTGTAGAACTACCCCCCCGCATGTTTAAAGTTAGCCCCTACGACTATGACGACTATGAAAAAAAAAATGAATTCTAATTTTTTCTTGTGCGAAACAAAACACACACCGACACAGACACATAATGAAAAAAATAAAGAAACATTTAACCAGAAACTGAAGCACACAAAGACAAGTAAATGATTGAATCGAATCGAATCCATTTCGAACTAATTAATTTGTTTATTCTGCTACAGAAGCCATCTCCTGCATTCCAAGCGGAGGGGTTAAGGGGGGTGTTTTTCGTTTTAGAACAAGAGAAATAATAATAATAAATATATAAACTAAAAGCTATATGAAATATACATGGTTGACATCGCCAGTTTGGGTATTCAGTGTCCGTATCTGTTAATGCAACCTGCTAGAATCGTGAGTAGTGGGTAGGTAGTGCTGCAGCATGGCCTGCCATATTATTGCCAATTGAATGAGTAAGTGGTCTGCTGCTGTTCCAATCGTGATCTTGATCGGGGGGTGACTACACGGATTATATCAATGTATGTACTTTGTTTATGCTTAGAATTATGGTAATAACTTTTCTGCTTATATATGTTGCATATGTTGTGGGTCTAGCCATGGCCTTAAGCGGCGCCATCGGTGTGGTGTGGATATGGGCCGCCGCAAGTCAAGGCGGAAAGGCAGCTGCAAAAGGATATACAAGATATAGTAATATTCGTTCGATCATGCGCCGGATCCACTCACCGACAACTAATCTTTGTTTCTTTTAGAGGGCATCCCAGTCGGTTTGACTGTTGTAGACCTCCTCTTCGAGCCACACCGCATAGTTTGCCTTAAAGTAGTCCGTCAGCTCCACTTTGCGATCCCACCAGCCCGAGTGCCCGAAGAAGGCAAAGTCCGAATGTGTGAGAATCTCGTCGCTGGGGAAGCCACCCTCCACACCGTAGTCATTGAGCTGCTGCTGTTGCTGCTGATTATTGCCACTATTGTTGCCGCCGCCGCCTCCTCCTCCGTTGTTGCCACCATAGCCGTTCGAGTCGGCTCCTCCATTATTGCCACCATAGCCGTTGCCTGCATTCATGTTTGACTGCTGCGCATTCTCTGCATTCTGTGCAGCCGTGCCGCCACCGCCGCCGTTGTTGCCGCTGCCACCACCCGCTCCGCACTTCTGGGTGGCCTCCGGATAGCGCCGCAGATTGAAGCGATCCACACAGGCCCGCAGCGTGCACTCCTCCGCCTGGAAGTCCCAGGGACGCGACTCGAGATCATTGCCAAAGGCCCAGTCGTCGTTGAGGCGATGACGCACCTTGGAATAAATGGCGCTCATGGTCTTCATGTTGGACTTGCGCCACTGGCGGCCCAAATACTTGGTCTGCATCTTGAGTAGCTTCAGCACATACAGCTGCATCATGGCGTGGCGCACCTTGAGCGTCTTTTTGAGAATGGGGGCCGACTTGAACACAACCAGCATCATGACGCGCGAATGCTTCCATTTGATGAGCTTATTGAGGATGCGCAGCAGATTAATGCACGAGAAGACATTGCGCCAGGAGTAGGGCTTGTCGGACATGTCGGCGCCATATACGAAGCTGTCGCCGCTTAGGTCCGGCTGCTCCCCGATCACGCAGGAGGGGAAGTCGAGCAGTGGGATGTTGTTCTTCGTGTTGACGTACTCGGTGATTGTCTGATTGAAGAATTTCAGTACCAGGGGAATGCAGTTGGCGAACACCAAGTGCTGTGACATGAACTCGAACTGATAGACGTGGTTGATCTTGAAGTGCTTCAAGTAGAGCAGGATAATGGCCGAGACGGCCTTGACAATGATCTCCTTGTGCCTGCCCATGTCCACTGTTAGCTTAGTCGACTGTGTGGCCGTCAGCGGCATCTTCTTGGGCAGCACATCGGCCATTATGTTGATGCTCTCCGTCTTGGACTTGGATGTGGGCGAGGCAGCTAGCAACACCTTCAGCAGGGCTATCATGTATTGCGGCAGATTGGGCAGTATGGCCTGGTACAGGATCTCTGCGGGCGTCAGCTTGATCTCATCCTCGTGCGTGGAAATGGGATTCCTGGCAATGTCCTCCTCCTTCTTGATCTGCATATCCGCCAGACTCATGTACATGTGCCGCTGCAGCGTCTTGAAGCCCTCGTGTATGGGCTGCGGCAGGCCCGCCAGGCTCTCATGATCCCCAATCAGCGAGTAGCCAATGAATTTGTTTCGCGAAATGTCCAAGAACTGATCGATGTCCTTCTGACGCACCTTGGGCGTCCAGGGCAGGCGCGCCGTGATCTGCACTGGGGGCACTGCGGTGAGGGGTGCTGTGAGGCTGGGCTGATTGTTGGGATTGGCCGTCGCCGTGGTTGAGGCGGAGGATGAGGGATCATCGAAGGGCCGATAGTACTGCAGGAGTTCCTCCTCGCCATTGCTGCCACCGTTGTTGCCGCCAGCATTGTTGGCATTTCCCGATCCCTCGTTGCCACTCATCTCCATGTCGATTTGCTCCGGCTCGTCCAAGAAGCGCTGCTTCATCAGGGATCGTCTGTAACAAACAGAATAAAGGTAATGGAGACTCCACTTCAAGGGAGAACTCTACTCACTTGAAATTCCTCTTGGGATACTGATTCTCCAGAATATCCGTTGCGGTGGCGGGGGGTGAGCTGGCTCTCATGCATTTTGTGACCTCTAGCGTATCCTCTGTGATCGGATCCAGGCCCACCTTCAGTCGGTACTCGTTTTTGAGATTCTTGAGGACATCCATGCCACCAAGTCCCAGGAGGGAGACCTTCCAGAGCAGCAGGACCACCTTCTTCATTGGAAACTGTGGAGCAGCGCCACTGCAGAAGCGCGTAATCATGCCAAGCAATTTGACGGCCAGCAGCTCGCCATCGGGCAGGGGGGAATTTATCTCCTGGACAAACGACTCGGCCAGATCCTTGTAGTCCTCACTAGCCTTTTTCGCGCTCATCGCGAATGGTTTCCGTGATGATGTACAGCACAGAGAGTATGACTCGGATGTCCGTCGAGTCCACCAGGGTGACGTTCGTGATCTTGACGGCCACAATGTCCGGGGAGCAGGCACTCTCGATCTCCATATTGAGCAGATCGATGAAGGACGAGAAGACGCCCAGCTCGTAGAGCACAATCACATTGTCCCGCGTATTCTGGTGCTGCTCCTCATCCGATTGCACCTCGGCCCAACAGCCCTGCGCCAGATACAAGATGCACCGAGCCGCCTGCATTCGTAACGTTCGATTTGAGACCTCAAGCTGGTCGATGAGCTTCATCACAATGCTGCGCTGTGAGGCTGAGTCCTGCTTCTGCCAGTTGGGCGGCAGGTCGTACAGCTCCATTTGGTCCTCGAATGCCTTTACATTCGACTGAAATTCACTGTACTCCGTGTAGCTGTACAGCTCGGCGATCTCGTTCTGGTAGCTATCCACATCGGAGTACACGAAATCCAGGTCGGGGCCATCGCAGTTGGCGTCCACATCGTGGGTGTCCTGCTCGAAGGAGTTGTTTATGGATGAGAGCATCATTTAGAGGCTGTTTTCTGTCACAGAGCCGTGTGTCTCCGGGTGTGTGTGGGTGTGTATGGTGGGTGCGTAAATGTGTATCCGTATCCGTGATTCCCTGCTGCGGGCGACGAATGTGTGAAGAGTGTGTTTGCGGTAGACCGTGAAAGAGGCCGACTCCAGTCCTGTGTACTCGCTAAAACACTGGCATTATACTATGTTGGTTGCATTTCACTAGAAATTTGGAAAATATGTTCTGTAAAAAACAAAACACACGCACACGCACAAAAGAAAGAAGAAAATTTACCTATGTGACCGTTTGTGACTGAAAATGCCAGAGAACGCGTAGTGCACTGGTAGTGTGACCAGCTTACACTGTCTGCAATCAGCTGATTGTCGTTTCATTCGTTTCACAAGTCAAGACGCCGCCGGCTACAGTTTTATTTACGCTTCCGAACTATTCGCGATTACAACATAAGTAAGCCATATAACGAATTTTAACAATAACAAGACCTTAAATAGAATACAGTCCAATAAGGCGTTCTAAAACACCTGCAAGAGTCAGTCTGTTGTGTACTTTGTTGTACTTTGCACCCCCATCGAGGTTGTGTCGCATATCAGCGTGAGCTTGCACAATTCCTACACTTTTCACAGCATATTCTCGCCCAACATATACTATACACTATACTATACATTCCTGATTATTGTGAAATCAGAAATCAGAGCGAGAGAGAGAAAGCAATGACTGGCCGCTCGATTGTCCATTTTCTGCTGGGAGGTTTGGCCGTGGCCTTGGGCTCCTACATGTATATGACCAAGCAAGTAATTACCAGAACACCTCCAACCCTATTAGTAATGTATCGTTTGCATGCGTAATAAATGACACTAACAAGCCACTGACACGGACACGCACACGGACACAGCCCCGCCACCGCCCCCCCGTTTCTTCCTACTGGTGGGTCGCCCTTTATGAAACATATACATCCCCACAAGTACTTCTGATTACTTGGCTCTGCCCGTGTATTGCTTTAATTGTCTCAATTTTCCAATCGTTATTTGCAGCCATTAAAGTATGAGTCTCAGGCAGTTTCAGACCATTTCGCAGCAAGTGTTCAGGTGCTTCTCGACTCGGGCCACAACAAGTCGAAGAATCCTTGGTCTGGGCCACATCGAGCTGAGTCAGAGTCAAAGGCAGAATCTGAAATTCTGCACGGTCCTCCTGCCAGTCAGTTGTGCGGCCGCCGGCGGTGCCAGTGCCCCCAAGTACTCCACAGCAGCTGCCGTGAGTAGTGCGTGTAGTTGTAGCCGTTAATGACTAATTCCTGATGCTTGTCTCTCCATATGCTGAACTAAAAATATGTTGCCATGACTATCCCTAGACCTTTGTTGCTTGCTATCTTATACAAAGTAGTGTGTGCGTGTGTGTGTGCACATATGGAAGGAAACTGCCTCTAATCGGTCATAAATTTCCCTTTGTTCTAGATCGACATGTCTGCCAACGGAGATTACAAGAACGCCGCCTCTATCTATGAGTTTACTGTAAAGGACACCCATGGAAATGAAGTGTCGCTGGACAAATATAAGGGCCGTGTCGTCCTGGTGGTCAATATCGCCTCCAAGTGCGGCCTGACCAAGAACAACTACCAGAAGTTGACCGAATTGAAGGAGAAGTTCGGCGAGCGTGGCCTCACCATTTTGAACTTCCCCTGCAATCAGTTCAACTCCCAGATGCCGGAGGCCGATGGCGAAGCAATGGTCTGCCATCTGCGCGACTCCAAGGCCGACATTGGCGAAATCTTTGCCAAGGTAAGATTAGTAGTGCCACAGCTGCGCGGGTAGTTTAACGATTGGATTGGTCATTCTGATAGGTCGATGTCAATGGCGACAATGCTGCTCCGGTCTACAAATACTTGAAGGCCAAACAGACCGGCACCTTGGGCAGCGGCATCAAGTGGAACTTTACAAAGTTCCTGGTCAACAAGGAGGGAATCCCGATCAATCGCTATGCCCCAACCACCGATCCTATGGACATTGCCAAGGATATTGAGAAAATATTGTAGATTCAGATCTCCCCCCATAACTGTTAACTTTAAATCGCGCCCTAGAGTGCGTTTTTTTGCGTAGCTTTTAGCTTGTTATAACCAAAAAATACAAAACAAAACAGACCACTATTAAGACTTGGCACATGCACGCGCGCATGTTTATATATTGTATGCTTTGTACGATTTACCCTTTTAACTGGTTTTTGATTTTCCCACTCGAACATACATAAATAAACGCCACTTGTGGCTCGTACCTACACATAGGTGTCGCTTCTCCACTCCACTCCACTCCACTCATTGGGAATGCAGGGCACATTGTCGCATCGATCGCACTTACCAGAGGAATGATTGGCGGCACCTGAGCACTGCTGAAAATGCCTGAGCAGCGCCACAAAGCCATAGAACGCTGCTCTTCCCGTGCCAGATCTGAAGTTAATCATCGATGGATTGGAGGAAGGCGGTCCGACAGTCAGAAATGGAAGAAATCTTGGCATATATAATTCGCTCTTTTTGTAAGTGTGTTCATTCGATTTTGGTGTTTTCTTTTCTAAATATATAACATATATCTTTTACTATTTATTATCATTTACTATTTTAAATTTTGAGCTGTCAATTTAAGCTTTGTGAAAACATTTGGATGTAGTATAGCATCTGGGATTGTATCATCCGATCAGCTTTTCATTGTGCTCTCAAAATTTGCGTTGGAACCCTCACCATTTGGACACAGCAGCCAGTGCCAGGCGAATAGTTCGATCGCGAAGTTTGTGGCCAAAGGGTATTCCTTCCACTGCCACTGGACTGCGAATCCACCGAGCGGACCAACTGCTCGCCGATACCTTTTGGGCTCGCTTGGATTAGATTCCCTTTGGATCAAAAGCTATCCGTCCGTGATGTTTGAAAAGCTGTCGAAAATTAACGAAGGTGCTAACCTTCGTCAAGTGTATGCAAATCCTTGTTGCACTTGCGTTCTTCTTCTTAGGTGCCAGATTGCGACTACACTTCTGCTTGTTGTCGCTGTTGTTGTCCATCATCTTCGCTGTCTACTTTTGAACTGCGGCAAATGCATCAATATAGAGAGGAGCTGGTGAACGTCCGCTATGAGGCATGGTGTCAGTATCCATTGGGTAAGTCTTTCTCGATAATTGAAGGAGTTTACATTAAAAAATTAAAATGAAAAAACTCAAGAACAGGTTTAAAAGATGCAAAAATTCGTAATAATTGAAAATTAAAAAAAAAACTTGAAACAATTTTTTTAAGAAAGATATATTTAATATTAAACTGAATGTAAAATCGCTGGTGTGTGCTGTCTAGTAAAACAATATTACAGACTGCGGCCCTCACCAGCCCCAGCCCCATCCAGTGCCTGGCGAATCACATTTGACTTTGATTTTATTGGTCTACATATTGTACTTGACGATTAGCCTTTACCTTTATTTCGAATGCAAATATTCGCCAACTTTAAAGTTGCGCAAGAGTGCCTGACCAGCAATCCCAATCCCAATCCGAAACCAAGTCCGATCATCGTGTAAGACCAACTGGGGGGACCCGCTGAGGCAGTGCAACGTCTCTGCTGAGATTTCAAGTTCAAACGAGTCGCCAAGAGACTTTGTCTAACTTCGACGCGACCTTCCGACAATTACTGGAAATATGTGGCACTGTCCAATTACGGATGGGGCGGGTTTTTGGCAATTGAAATTCGGATTTGAGATCCGAATCCGATTCGGAGGAGCGTGCCACACACAACAAGTGTGAAGCGACGACAGCAATTTGTTGAATGCATCATCCATCATTGATCGATAGATCGATCGTTGCGTTCCGATGCGTCGCTTGGCGATGCGATGCCTTTAATTGTAGAACTGGGGCAAGCATCTGAGACTCATCCCTAAACAGGGTGTTTACCTGTAGTTGCGCCGCAGTTGACTTTGACACTGATCGCGATCGCAATTGCGATCGCTCCCCCAAGTCCATTTCCATTTCCATTTGCAACGAATAACGAGTGCGAATCGCGGTATAAATATGCGCGGCATAGCCCACTGATTGTTCAGACAGCGAGACGCGTTCAGCTTTGGAGGTGGTCTGCGATCGTCAAACGATTCGCAATTGGTTTTTGTTTTTAATCGGTGCCAGGATCACAGGAACACGAACACACCATGCTGAGTCGAGCACTGCTGATGCTTTTGCTGCTAGCAGGCTGGAGCTATGTGGAGGCAGCCACCCATGTGAACATCTCCATTGCGCAGCAGTCGGCCACGAATCCAGCGGACGTTAGCTATGTGGATGGACCAGCTCCAGCGGAGCTGAGAGCGGGTCCCGCCATGATGAATGAGGAGGAACGCTTTGAGAGGATTCAAGAGAGATCCCAGCAACAGCAGCAGCAGTCGCAGATGGGCCAACAGCAGCAGCAGCAGGTGGGACAGCAGCAGCAACAGCAATCTCCTCAGCTAACTCCTCGGCAGGGATTGGGAATGCAGACCTCATCTGGCGGCTCCAAGAACGGACGCATGCCCCGTCGCCGTAACCAGAGCCGCCGCTTGCACCAGCAACTGCAGCCGCAGCTTCAGGCACCGCACAATGGACAATTCCGTCAGCGGAATCAACAGCTGCGCCAGAACCAGGAGTTCGAGCGGTACATCCAGTCCTACCATAGCCACGGACCCACCGTCGAGACTGTGAGTATTCATGGGGAATGTAATGAATGGAATGAATAAATAAATCATCTGGGCATCCATTTTGCAGGTCTATGAATCATCGAATCCTGCGCCACAGCGCTACACGCAGACCAGCTCGGGAGTGACTTCCTCCGCGGACGACAGTGTGCCACAGAAGTTGGTGGCCATTGGGGGTTCCCGATCGCAGCAGTTGCGCATGTTCGAGCGACAAGTGGCAGCACCAGTGTCAGTGTCAGTGTCATCCTCCCAGGGACAAAGCGCCAATGTGGAGGTGGCCCCGGACAGTAAGCCCATCTATGAGACTCCCCAGGCTCCAGTGGCAGCCGCAGTGCACTCCTCCTCGTCTGGCGGCAGCAGCAGCGGCTCCTCCTCCTCCTCCGTATCATCCAGTGTTTCGGTGCCTGCTGGTGCGCCAGAAGCCGTTCCCAGCTACGATTCCAAATCCAGCTACAATCCTGCCACCAGCTATAACAGACCCAGCTACGATCCGAATCTGTACCAGTACGACGAAGGCCAGGATGTGGACTACCAGGGCCAGTACCCGCCAGAGCTGGACGATGGTCAGGGTTACGATTCGCAGGGCTACGATGACTACGGCGATCAGGCGTCCTCCTATCCAGGCGGATCGGGCTATCTGCCGCCCGCTCCCCCGCGTAGCTATGCTCCGCCTCAGCGGCCGATGGTCACCAAAACGATTCAGATTGCGCAGCCAGCGCTCAAGGCGAAGAAGTACGAGGTCCGGCATCCGGCCATCCAGAAGGAGTTCTACGACATCGAGGAGCGTGTCCGGATCAAGCCAGCGGGCACGCTTGTCGTGGAGCTGGATCACCCAGTGGCCAAGATTCCCAAGGGGGAAACTCTGCTGCCACTGGGACACCCGCATCCCGCGGTGGCTGCCGCCTACAGCAACAACGGACAGAGCTACAACACCCAGAGCAGCTACAACGGCAACGGCAATGGCAACGAGTACCGACCTTCCTACGACTCGTACGACTCCCCGGCCACGTCCAAGGATCAGCAGCCGACCACCGTTGGCTCCAGTGTGACCACCATGCCCTCGTACGATCAGGCGCCGAAGGATGAGTACGTGGAGGCAAAACTCCAGCAGCAGAAGCCGCAGCAGCAGCAGCCAGCGGGCGATGTTGTCGACAGTCGCCAGAGCACATCCAGCTCGGTCTCTGCCGTCGATGGCAATGGCAATCCCATCCAGATCAACACAAAACACCTCACACCCAACATGATTACCCGTGCGGAGCCGGAGCAGGAGTATTCCAGAAGTATTCCGCCCAACGAGGTGCCCAACTATGAGCGTCCCCCGCAGCGCAGCTACCAGCAGAGGACCAGCTACAACCGACAGCCCCAGCCTCAGAGCTACAACAATAATGAAGACTACTTTGCCGGGGAGTTCCTGCCGAACGTCAATGCCGCCAATGTGGAGGCCAAGCCAGCGAGATTGGAGCTGGAACCGGTCGAACCGGAGCAGCCACGCACTCAGATCATCAAGCACGAGCACAAGATCCATCTGCCGCCGTCGCAGCACAACATTTACCTGGGTCGCAGCAGCCAGACGCCGCCCAAGGAGCAGAGAATCACCGAAGTGCCCGCTCGTGTGGCCGAAATCAAGCCCTATCTGCGCAACCACGTGGGACCCACGGTGGTCTATGCCAAGGCTGCTGTAAAGCCTGCCGTTCAAAGGGGATACTATGTCCAGTCGTCGCGTCTACGCAATCCGCTGGCCGAGGATCTGGAGTACAGTGCCCCCTACTCCCAAATGAGATTCAGTCCCGAGAATCAGTCCGCCAGGCTGGTGGAGGCGGCTCCAGTTAAAGAGTTGGAGGCGCCCAAGGAGAAGGCGTCCCAGGATACTCACATTCAAATCCAAATCGGAAATCGGAATGAGGGAAAACAGCCCATGGTGGTGGCATCCACCATCAGCCCGGATTGTGACAGGGGACAGCAGCAGCTGCAGTTGCAGCAGCAGCAGCGGCAGCCATCGGCACGTCTCCAGCAGCGACAGCAGCAGTCACAACGTCTGGTGGAGGCTCCAGCAACTGCCGAAGTGTCTGCCACAAAGGCTACACCCACGCCCGTCCAGGCACAGCCTCAGGATGTGGATGTCTCCCTCAATGGCGGTGCCGGACATCTGAAGCCGAACGAGCGGGTGATCGCCGCCACGGCAGCGCCGACCGATGCGGCAGCCACGAGCGAAACCTTCCATAAGCGTCGCATTGTGGTCAACCATCCGTTCCAGACGGTTCGCGAAGTAGTGGAGCACGAGCCGATCACCAACTACCATCAGATCCAAGTGAACGAGCACGCCCATCCAGCGCTGTACCATCAGGCGGCCTACTACCAGCCGCCAGTGCAAACGCATGGCAATCTGGTGCACTTTCACTCGACCTCAACGCATGGCAACCTCTACGCTCCGTACGGTTAGGACCGATCCTCCATCCCCAAAGTGGCAACAAACCGAAACGACACGAACTGTGGCTTTTTATCTTTGTTAATGCATTTTCATTGTTATTTCTTGTTAGGAATTTAGCTTAGAATTAAGTACTCAAAATCGGTGGGAGGGCCCTTTCCCTGTTTGATCTTGATCTTCTTCGAATTAATTTGGTTTACAAATGTAGGATTAAGTGCAGAATTACTTGCCATTAATAAAGCACATACGAAATGCGTCGAGTAAAAACTACCCAACCCCCGACTGCTTCAAATTTTCTATCAACATTTTCAGGTACTGGTCTTGGCTCATTATGCCATCAATGAATACAAGATTTCCCACTCCTTTTGTGGAAATGCAGCCTAAAATCATCGCACTTCCCCAGCCATGTTTCACGGTTGGTCTTAGGTGCTTCTTCTGCAGCTCAGTATTTGGTTTCCGCCAAACCAAAGCTGGTGGGAGGATGTTATTTTCTGAGACGAAAGTAAAATTCATCCTTTTCGGCAGTGACGGCAAGATCATGAGCTTTTTCGTTTCATATCAGTCAGCTTTTCTAAGCGAGCAATTCGAATTTTTCGTTTCATATCAGTCAGCTTTTGTAAGCGAGCAATTCGAATTTTTCGTTTCATATCAGTCAGCTTTTGTCAGCGAACAATTCGAATTTTTCGTTTCATATCACTCAGCTTTTGTCAGCGAGCAATTATAATTTTTCGTTTCGTATCAGTCAGCTTTTGTCAGCAAGCAAAACGAATTTTTCGTTTCATATCAATCAGCTTTTGTCAGCAAGCAATTAGAATTTTTCGTTTCATATCAGTCAGCTTTTGTCAGCAAGCAAATTTTCGTTTCATATCAGTCAGCTTTTGTCAGCAAGCAATTCGAATTTTTCGTTTCATATCAGTCAGCTTTTGTCAGCAAGCAAATTTTCGTTTCATATCAGTCAGCTTTTGTCAGCAAGCAATTCGTGAATTTTTTATATCAGTCAGCTTTTGTCAGCAAGCAATTAGAATTTTTCGTTTTATATCAGTCAGCTTTTGTCAGAAAGCAATTCGAATTATTCGTTTCATATCAGTCAGCTTTTGTCAGCAAGCAAATTTTCGTTTCATATAAGTCAGCTTTTGTCAGCAAGCAATTAGAATTTTTCGTTTCATATCAGTCAGCTTTTGTCAGCAAGCAAATTTTCGTTTCATATCAGTCAGCTTTTGTCAGCAAGCAATTCGAATTTTTCGTTTCATATCAGTCAGCTTTTGTCAGCAAGCAATTTTTCGTTTCATATCAGTCAGCTTTTGTCAGCAAGCAATTTTTCGTTTCATATCGGTCAGCTTTTGTCAGCAAGCAATTTTTTGTTTCATATCAGTCAGCTTTTGTCAGCGAGCAATAAAAAAATTTTTTTTTTGTGTTTTTTTTAAATTTTTATTACATTTTTACATCTATTTCTACATTTTTACATTTTTCTAAATTTTTACATTTTGTTTTAATTTCTTCTACATTTTTACATATTTCCTAAATTTAAAATTTTGTTTGACCCCCCCTAAAGTATCGAAACTAACTATATATATATAAATAAATTGACAAAGTTGCAAAGTCGAAAGCCGACAGCTTTACACAAATAAATCAAACAATTAACATCTTTTATTTTTATATATTGTATTTATTTTCTACCCCCACCCACTCTGCTCCTTCCTCATTTATGTTGCGGCAGGTCAGCTCAGGTCGCTACATCAGCCAGCCAGCCAGGGCGGGATCAATAAAACGCGGAGACAATTTACTGACTGGGAAAGAATATTGATCATTGACAAGGACTCCATTAAATTAAGGATGTTCCACCGATCACAGGGAGCCATAGCACGTCCGGAGCAGGTTAAAACTAACGAAGAAGAGAGCTGCAACAGAATTTTGTCGTTTGGCGCAAAAATCCGTAACAATATTCGAATATAATTAATCGAGTAGTCGATACTTTGAGTTCCTTCCCTTGCCGTAAGGTGGCGCTCCATTAGTTTCCAAGTAAAAGTACGAGGTGGCGCTGCCAGAAAATTGAATTTGAAAATTTGAATTGAAATTTCCGTTAATTGTCTCACCTGCGGCGAGCCTGCTCTCCCATGAAAACCACCTCAGAATCATCCACACTTTCAGACCTCTCCCGCAGGCAGCTATTGACATGACGACTCCTGATGGCCTTCAAACTGCAGGGGATAGCTGGAAAGTTGCGGGGCATTCCTATGGACTCCGCATAGAACATGACAGCTCTGTTGTGGCTGCAGCTATCTGGGAGTAAGGCGAAAGATAAATCGCTAAGAGTTGAAGGGTTGAAGTCGCTTACAAGCCTCGCGAAGGAGCTTACTGGCAGCAATTAGGTCCACGTCCTCACAGCCCGGCTGCGGGGCGAATCCAAAGTTGGGATAAAAGTCGACAGTGCCGCGGGGTCGTAGGTCGCCGAAGAGCGGGTAGTCCGTATGAATAACATCCACAAACTGCGCTGCATTCGCGCGCAGACTGTCATCGGAGCGCTGGGTAAAGAGGGGCAGCGCAGGGTCGAGACCCGTAACCCTGCCCAGAGTTCCGTTAAAGTAGTGGCCGATGCGGCCAGCTATATGGGCACCCAAGCTATGTCCCACCACATGGACTGCTGCAGTGGAAATGCTGTGTCGGAGTAGAAAACTCTGAAGCTCCTTGGCCAGGGCCAGGGACACCTTTCCCACGGCAAATCGCGAACTGGGATAATCCAGACTGGCGGCAGGCGACCAATCAGCCACCAGCACATTCTCATAGCCCTGAGAATTGTACGCTTGGAGGTTTGAGCAGCGTTAGCATTGGAACTAAATGATGAAACTACCTGCTAGACCTCACCATTCCTCAGAGGCATTATGGAGCCGTGCGATCGCGAGGCCAAGTAGCCGTGCACAATCAGTTTAACCGAATCCACCGTTGCCACCTGATCCACGCTCTGCAGGGGCAGCTCCGACGAGGGCCCCAGGTAGTAGATGTTGCTCCGACTCACCAAAGAATCCAGCAGCGCGGCATGCAGGCCCCACAGCTGGCAGAAAAGAGGCACTAGGCAAAAGCTAGTCTTAACCATGTTTAGATTACTCCACGGCAAACTCACGAGTGACTAGCAGCCCCCACAGAGCTCTCCCATTTATATAGAGTCTGTCATTGCATGCTGATGGGCTTTATGCATCGCATGTTGGACAAGTCGAGCGATTAGTGAACATCTCCGGCGGCAGATGACGTGCGTAGAGAGAGAGAGAGATCTCCAGTCTAGGCAGTCGTAGGTAGTCTCGATGTAATGGATACACATAACATTACTGTATTATCTAGGTATTAAGTAATTTTCCATAAATATTACACATACGAGTGAGGAAGTACACGCACAAGTTCGGGAATAAAGCTAAGGCTGGGCTGAGCTGGGCTGGGGTTAAAATGCGTAAGAAAGCAAACACTCATCGAAGCTGGTTCTTCTTCTTGGGGATCCCTGATTTACACACAAAATGGCACTTCCAATGCAATACATGGCGGAACAGAAGAGAGTATCATGGGCCTAGCGCCTAGCGCCTGGCCTCCTCCTCTCCGATGGGGCGTATCATCATGCGGACCCTTCGCAGCGAATAGTCCTTGCCCTGAAAGCTGTCCCAGAAGATGCCCGACTCGCCAGCCAGCGCAAAGTTCTGCAGGTGGTAGTGACCCAGGATATTGCTGGTGCCGCAGTTGTTGAACCAGCCGGCTCCCTTGTGCTTCAGCGCGCAGTTGCAGTCCACGCAGTTGTCGTTGTCGCTATCGATGGTGCTGAACTTGGCACCGGCGTGGTAGGACAGGGAGTCTCCCGCCGAAGGACTCAAATCCGATTGGAACCGGCCCAGCAGGCTCAACGGGTAGAGTTCCTTCTCGCTGCCGATGGCAAAGGTGGAGTAGCCCGCGTAGGCCACATTCCCCTCAAAGTCCTCGAACACGATGCGCAGTTCGTGGATGGCCGAAGAGGTCAGGGCGTGCAGTTTGTTCAGGCCAATGAAGAAGTCCCCGGCCAGATTGCCGAAGCCATCCTTGTAGTCCAGCCAGCCACGCTCAAAGTTGATCTCGTCGGAGCTACGGTTAAGGATGACAGTCCAGTCCTCATCGCAGGCCACATAGAACGACTCGGACTCGGCGGTAAGCTGCAGCCTTAGGATGCCCTGCACCGCCAGATAGTACTGCAGGCAGCTGGTGGCTGGACTCAGTCCGGCCACTGGTTGTCCGATGAGGTGTGGCGGTACCCTGCGATTGAACGGGCGACGCTGGCGACTAAAAGGAAACGGATCTTTATTTATATCCATGGAAGGTATACACTATTCGTTGCTTACTTGATGGATTTGGTCAGCTTGAGGACATCCTCCTGCACGGCCCGCACACTCAGAGCCGTGGAGGTGAGCAGCGTGGCCAGGGCATCCAAGCGGTCCGTAAGACTCAGATTGTAAGACGGAGCATCCTGCTGGGGAGCAGCGCGAACGGTGCGCGAGAGATCTAAGGCAGTAGAGAGCAATTGCAGTATTAGGGCGGTGTTTCCTCATGGATATTCACAGTGTTAGCACAACATTCGTAGCACAACATCGATGTCAGCATGCAGGATTACCCATCATCTTTCTGCGATTGTTTAGCTTTTGCTTCAGCTGCCTAACACTTCGGGGACCCAAATTAAAGTCTGTTTCACCTTTTAATTCGTCCAGGGTGCTGCGCGAGAGCCGTTGGATGTGCTCGAAGCTGTCCAGCCGCTGCTGGAAGCTCAATTGCTGCGCCTTCAGGGACTCCATGCGACCGGCATTGCTTTCCACCAGTTGATCAAGTCTGCGGCGCAAAGAAAAAATGATGCAAGATTAGAATTTTTCAGCTGAAAGCATAACAATCAATACCCATGCACTGCCACTCGCACTCGCACAATCATTGTGGACCGACCCCATTTGATGCCCTCTAATGTTCCCAGAAGCTGTTCTGATAAGTCTCTCCACTTCCTTCAGTCTTTGTGTACAACATTCTCTTTCATTTTGATTCAAATTATTCCGCTCGTTTATCAAGTGGCTTGCAAAAAAAAATTCAAACTTGGCATTTGCTCTCCCAAGTCTGTTCCCCTCAGACGGCGATCGATCGTAAATAAGAGCCAAAATTATAGACACAAACGCCTTAAATATATTAACCAAACAGGCGGCGGAGGCGGCGGCGGCAGCGCAGCGAGAGCTGTTCAAACATAACCGAATTATAAACACTCTGATGGTTGGGGCCTGGAGGCTGGAGGCGAAATGTGCGATATTTCGCACAAAATTCAGCGTAAAAATAAAATAATTTAATGACCAGCAATTGCTGGCTGGGCAGCAGATGTTTCCTTTTTTTTTTGGGTATTGCTTCATTCATGGATAATTGCCATGCTGCCTTGTTGCTGTGCCATTTAAGCATCATTAAAGATGGCTTGCTGAAGGCATTGTTCTGCCAAATAAATCGCATTTGGGATATTGGCTGGATTGACAAAGAAACAATAAAAGAGACGATAGTCTGACGTTTCCAGTAACATCTAATGGGGTTTCTTGTTGTTTTGTTTTACCGGTTTCCCTCCGAAAATATTTCATTACGTGTGCCCATGGTGAAACCAGTTCGGGCCAGAGTGAAGAGTGGGGGCCAAAAGTCTACTCACTTTTTATCGATGACTTCCAGGCGATGGCGCTGGTCCTCGTCCAAGGTCGCCAAGATGCCAACTCGATCGTGCAAATTCGTCATCAGCTCCTTGTACTCGCAGCGGGGCGGAGTCGTTGTGCCACTCACGGGGCTGGCCTAAGGGCAGAAGGACAGAAGAGGGTAAGAAAGAGACCAGTCAGAGTCAGGCACTTGGGCAACAAAACCCCCGACAAAGGCTAGCACACGAGGCCCTGGCCAGCGCAATGAACTTGCTAAGAACCAAACGAGACTTGCTGCCAGCCAAAGTCACCTCAGCCGAAACTAATTTTAAAATTCACAAAAGTTCCACAGAAATTAACGCACTCGGAAGTCGGTGCGCAGGCGCGACCGCACATGGGCAGGCGGCAGCGTTGGCGGCGCTTGGGTCACCTGTGGCCCCACCTGAGAGGAGCCCTCGCAGACACAGATCGCCGCCAAAAGGCAGGCGAAGGCAAAGGCCATCGCTTTTAATTGGGCCGGCCACATCATAATATCACTTTGATTGAATATACGTGTTGATTGAATCCGTCTGTCAATCAATCAATTTCAATCATAGATTTCGGCACCTAGCCTTGGGTGCATATAAAACCGAAGTGATTGAAGCGAAGATCGAGCACGCACACGAGCGACTACGTCTGTTCCGGGCAAGATTCGCGAGACAATTAAACGAGCCGAGAGACTGGCGAAGCGAATGAAGCTCGCTCAGTGAAGCTTTCAAGTGAGAGAGAGATAAAGAGAAGATCCGAGGTCTTTGACTCTCTTTTGTGTGTTTGTGGGATTGTCTTGCTTTGTTTACATGTCTGTCGCGCGGACTGGGAAAAAACCCCCTCGGGCTTTTGGTTGCTTTCGGCTGTCAATCACTCGTGCGATTACTTACTCAACCCGAGAGAAGCGTGCAAAATAGTTCTGCTATAGAGTGAGGTGAGTGATGATCATTATCAGCTGATAATAATTAATTGAGTATTCAAAGAGGGATGTGGGAGGGCTTGTCCTCGTGGGCTGGCTGCCTTCTTTACTTTGTTAGAACTTTAATCTGTGGCTTTCCAATTAGGAATTCCATTACCTCATCATCGCTGTAGTTTGTTGTTTTCCATAGTAATTACTCACATGTGAATGATATGCAAAGCTTGTTCATTGACACCCGCTGTAAACCTGCCTCAACCTGTAGCGTAGCTCGTAGCCGCTCCATATGCAAATGTTTGCTCATGGCCAACTGTGGACTTGCTGTCCGATAAGAAAGGGTTTTGGCTATGAGTAATCCGCTGATGTGAGGGAATGCCTGACAGTTGTCGTTGTCTGTCTGTCTGTCGGTCTCTGTGCTTCCCCCCTTTGATGAACGTCTATTTATAGCCTTATTTATATGGATTCTGGCCTCAGCCGTCATCGTTTGTAGCGAAAAAATACCTCACGAGTTGCATGAATATGGATACGTGAATGAATGCACTTTTCATTTGATTTTACAGCTTGTTCACGATGTGCAGATTTACCTTTTCTGCTGTGCTGTGCTGTGCCGCGCTGCCTGTGTTCCGCATTGTGTCACTTTTTTTTAGTTATTACTAAATTACAATGCAATGACGAGCCGACGGGCTATTGGTTTCTGAAGGTTGGTCAATGCTTCAGGAACCTTTCGCCTGGCCATCTGTTGCGGAATCGTGCAGAGATGATTGCCTGCAGATACGATACACAGAGACGGACCCTGGGACCCCAAGTCTGAGCCCAGAGCTCATCTCTTTCCAGTTACAGCCACAAGATGAATGACGCAATCGGAAGGCAGGCAGCCCATAGAGAAATAAAAACGTCTCGTGTAGATTGTTTGCCATTTGCTCGCCCAAAAAAAAAAACAAGAAAAAAATATATAAAAAAAGAGTTGTGTCATTTACATAATTAATGCTTTTGGGTCTGCTTTTGGGGCTGGGATGTTTGTGATGCTGGGGCGCTATTCCTCCTCCGCCCCCAACAACCGAATCGTCATTCACTTTAAGTATCTCAATTGGCGGGGGATGAGGTTAATTTCAGAGCATGCCAACATTTTCAGCCATCAGAAATTATTAGCTTAGATTGTTATTTATGGGTGAAGGACCAGACATTCATCATCTCATTGGGTGGAGGAAGGCCTTCATCAGATGACCAAAGTGGGACACAGACGCCATCTAATAATAGTGAAAAATACTTGCGTTGATTATTTTTCGCTGGCTTTTGCCATTTTTTATTTTTATTTGTATTTAATGTTAAATTATTGTACAGGTTGAACTTATTCAAATTGTATTTAGTTGCCATCCATTTTGCATGTTAAATAATAAACATTCAATATTCAGTATTCCGTATCCGATCCTCAATATTACGAGTATTTAGCCCATCGTTTCGCTACTTAGAAATCAACTACAAATATTTACAAAATATCTCCGCATTCTGCTCGGGGGAGGGATGCGGTTGGGGGGGGGCCTGTCATGGAACCCTATAACTATACAAAAAGTTGCATGCTCCATCTATTCATAATTAGCTTTACTTGATTTGTGTTAATAGATTTATTTTGTTTTTAACAAAGGTACATTAAATATTTACGACAAATTCAATGCATTAAAAATATTTAAGTTATCTCTCATTCGTATCCCTCCATGTGGATCTTTCAATCTCGTACACGTACATGTATGTACATATGTACCTCCCCGTTCCAAATAGATTTTTTACCTTTCGTTCCTACCTCAGCTCCATTCCTTCTCTCCTCCCAGGGCTCGCACTCGCTTTCGCTCTCTCGTCTAATCTCTATCGCTATGTCTATCTATAGGGTAGGGGGGAACGGAACGGGAACCCTGCCCCTGCCCCTTAGCTACTACAATATATACTATATAGAATACCACTAGACACGTTCAGCTAAAAACATTCTTAGTTTATGTACCATTTCGATTACGTTAAGGGATTAGCTTAGTTTCTTTCTGTTTCTGTTTTCTGTTTCTCTTATTTAATTGTTTTTGGTTTTTATCTGCTTATCTGTTTTTCTTCTGTTTCGCGAATGTTGTGCAAAAGGATTTATTCAATTAGAGAAAATATGCCTCGAAAAAGCATCGATATCCATGCATCCGTTAGATTGCAAAATAGAAACGAAAACCAGTTCAATCTTCGTTTGATTCATATTCGATTCGTTCGATTCGATTCGATTTGTTGTTGTTTCCATTGGCCATTGGCTTACAAACTATGGACGTAACCTTCGGGATGGGAAAAAGTGCAAAAAGTGCGTTGCCATGCTTCGTTACAATGTCACTACCTCTGTTCTTTCATCTCTCTATCTGTATCTCCCTCCTCTATCTCTCCTCCCTGCCTAAGTTTTTCGTGGGTGAAAAATTCGCAGGAAACCAAAAAATATATATAGAACGGAATCCAATGTTTACTCGTCGAAAACTTGTTCTATGCTATTTTCTTTTTGGCATTCATTAATTTTGAGTGTGTGCAAATTTCGGTTGATTTTAATGTTCGTTTCTTCCACGCTCTGGGCCTAGCAAATAATTCTAAACAATTTCGCTTTGCATTCAGCATCTACTACTTGCGTTTTTGTTTTCTCTCTAAAGTGCCTAAGTTTTATTTTCATTTTTAGTTTTTGTTTAGCTTATCTTTATGCTGGAGTGTTTTTGTGTGTGTGTGTGTGTGCTTACTGTCTGTGTATGTGTGTCCGTCTGTCCAACTGTCCATCCTGTCTGTCTTTGCATACTTTTTTCATAAATCACAGAAAAAGTTTATTCATTTGAAATATTTTTTGTTTGTTTTCTCTTTGCTTTTTGTTTTTGTTTTAGTTAAATTTTTTACTTTTGCTACAAAATATAATCTGGCATCGCTACGAAAACGCGAGCGTTGATCGCGGCACACTGCCTGCTAAAAGTTTAGCACTGGCCTGTGCCATGTTGGCCCTAATAAAGTTGTTGTTTATATTATTTTTGTTTAAAGGGCTGCTACGTCTCATAAAACCTTCATCAGTAATTCTCATCTCAGCTCAGCAATTTGATTGCATACGACTCAAATGTGCTCGTCCTTACGTTCCGACAGATCTATATTGATATAGATATATATGTATATCTAATATCAATTAGAGATAGATATTCATAATATATTTTTTCCTACGCTTTAGTTGCTCTATACTCAAATCGTTTTTTGATTCATTTACTTGTTTCAAAACCATTTCAAGTGTCTTTGATTTCAAATTTGCACATTTTGTTAGCTCTTTTCTTTTCCTTGCTTTGTTTTGTTTTGCTTTTATTTTTATTTTCTTTCATTTAAAATTTGCCGTAACCCGCCATAAGCAGCGGGCGTCCTCTCATCGGCATCGGCATCGGCCCTATAGCGTACGTAACGTCTCATCGTTTCTTAGAAATATGGTAATGGATTAATGGATTTTGTTTTGGATTGGATTGGATTCATTCAATTGGTTGCGTTTGCACTACAAACGCCTATGTATGTAAAATACTCGTATTTCGGTTAGGTTACTTTAGTGTTTAGTTGATTTAGTTGATTTGATGGCTATTTTATGTCGAATTTACTCTCGTACTTTCTTTCGGTCGATTGCTAAAAATTTCACTCTACTATTTGCGATTCTTTGCTAAATTTAATTGTTTATCTAGTATTCATTCGCTTACGTTTGCCTCGAAAATTTTTGGGTTTTCGTAAATTGATTCAATCAGTCTCCCCCGTGGTGGGTGGTCTCCTCTTCACACAACTCACCACTTGACCCTCGACTCTCGACTATACATTCATTCGTCTAAATGGATGGAGTTCTTTTCACTAATTTATATATCTGCAAATGGGACTTAAAGAGTACAAAAATGAATCAAATAATATTCAGTAATGAATAATCAATAATCAAAAATAAAAGATGCAGAAATTAAATGGTATAAATGATTTAAATTTATTTGTTTTTACATAAATTCATTTAATAATTATAAAATTATCACTTAAACAGCGCAGCGAATCATCCCTCTGATTTTATTTATTGACAAAGAAGCATTACAAAAAAAACTATATAGTAGTATATGCGGAACCAACTCAAGGATTTGTGAGAGAAATCATCATATTGGAAATAATGAATGTTGTTTTATTTTAGTGCTTGATGGATCGATGGATGGATGGATGGATGGATCGCTGAACAAATTGCGTGAAAATTGCTTCCACTTTTGCGCTGAGCGATGCGAAGCCATCAATTTTGTATGGATTGCACTCGGTTAAGGCAATTCCTCGCCCCAAAAAATAAATAAAAACTAAAGAGAAAAATATGGGAAGGGGCATACACATACACATTCACATATCATTTAACGCAGAGACACAGACTTTCACTAAAACATTGCGCAATGCCATCCCTAGTCCCTAAAAAAGGATAGGGAAATAAACATATCCGACTGCATTGAGTATCCTTATCGACAAGAAGGCCGCGGGATGGAGCAAGGGTACGTAAAGGGGACACGATGGTTGCCAGCCTAAGTATACAAGAAATCTAAACTAAATTTAACAATTTGACTGAACATAAAATGCCGCTGCCTGGCCACAGCAATCTATCCGCGATCTTTAGCTGTATCTGTGTATCTTCTATCCTCTTCGTTCGCTTCGCGCTTCACTCACTTTGAATGGAACTAATAACTAGAAAGTATCATAGAATTATAGTACAAAAACGTCAGCAACTGGAACTGGAACACTCCTCCTCCTTCGACGATTATATGGCTGTCTGAAGTGATTGGTTGATTGGTTGGTAGATTGATTGATACGATTGATTGATGTCTTGTGCCTAGTCCAGGAGGTTGATTGGGGTTGGCTCTGGGCTTTATATATTTCATTTGGGGTTGGGGGGGCTGGGCTTGTGGGGATTGCATTTTAGGATCCCCTAACAATAGAAACGTACGCCATCCACAGAGAGGACTTGCTTTAATTTTCATTTATTCTGTCGATTTGGCTCCGTGTACAGCTGCACGCCTTCCACGGTGAATATTGAGGTTTCTATATACAGAGAGAGAGAGAGAGAGAGAGAAGCAATTACTAAAAAATAATAATAATAATTGTAATTAAAAAAGTATTCAAGTTATGACAACATTCTGCACGACCGACGACCTCCTCCTGGCCATGACATGATTTAATTTACGACAACGGAGCGCATGCGGCAATTAAAATTGCCTTTTTCAAAATTGCATTTGCCTCCCAGCCACATGATATGGTTACGCACACAGACACACACACACACACACACACGAACAAAGAACCAATCCCACCCGCTGGCCCAACCTGCCGCTGCTGCCGCTTATACCCTCCCTCTCTGAAAGACCACAAAAACCTCACACGGGGTATGTTGACCTTTTCGCATGGCCATGATAAATGAAGCGCATTAGTTGCATTTTAATTGATTCTATCTGTCGGCATAACACCAAGACCCCCCCGCCACCGCCACAAACTACAGACCAGACACCGGGACCTTACTCTGCTCCCCTCTCATTAGGGTAGTTTTTGCCCCTCTGCTCCCCTGACTGTGATTTAGCCAGAAATTAGCATACTGCACAGCCATAGCCCATTCCATTCCATGCCCTCTGTAGTATAAATCACAACCAAAACCCGTAAATGGAACACAGAAAAAAATGGGTTTCGGGGTTTAGTTTGTGTTCGGTGTCCAGGGTACCAGGATGCCAGGATACCAGGGTCCTGGGGTCCCGGGGCTTGTCTAAACAAATCACGCGTTAATCGCATTTTAAGCACCCTTTAAGCTGTGCCCCCACCCATAGGGAGTGGCCCCTCTGTGAGAGGGGAATTTGCACTTCATTTATTTGATCCTTTTTCTGTTTTTCTGTTTTTTTTTTCTGTTGGATACTGCAACCACTGCACTCTGAAGTGGAGAGTGGCTCTGCCATTGGATTGCATTTCATTTGCCAAATTGCATAGTCCACAAGTTGATGTTTGTTGGTTTCGGCCCTGCCCTTCCCTTCCCTGCTGCCTGGCAACAGTTTTCCTTGAAAATGTTTCCATTTACAAAATGTTTCTGACCAGAGAAAGGGCTTCGCCTAATGAATGCCAGTTGTAGTAGTAGTATTCCGGATTGTCGGAAGTGAATGTAAATTTTATTTACTGCAGATTGCATTGAGTGCATTGGGGTGTGGGCGGGAGCATCGAAATGGATTTGGATTGCAGTTGGCTGCTAATTGCTGATAGATCCCACAGATAGAATGCACTTAACAGGAGAATTTTGAGTATAAATAACTGAGATTTATATAGCCAAAAAGTCGTTTAATTAGGTTTCCCTGTTGGGTAGTCTGGGCTGCCATTCATTCAGTTTTTCCTGGTTTTCCATTTAGTTTTTTACCCCCCACTTGTTGGAAAAGCAAAGCAAAGTTTTGCCACCACTTGGGGATACAAATTAAAACGGCGAAATGCAATTACTGTTAACTATACCTCAGGAAACACTTGCTACCCAACCCCACCAAAAAGGCAAAGAAAAGGCAAACAAATTGTCGCGAAACTTAAATGAGTTGTTCCCCCCCTCAAAAGAATGACTTTAGCATCAGCAGCAGCGGCTGCCTACCAATCGGAGGAGTAGGAGAAGGCTCGGCTATCTACCCTTTCCCCCCCCATTCAATTTGGAAACTTTAAGCAAACATTTTCCTCATCTCGTTTTCGTCGTAGCATCGTAGTACTCGTGCTTCTGTTAATTGGTTTTCTTGCCGACCTGCCGGCCGGCCGGCCACACAGACAATGCGACAAAGTTGCTCCACGTTCGCTCATTCGCTCGTTCCGGCGGCAAATGTTGTAAATATTTAATGCCTTAATTCAATCTGGTACGAGTACGAGTACGAGTATCCCTACCATCTGGCAATTCGTAGAGTTTCTTTGGCAACTGCGCAAAGTAGGGATGCAGCAGTGCATCATCGGCGCCGATCCGCTCCTCTGGATTCAGCTGCAGGAAGGCGTTCGCTATCGTCTCGCCCTCGATGATGTCGTACAGTCGTGGGAAATTGTGACCCAGTTTCCTTGGCCGATAGAAACCTATCAAAGAATATTCAACGAAAAATTAGTTGCACAACTGCCAAAAACTTTAGCTCAGCTCAGCTCGTCTCAGTTCGGTTGAGGTTGAGTTCAGTTAAATTACTTACCCAACTTGTGCGGCTTGTAGCCTGGGAAATGGGTTACCCCCGTCCACGTCTCCTCTGTGGGGGTGCCCAGCAATTTGAATATCTTGTCCAACTGATCGTAGGTATCACGTATGCCGGGGAATGTTGGCATCCCAGTCACCATCTCCACGAAGATGCACCCAACGCCCCACATGTCCAGCGATGTTGAGTACTCGGTGCTGCCCAACAGAACATCTGCAGAGAAAAAGAAGGACATGGAAACATGAAAACTTTGCTAAGTAAATGCAGTTCTACTTTCTGCTGGCTGTTATCTCTCTCTCCTTCTCTCGTTCTCTCTTTTTTTCTCCTGTTCTCTGTTTGTGTAAAAATATAAATTGCAATTTTATATACAGAGAAGGAGTGGATAGAGCTGGGGTATGCTCTTCTGGTTGTCCGGGGCAACCTTTATGCTTATCTTTTTGACCAGCAGCTAACAAAGTTTCCACACACACACGCACACACTAATGCACAGGTGCCGACAACACACCACATCCGCTGCCTGCCTTACCCCGCTCCCTGCTCCCGCAGCACATCCTGTGCATTTTCCTACTCCTTTTTTGCCACTCCTTCCTTTCAGCTTCTGCCAAGAAGTGCAGATTAAATTTGTTTAACATGCTTCAGGATGCTCCACCCCTCCCCCCATTCGACAAGATGATGATGTTGCCATGGCATGTTGCAAGGGGCAGGTTGGAATTGCATATTAGACAAAATTAACTTTATTTCTTTTGCTCGCTCTCTGTGTTTGGCTTCTCACCCATCCCATTAGTTTTTCCATTTAGCTCTGGCAAATTGATGGAAAAATCTGAATTGTTTATCCTTTGTCAGCAAAAGCGAAGAGCGAGGGAGAGAGGAGAGAGCTTGCTGCAGGCTTAGACCTGGCATTAATTTAATCCGACTCAAGTCCTGGATGCTGCTGCCGCTGCTAAATGAACAGTTTTCAGCCTGAATGGCGTCCGTGGCGCCAATTAATGGCTGCCATTTCCCTGAGAGCTTTTAGTGTCGGCTGCACACACAAAAAAACAAGCGAAAAACTTAATGCGATTTGGATTTTGAGTCCCTCGTGCTCTCAACTACAGATTGTTTGCGTTTATACTCGTTTACTCTATACCATATACGTGTCCCCCCCCCCCGCCCCCCGTGGTCGCTGCGGCCCAAAGGGCCCCCCCCCCGAATGGGTCCCCCGCGCCCCCCCCGGCCTACCAGGCTGTATGAGTAGGTTTTATTTTTTTTTTTTTTTTGCGCATGGAAAAAGCATACATGGAAAGGCTTTTTGGTGTTTGCTTGAAGCCAGGAGGATTCATTTTAATTGGTGGGTGGAAAAGTCCTCCCTGAATGAAAAATAAGCGCGGGCATGCCAGAGGCTTCTTACTGACACTGCAAAATATCCTTCAACTCATACTCCAATGGAAACATTTGCCATGCTAAACTGCTGCGACTCAGCATCTGGTTAACCTTTTCAAGGCTTTTCTGGGTACCTTCCTTTGAATGTAAAGTGAGTGAAAGAGAGCTTCCTGCATACTATTGGGTGCTTCCTTTCAACTGACATATCGGCTAAGTAAGAATTATTCTCAGCAAAGCTTGTGCTGCGGTAATATTTGCCATGAATTACTGATTCCAGGGAACTTCCTCCCACTGCAACATCAGCGTTGAAATGCTGATGAATGCTGATTCTAGCTAACTTCCTGCTGCAGTAAAATGCAGTAAAATAATACACATAACAGAGTTATCCCTTCAACAGGATATTTATATATTGAACACTGATTCCCTTCCCCCTTTACGCAAATGCTGCTTCTAGGAAGCTTGCCGATTCCTTGGTAAATTATTGTAACAGAAACCCAACGGATTCCAGGCAATCCAATTATGATGATGCCCAGGCAAATGCCACTTAAACCTTTAGTGTTTTTGATTTGTTTTGTTTGGTTTGTTTGTTTTTCTGTCGGATAACCCACCTGGTGGACGATACCATAGCGTGACCACCTCATGCGAATATGTGTGACTGGGTACAGATTTGGCCCTGGCCAGGCCAAAGTCGGCAAGCTTCAGTTCGCCGCAGTCGCTGATTAGCAGATTCTGCGGCTTGACGTCGCGATGCAGGACACGACGCTTGTGGCAGTAGGAGAGACCGCGCAGCAGCTGGAAGAGGAACAGACGCACATTGCGATGGTCCAGACCGCCAGGATGTTTCTCCATATATTGCGAAAGATCCGTGTTCTACATAAACCGAAAGGAATTCGCCATTAGCACGGGAAACATGTCCGATGTTGGTATCTGAGGGAGGGAGGGAGGTATATACTTACCACATACTCAAAGACAAAGGTCAGCGTCTCACGGGTGTGCACGATGTCGTGCAGCGTCACGATGTTGCTGTGCTTCAGTTCTTTCAGCAGCGAGGCCTCACGGATGGCCGTGAAGGGTGCGCCCTCCTCCTCCTGCAGTCGGATCTCCTTCAGCGCCACCCGCTGGTAGGTTAATCTGTGAGTGGAAAGGAGCCAGAGGAGAAATTAATAAAATAAATACTTAAGTGGGGCTGAGGAATGTCCAGGAACAACAATTACACAGCTGCCACAAGGAACAACAAGGAGGATTAGGAGGGGCTCCTTCTGGCCTTGCTCCCGCAAGTCTTTTGGGGCCAGGATATGGACATGACCGAGGGATGGAGGGACCAAGGGACAGAGGGACAGAGGGACATTGCTTTTGTATATTAAACAGACATAACGACCCCAACACGCAGAGAAATGTATGGCAAACACTTAAATTAGGATAAGGGACAGAGCAGCAGACAGCAGGCCCCTAAGAGGAGACAGCAGAAGATGGAGCAGAGATACAGCCACACAGGAGGAGCACACACAGTCGAGAGGCTACATCCTACAGCGTACAGCCTGGGCTGCTGCATGCCAACACCCACCCACCCACAAGGAGCAGGCCTGGCAGCACATTTGAAGTGTCAAATTAGGTTAAATTATTTGACACTGCCGCCGCAGAGGCCAACAATTTATGCGCTCGGCGCTCTCGCTTCCTCCCAGGCGAGCAGCATTCTAATTGGCAAGGATTTCCACAAAAAAAAGTAGAAAAAACCCAAGAAAAACCCAAGGAAAAATCTCAAGAATATCAAACCATAAACTAGTTGGGTGGGTGGGGTTGGGGGGTTCTGGCTTTAAGGGGACTCTTCTAATCGCAGATGCAAAAGTTTTTTATGGCTCAAGCAGCGCACTGGAGGGTCCTGTCCTGCTCCTGCTGTCACTGTCACTCCTGCAGAATGTGTCGAAAGTTGAAAGTGTCGTCGTAGCGAGTGAATTTCGGTGGCTCCGACTAATTGCTTAAACGAGGGTTAATGATGATGATGAGACCCCTAAAGGATCCATCCATCCATCCATCCAGCAGCAGGATGGTTAATGTTGATGTGTAGGTTCCCATTCCCATTCCCATACCCCGCCGAAAGTAGCTTCAATTTGTTGTCTCAAGTACTTTCTTCGTTCTCTTCTATGCATCGTAAATATATATTATATCTACTAAACTTTTTATCGCTGCCATAAAATATACGGAAACACTTTTCGCATGCCCCCCCCCTCCCAATAATATCTGCGAATTAAACCTTTCATTTCACTTCACTTCCCTTTCACTGTCACTTTCAGTTAATAAACCGAACAACGAACAATCTTTTTGTCATAAAAAGCTTATGTCCCTGTGCCACATCCTGCATGTAACCACCAACCAGCCATCTGCATCCTGTGCTTGTGTAACCGAAAGACAGCTGCTAGAATCCCATGAAAAATGTTTTGAAAATTCCTAGACACGGATTTGTGGCAGGCAGGCAGGCAGGCAGGGAATGCTGCCACACACATACAGCTTTTTTGTCTCTCGCTTGTTAATGCAAAAATAATACGATTTAGTTAAGCATAAACCGAAAATTGCGTGTGTCAGCCATCAAAGTTTTGTGGCGTCTCCTGCCTTAGGCGCGGAACTTTTCTCAATTGAAGTTTTTCTTGGGGTGGGGAAAGGGAGGAAGGGGGAAGGGGTCGTCCCACTGCCGTGTGACAGCTGACCTACTAAATGCTAATCAGGAACTTGACTTCTGCTCCAAGTGCTCTCGAGGCTTCCATTCCGATTCAGATTCAGATTTGGCAGCACCGCCTCCGCCATGCCCCCCTTTTTCATTTGTTTGTTCAGGAAGGTAGAAAATAGTACGGAAGCACAAAAGGAGCAAAGGATAAGGCAGGAGCAGTGGCAGTGGCCGTAGCCAGAGACCCCTGGCAAAGGACAATGCAAAGAAAAACGAAAGTCAAATAGAAGTGAAATCATTCATGAAATCTTTTACAATTGACAAACACAGAGACAGAGAGAGAGAGAGCAAGAGCAAGAGGGGGAGAGATTTAGAGGGGCAGGAGAACCAGAGAATGGACCTGAATAAACTTGCCCAAAAGAAAAAAGAAACCCCAGAGAGAGGGACGACAGAGAGGAGGCAGCATCAATCTTGGAGAAAAATTAGGCAGCAGCAGCAACAGCGGGGAATGGAGAACGAACGGAAGAAACGATGGAAAGTGACCTAAATTTCCATTTCCATTTCAATTTGAAAAGGAGCAAAAGGCAAAGCAGAGCGTAAGGAGTCGTCGTCGTGCAGTGTGCAGTGTGCCAAAGGACCCCGACCCGCCCCGCTCCCAACGGAACAAAGAAGCCAAAACCTAAGCCTAAGAAAAAGTACAACCCAAGGGTGGGAGGGTGTTAGGGAGGTGCTGCCAGGGTTACAGGAGCTACCATTGCCATTCCCATTCCCATTTGGCAGATAAATTAGAGCGAATTAATTGCATTTCGTATAAACAAAGGCTAATTGGAACTCATTTCGCATGTAGGCGCTGTCGTGCATATCAAATGAGAGAAGAATAGGGAAGGGCAGTAGGGGAAAATCAGTGGAAAAGGCAGAGAGCGGAAGAGCCAAAGACCGAAAGACCGAAAGAACGAGAAGAGGCTGTGGAAAAGCCAAACAAGTTTTCCGTTTACACGTAATGCCCCCCCCGCCCATTATGGATGGGAAAGAACGAAAGTTGAACGAAGAACACCAAAGCAAATGATTGTCAAATAAATCAAAAAACAAAGCATGGAGATTGCTAGCAAAGAAAAGATGAAGTGCCTTGAGGATGGGTTGAGGAGGGGGTTGAAGGGATGTTTAGGGGTTAACAGAAGTGGAATGGGCTCTGGGGGGTTGAAGGACAGTCGAGGCAAAGGCACTGGCACTGCCTGTGACGGGAATCACGAAGGAGACGGGCAGGCATCTATCATCGGAATGGAAGGCGGAAGAGGAGGCCCGGCCCTGTCAAAAAGGTGACGAAGCCTTGTCCGGGCTTCCACCTATTGCACACATTTTCCAGGCTCATTTGTCAAATTATGAGAGGGCGAAAACTCCACACTGCCTTCGCAACCAAAACTCCAATGCCCAAAGAAATCAGAGCCAGACGAGCCGCAAATGAGGCAGCATTTTGACCAGAAACGAGGGATGGGGAAGCTCAAGGAAAGCAAGGACATGGCATGGAGGCTTAAAGAAAGGAAGGACATGGCATGGAGGCTTAAAGAAAGAAAGGAAACAGGAGGAGCAGGAGGAGAAACATGAAGCACGGAGCCATGAAGCATTTGCCTAAAACCAAAAGAAAAGTCAACTCAATTGTGGAGCAAGTTCTGAAGAGAAAAGTGCGTGTCCTGGAGTCGGGCCAAAAACAAAAATTGTCGACAACAATAACAACAGCAGAAAAGGGGAAAGAGGCAGCATTGCATCCATCCCATGACCCACATGGATCCATCCTTGTGCCTTCCTTGTGGGCTCTGGGCCAACCCGCCACTTGATTGATAGCCACATTTGCATGGCTGGCTCTCTGTGGCTCTGGCTCTGGCTCTGTAATGAGTCTGCCAACGGGGACAAAGAAATGGCACTGCGTAATGGAGACCAGAGACCCAACTCCAGCAAAAGAGCCACAAAAACGGATGCAAAACGGAGGCTGGTGGTGGCTGGTGGGGGCTGTTGGGGCTGTGGGAAACTAGCGTATAAATCAGGCCAGAATGACACAGTTTTTCCTCGGCTTTCTTTTTTTGGGTCTTAAAAATGAAAGCCATTTGGAGCGAGGTCTATCAGGAGAGAGAAGTTCCAGCTGAGATGAGGTTTTGGTTCTCCGCCTGTTCGCCTGTCGCTCACGACCAAAAATGATTTTTTATTTAACCCACTGACATGGCAACCCCAAAATAGGAAAAGCTTCCCCCCACCACCAGCTCTTACTCCTTCTGCTGCTGCTGCTCGTTATCCTGTCTGGGGGTGTGGCGGTACTCACTTGCTGAATCCTTTGTAGACCGTCGCATAGGACCCTTCGCCCAGTGGTTCCAGCTTGACGTAGGCCTCCTGCTTCCCAAACGGGGAGTCGCCCTGTGGGGAAAACAGAAACAGCCACAGCAACGGAAAAGTGAAAAATGTATCATGTTCTTGTTAATTAATTAACAAAGTTAGTTAGTTGTTGTTGCTACATTTAATTAGAGTATGATGTAATCAGAGAGGGAATTGAATGCCCACAGGAGGAGTGTTCTGCCGTGGCATGGGAAGAATATACGAATGAGTTTCAAACGCTTGCTGGCTCTTTTGTGTGTCTGTTTATTTTTGTTTTATTTTATAAATTCACACTCGCTTTTTTGGGTGGCAGATATCTTCCTCGTAAAAACTCTTCTGAAGAGTAAAAGTTCACCTTATTTAGTCTTTAAATGTTACAAAATATAAGAAATGTGAATGTGCTTCTACTGCACAAAGATTTGTTGACTTTCGATTGATTTTGGAATGTAATTACTGAGAATATATAACTCTCTGATGAGTCTCTTTTGGGTTCGGAACTCCATTGAATGTCTAGCAAAATGAATATCAAAGAAACTTCTTTTAAAAGGTGTAGGAAAAGTTGAAAAAATTCTGCATCAATACCTTGAGCATTATATATCTATATATGGATATATTAATTCAGATCAGTGCTATATATTACCTACAACTATACCTAGCATGAATTTCAAATGTATTTCGAATCGGGAACACTCAATTGCCGTAACAAAAGGGTCCCACCAAGATAAATTTCAAAGAGATTAAAAATTTTCAATAATACTTTTGGCATGCCAACAGCCGTCAGCTGATGGCTAGGCAGCTAGAACCGGTTGGGAATCACAAGTGCCAGCAATGTGCCGCATTTGCGTGAATGTATGCAACAGTTGTGTGCTGCTGCTGGCCTTCGCCTGTGAAAGGCTGTGCGGAAATGGGAGCATAAAATACTTACACCAAATGCACTGAAGCGTTTGCGTCGCGGATGCGGATCCTGCTTGTTGAGAAACACCTCGGACTTGGGTCTGGGCGGCTTCTTGGGACGCATGACCACATGCGAATGGTACTTCATCTCCTCACGGATGTCCTCGTCCAGCAGCTTGCTGTCGGAGGAGACGGACAATTGCCTCTGGACGCGATCATGATGGTCGGTGCTGTCCGTGCTGCGCCAGTCTGCAAAAACAGAATGCAGAAAGAGAATACGTAAGCAAAGGTACGACAAAGGTAAAGGCAACGTAATGGGAGAATGGAAAATGGCAAAGGAAAAAGGGCAGCAGCTTAATGAGCAGCAGAACCACTTAAAAACCAAATTAGTGGGGCCCCCAGCCCACCCCCGTGGAGCCGGCAGCGGACAACAGAGGCTTACAAGGGGACTCGTGCAAGTGGATAAGCTGCTCCTTCAAGTGCTGCTGGGGAAGCAGTCCCAGAAGTAGTCCTAGAAGTATTCCGCATTTCCATAATGAGCACAAAAGTTGAACTTTCGAGAGGGCTCGACCCCCTCATCCGCCCGCTCAACAACTCTCATTCTGCACATCATCAATACTCCTCCTACGTATAATGAAGCAAAACAGAGGTACAAAAAATAAACCGAGATCTTTTTGTGTGCCAAAAATCGTATTCAGACAACCTTGAAATGAGGGAAATGAATGGAAAACCTGTGGGGTGGGTTGGGTTGATGTTGCTGCTGCTGCTGCTGCACCTTTTGCTCGTTATAATAAAATGTTTCAAAAGCAGCAGAAGCCACAGAAGCGCCAACAGTAGCAGCAGCAGCAGCAACAGCAACAGCAACAGCAGCTGCTAAAAAGTTGGTCTAGGACAAAGTTGTGCAGTCTCCTCCAGGGCGCCTTCTTTCTCCCTCTGCCCCATACAGACAGGTGTGTGTGTGTGTGTGTGTGTGTCCAGGGGTGTGGATGGGACTGGGTCACCTAGTAACCTGCTGCTGCTGCTGCTCCGCCATTCATTCATTGACTTTGCGGGGAGCAACAGCAGCATTTGGCTTCTGGTTCTATTTGCCATTGGGGCGAGGTTCAACAGCCACGCCCCAGCCACAGCCACAGCCAAAGCCCCACATGGCAATACGGCAACACGGAATACATACGTTCGGTTCTCTCTGTTTGTTTGGTTTTCTATTTGAGCACTAATTACATTTTAAATTATGTTTGCTTTTGCTCTACAACAGAGTCTGAGTCTGCTCTGCAGCCGTGAAGTGGGGGAGGGCTCCAGGTGCCAGTTGCCAGGTGCCAGGTGCCAGGTGCATCTGCTTTCATTTGAAATATTTATATAATAACTTTCAGCGGATTGGCTCCCTGGCTCCCCGGATCTCTGCAGCTTCGTTGCACTTCTGGGCCGTAAATTACGCGTTGCGGCGCTTAAAGAGATAACCAACCAAACTGCAGAATGGATGGAGACGTACGGAGATTTTCCATTTAAGAATTGGCAGAGTAACAGTGCCCGAGACACACATAACACTAAAAATGAAGCAAATGTAGATGTAGTAACACACATTCCAGCACTTTGGCATTCGCAGCATGTTTCCCCATTCGTTCTGCAAAAAAACTTTACTCTTATTCTTATTTTATTTTTCCATTTCCACTCTGCCGAAAGCATAAAAAATTTAATATTCCCGCGCAAGATGTTCTTCCGGGGCACAACGCGTTTCCTTTTCCGCACCCCCCAACCGCCCACCCACCCACAGCAGTAGAGAAAACAGAAAGAAAATGCTGAAAAATTACTAACATAAAAATTAAAAATTCAACAGCAGCTGATTGTAGAAATAATAAAGAAAAAAGTTTCAGTCCGTTTCGTGGCACAGCTAGGGAGGAGGAGAATGGATGATGATCTAAGGATATTTGAAGCCAGGGAATATCCTTAGGAGTATGTTTGCTCTGTGCCCTGACAGCCGATTAAATTGCGAGGCAATATGCGAGAGCAGAGGCCATAAATGAAGCCAAATAGAACGAAAAGAAAAACTTCAATAGATATTTGGAAAATGCCTCTCTCGATGCGATGCGAAGACGAAGGCGCTCCTTCCGCCCGTCTAGCCATTCAAGTGGAATGGCATTTGGCATCGTTTGCTCCACTTCACTCCACTCCTCTCGCCCCGATTTTCCTGGCAAATCAGCGAAAATGCTGGAGCAGGAGAAGGGTGCGGAGCAGAGCAGACATTTGATTTGCAAAAATTGACTGAGCATTGGAAAAGTGCCTGTAAAATGCACGAAAAATGAGAGCCAAAGAACAATAAAGAGAAGAGCAAAGCAACAGTGCCGTTGGCAGCGCTTCCTTCTCTCTCACTCTCTCTCTCTCTCTATCTCTTTATCTCTCTGTCTGTTTTGGTATATTAGAAACTTCTTAAATTGAATTGCTCATGTGTGTGTGTGTGTGTGTGAGTGCCTCAAGCAGCCAGCAAATGTCAGCCAGCATTTTGGCAACGATAATTGGTATACTGAGAGTGTGTGTGTGTGTGTGTGTGTGTGTGAATGGGGCGCAGCGGAAAAGGAAATGGAAAATGACAATGGAAAATGACAATGGAAATGCGCGAGTTTCCATTTCTTGGCATTGGATTTTTGCGGGTCATCAAAACGATTATTGTTATGTGGCCATATATGTAGCTATCGATGCTATAGATATCGATTTTGTGTGATGAGGCGAATTAGGGCATAAGTGGCAACTTAAGAGGCCAGATAGAGGCAGGGGAAAAGCACTTAAAGATGGCTAAAAATATGCCACTAGAAGAACTTACTTTGGATTATCGGTTACAAATCTATTGACTGTGGAGATATACCTAAGTGAAGCATAAGAAACCTTAGGAGGGACTGGAGGAGCCTGAATATGGGGGATTCGAATACTTAAAGTTCTTTTGGGAAGGCATCCTATCGCTTCGCAAGATTAAGAGCTTCATAGCTGATTAAATGGGTAAAAACTGATCGATTTCTTGGGGAACTTTTTGGTAGTTTCTTCCTTTCCTGTTGATATCCTTTGCTGACACACTTTTGCTGGTTCTGGCGGACCCTTTTCCCTTTTGGAATTCCATAAACCCTTTTAGTGTTCTACTGAAGTGTTTTTATCACCCAGGGAATAGTGTTTTGCCCTGCCTTATAAGTAATATCCTCTTTCTTTGTTAACGCCTTCATATAAAGTTTTACAGCACCGCACCAAAAACAAATAAAAAAAGGTGTAAAAATCTGTGACGCGAAAAACTTGAAATGCAAACAGAAAATCAGTGCAGGAAGTCCTTGCACCAAAAAAAAAAAACAAAGAGAAAAAACTAAAATATAAGTTGAGGGAAATTCGCTTGTAAAATGAAAACAATGAAAATTATGCAAGCGCATCAAGGAAAAGCGTCGCGTTGCTCGCAAAAAAAAAAATGGAACTCTGATAAAAATAACACCAGGGACTGGGACAGCGACAGCGAGAGGGACAGGGAACAGGAGCAAGATATAGCAGCAGGAGCTGCGCCAGGGAGGTAGATATGGCGACAGGAACGACAGGACAGGGGGGGATAGGAGACAGGGGAGTATTCAGATTCTGGTGTCCGCGCGTTGGCAGTCGCTGATGTCTGCTGCTGCTCCTGGCCCTGCTCCTCCTGGTGCTGCTGCTTCTGTTGGTCCATGATGGTCCATGGGTCTGTCTCTTGTTGATATAGTTATGCAAATGCTATGCAAGGATGTCACGTCCTGCTGTGACTTAAAGCCACGCATGGGACAGACAGGCAGACAGACAGACACATGGGGCAGAGATACAGCAGAATGAGGCAGGAGGCGGCAGAAGTCTACTCTCCATATGTGCTGTGTGTGTGTGTGTGTGTGTGCTCTTCGTCTGGGGGGGCTGTTGTGTCCTCTGTTGTCCTTTTGCATTATTGCATATTATTGTAATTTCTGTTTGCTATTTGTTTTTGGCTTTGCAACAATATTTATGTTCGGTTGCCTCTAGAGGCTGGGAAACTACTGGAAATGTCATAAAAAATGAGAGGAAATCACAGCGCGGATTGTTGCAAAAGGCCACACTGGGTCACAGCCACGCCCACGCTGTGTGTGTCGTACCCGTACTCGCACTCGCACTCGTAAAAATGCATAAATATTGGGGACATAAAAGTTTTTACTTTTCATTTGCATAAGGATGAGTGTTCCGGCCCCCTGAAGGCCTTCTCTGCCTTTTGTTCATATTTATGCCAGAGACCCCCTCATATATATATCCCTATATATATGTCTGTATGTACTGTTATTGTTATTCATATCCGCGTGTCGTGCATTTGCGTAAAAATTTAATAAAGCGACACTCGAAAGTCGACACTTCCGGTCCCCTTTTTTTACCCTCCCCCTCCCAACTAACTGCCACTTCCGTTGCCGAATTTATTTGTGTGGAGAGGGCTTTGCCACAGCTTTTCCTTGGCCCTCCCGGAAATGACATTTTTGATAAGTGCAATGGCAACTCTGGCCACGGCAACCCTTGAGAGCCAGAGCCAGAGCCGGAGTCACAAAGTCCTGCCATCGACAACGAATTTTAAATTGCCTCCACGCGAAAAAAAAGGACTAAGGGAGTTGGTGCGGCAAGCGGGCACCCATTGGGAGCCTTTATGTGGCGACATCTCCTTGCCCGCCTGCCTGACCCCCTTTCCTCTTTTAGATCCACAGTGCTGTTTATGTTTGTGATTTATTATTCAGGCAAGAAATTAAATTTTCTCTTTTTACTGCATCGAACTCTCTACCACCACCCGCCATCCCTCCCTCGACTGTCTGTCTGCACGTTTTGGCAGCCGTGTTAGCCCCCCTCTTTTTAGCCCCGTTTCACCCACTCTTTCTTCGCTTCGCTCGCCCCTGCCATTGCCTTTGCCTTTGCCATTGCCGTTTAGTGCCTAAAATTTATTGTGTTGTTGTAGAATTCAATTACAATACAGAAGAGAGACAACGAAGGGACAGCAGAGGATGGCACCAGACAGACAGCCAGAAATCGACGTGAATTTAAGGGTAGCAGAGTCCTTTCCTTGGGTGAGTGCATGGAAGGGACACACGAAGGGTGTTGCTGCAATGCTGCATCCTCAAATGTTTACTTTGGATTCTCTCCATCGTCCGAAAGGAGGGAAGAGGTTACGGGATGGGGGGGACTGTTTGATTTTCGAGGGATGCAAATTTTCCATAAACATTTTAGAATATAGAAATTACTCAGAATATCAAAGCTAAAGCCATGTTTAAGCCTAAAAATAATCTACAAAAATGTTTTCCCAATATTCGCCAAATTGTAGAAAAAGATTTTCCTTGAACTTTAAAGGCTTTTCTGCTGCAGATATGTAATACGGAAAAAGCAATGCAAATGCTTTTTAATAGCCAATTAGAAAATTTTTTTTTAAATCAAAACAAATAGCTGAGAATCATTTTCTTTTACTCTCCCAGTTTTAAGTTTTTATGCAGTTACATTTGCTTAACTTTTAACTCTTCATCGGAAAGCTATAAGCTTTACTCCCTTTTGAAATGCTTCATAATTAAAAATTTTGATTCCCATTTTAATATTTTATAAGCTCCCAAATAAACTCTCCAATATTCTCTATTGTTCTATTGTTGAACATTTCTTCCTATTTTCCTGCTACTGCTTCTATCTCAATCAAAAAGTTCTTATTTTAATGGGCCCCCAAAAAGTTGTTATCCTTGTTTACCATTTGAGAGAATTTATAGTTTTCGGCCCAGGATTCAATTACGGAAGAGATGACAACTATTTGGGGGGAGGAGGGGAGACTGCATCCTAGAAGGCCGTCTGCCGCCTGCTGGCTGCCGACTGGGAAAGAAAATGTGTCTCAATATGCGAATGAAAATGATAGCCCGCTGCGTTTTGTCATTACTTTTGGCTGTCGCCTGCACACTCTGCATATTCATGCTACATATACCCACCCACCCATACAACTATAACTATCTGTGAGAAAGGATATCTATTTACAATGGGATAGGAGGATATTTTCCGTAATGGCACAACAATCAGTGGGAATCACTGAGGGAGGAGGAGCGGGAGCAGGAGCAGGAGCATCAGAAGGTTGACTTTGACTCTGCTTGACATCCATTTTAATGACATTTTCTTGAAGGCTTTGGCGCATAAAATATGACAATTTAAATTGCTGTCCAGGAAAACTATTAAAAGTCTCTGTGTCTGTGCCAGACGACAATTCCCCAAAGCAAATAAGAAAATTCAAACGGGGGAGCAAAAATGAAGGATATATGAAGGAAATGTAAGGAGTGTAATAAAAAGCATTTTACCTTGTGGTTTCTTATTATCATTTTTCGCAGATTCTTGGGCTGGAAAACAAACAGAAAAAAAAGAGGAGAAAAAGAAATGCGGGAAAAAGTGGAAATTAAAAAAAGGTTTGCAAGCAAAGTGAAAAATAAAACTAAGGAAAGGCTAAGAATTACTAAGGCTAAGGAAAAGCTTAAGACATACAAAAAAAAAAGAAGGATTTTAAACCCAATTTTAAGTATTTTCCCTACTCTTCTGCCCACTTTTATGTGCCACAAATCGAGTCATGGGCAAAAGTTTATCAAAATATGACCCTGATTTAATGATTTACAATCAATTATGAGTGTGTTTTCCCACTCGTTTTCATGAACTCTGAACTTTAGCTGGTCTTTTGGTCTTTTCGAACTTTTCTTGACAAATAAAAGCATAAATCGCGCGTAATAATTGGCCGAAAACAGTCAGGAGAAGCCAAACACAGCGAGGAGGAGCAGAGCTGTGCTGTGCGGTGCGGTGTTGTGGGGCACATTTAATGGCTTATACAGAAGCACGTTACATTGGCAATGGTCAGGAGCAGAGCGGATCGTCGTGGCAGCGAGGATATGGTCAGGAGGACAATGTGAAAAAGCCATAAAAGGGAGAAGGCAACGCCAGGAAGGAAAAATGCCAGCCAGTACGAAAGCCCAACAACAATCGAGTCGTAAAAGTCGTTAAAAGATTTACTCTATCCGTACACTTATTTCTGTTTTTCTGCGAGTGCTTTCTCTCGTATGTTTTGGATTTTTATTGAATAAGGAATTGACATTTGATTAGAGATTTCGGTTTGCGCTCTCTCTCTTTGCTTTTGGGAGCTGTGTTCTGCTGTTGCTGTTGCTTTGTGGAGTGTGTGTTTATCCCTTCCTTCCATCACTTCCAATTACTGGTTTATTTATTGTGGCCAAAAGAGCGGAAAATATGGTGAAAGTGCTGCTCGTAAATTGATTCATGTGCGAGGATTAACACCGAATATACGAGTATGTAGTGAATGCCCCACTGTCGGAGGAAACAACTCTTTTTTCGGGCTGCAGCAGGACTTCTGTCTTGTCACTTGATTGTCTTTCAATTACTCAAACCCCAAGGAATACCCCAAAAGCAGCAGACAATCGATTTTGAAGGGTAGTTTGGCAAGCAATTTCCAATTAGAAGAGGGACAAAAACTCTCATCTCAAAGGAAGGTCCGAGAACGAAACACGTACAAACAATTTTCAGTTTGGGGTTCCAGGAACGTGGCAAAATATTAATTGCTGACACGCAGGTCCAGTCTCTGTTGGGGGATCCTTTCTTTTTCCTGGGCAGGATTCGTTGAATTAATTACCCATTCCACATGTTGCATGCATCAATTTAATCGAAGACTCTATTAGAGGTTGTGCCTGGAATGTGTTAGATTCCAACACTTGAATGAGTGATGGGGCGAGGCAGGCACCAAGATTGTTGCCACATCAATGGCCACAGCAAGTCCCATGCCCCCATGCTCCCCAATGCGGCACACACACACACACACACACACGGGCTTAAGACTTCAACAACAGACTCGACTCGACTCGACTCGACACGACTCGTCGGACCACTTTGATGTTTCGTAATTAAGGAGTACAAATCCCTTCCTCGTTCGAACTTTTCCGCTCTCTTTATTTTCCTGCCACTCCACGAAACCAAACGAAGGAAAGCCACATCCTGTCGAGACAGCCAGACAAACAAAAACAACAACAAAAACAACCTGCCGGGGAAAAATGTGTGTATTACTTAACAAATTACATACAAATTACTTTACTTCGCTCCTCCACAGTTCCACAGCTCCAAAGCTCCCTTCCCTCCATCGAAGGGAAATCGCTTAACGTTTATAGGGAATATTTATTATAGAGCCCTCTCCTGATATGCGTCTGCCCGTCAGTCATGTCAAAATGTTTGCTTTTGTGTGCCTCATGTGGTTGGGGGGGCATGGGTTGAGTTCTCCTTAGAGGAGTTTTCTTTCTATTCGACATTTGTTTGTAATCCGCAAACAAAAACAGAAAAACAATTGAAGGAAAACCATATTCTGCCTGCAGGCGCACGAAGCTTAAGATACCCCAAACTATTATTATACCCTAAAAAGTTTCCAAGTCAAAGTCGAAACTCCGCAGCCGCAGCTGTGCGATTGTTTCCTCTTCCAACTGCGCTCGCAAGCATGATCGATCAAGTTCGTTTCGACTGCATGAAGCCGAAGCCGCAGCCGAAGCTGGGCGATTGTTTCCTAGTCCAACTGCGCTCGCAAACATGTTCGTTCATGTTCGTTTCGACTGCATGAAGCCGAAGCCGCAGCCGAAGCTGTGCGCTTGCTCCGTCTGACCTGCTCGAGCATGATCGATCATTTCTGCGCCTGCTCAAACATGGCCGCTTCTCAGCCGATTTTGATTATCTTAAGGTAGATTATGAATCTACATTTGTACATTCATATGTACATATAAAACTTAGATTTCCAACCTCTGATTGGTTTTCTTTGACTATTTATGTATATTATCGCCTCCGAATTCTTCACTGTGTCGAGTAGATATCATCAAATTTTAGGAGCTAATAATCTTGGAAAAATATTTATTTCTAGCGTTCAAAGTTAATTCCCTTTCGGCCTTCCTCGAAAACATTCTCAAAGTCACAATACCCTCTGCCTCTCAAAGAGTAGCTGCAACAATTGGTGGCTCATCATTCATCATGTCTGCCAGGAGTCGGCATAGGGGGAGGAAGGCGCCTTTTCAGAAACATATGACAGCATATTTGTCTGCAGAAGGGTTGTCGGTTGCCGTTGCCGCATCCGCATCCGCAGCTTTTCCGCCCGCCTGACACTCCGCATGTGTAGACATTTAAATTGGCTGAGAAAATCGCACGGAAAAGCGCCAAAAAACCCAATGACGCCGCTCCCAAAAAACCGAAAGACAAAAGCGAAAAATCTAAGAAGGGCATCAACAACAAATGCCAGACAAATGCCGACGTTGATGATAATTAAAACCGAAAGAGTGGCTTTCTCACTCAGGAGAGAGAAAGGGTAAAGAGAAAGGCTTTCTCTGGCAGAGGAAGGGAAATGAGAATGCGAGTGAGAATGAGAAGCATTCTCACATTTAAAGCAATCAACGCTCTGCTCTGGATGTTGGCGTCACCTCAAAGTGTTTTTTTTTTTCGGGGGCGAGCAGGAAACCCACGGCTTGAAATGAAATTACTAACGGAAAATTAGTGGCACACACACACACACATATGGCACATGTGGCACACATGGCGTATGCTTAATTTCCTGTCTGCCAGTCAGGCAGCAGGCGGCAGGCATTTTCCCCACATTTTCCCTGGCTTTTCAGCGGCACTCCTTTGGCAAAGTATGCGAACAAAAAGAGCGCTGAAAATGATGCTCATCATTGTGACACAATTAGCTGGAGTCCTGCTGCAGGACGGAGAGACGGACGGACGGACGGACGCACTTGCAACTTAACCCTAACGGATGCGCCGTGACGGGACGCGCCTCACGTTTCACGTTGCGGTTTGGTGGCAGCTCTGGTTTTGGGGCAGCCAGCATGGAAGAGAGAGAGAGAGGAGTACATGGGAGAGGTCCTGCCACTGCCACACACACACACACACACAGCCACTGCAATTTTCTCATTTTTCTATAAAAGTCATTTCATGCATGCGGAATTAGTTTATGTGCGCAATTTACAAAAGAAGTGCTAGCCGCCACACACAGAGAGTTAGAGAGAGCGAGAGATAGAGGAGAGTGGAGTGGAAAATGCATGCGGAAAATGTGTATGAAGAGGCGTGGAAAATGTCACACTTTACGCCAGGGTATTATGCAACATTGTTGCAGGTGTGTGGAAATGGGAGCGGATGGAGAGTGTGCGGGAAATGTCCAAAACTTATTTGGAGCTGAAATTTGGGCATAGAAAAGTGAAGAAAAAACAGGCAAAGAAAGAGCTAAGCTAAGGGAGCAGTTGTTCCCTCTTAATTCTTGAGGATATCATTGGCCAACCATCCCATATCCTGTGGGATGTAAGCAAGACTAATTCAAGTTCACTTTGGCTTGACCACAACAGCACACAACACAACCTTTATCACAAATTGATTTGCCACAAATGGCTCCATCAATGAGGATTTACAACCTCAATTTGTCCTCGTATGTACGCTGTCTTCTCTCCACGTATGCGAGTTTTCTCTCCATTTGCCCCAGCTCATGCTCCTTTCGTGCCATATCCCCGACATTTTGCTGCTTTTTTGAGCTACTTTTCTTCCTTTTTTTTGCAGCCACTCTTCTGCTAAGACGAAACGGAAATTGCACAATAGAAATGAAATGAATTGATTTCTAATACGATTTCTCGATTTTGTTCCGGGGGAAAAGCGCTGCAGCAGGAAGAGAGCTGCAGAACCAGTAAGAAATATAGGTACAATTTCCAGGACTAAGGAGAGCTTGGAGGCAGCAGAAAAACCAAGTAGACAAGGTAGGTAAAAGGTGAAAACTTCCACCCCCGGAAGATGCATTGAGTGCAACAGGAATCCAATTTATTTGCCGTGCAAATGGAAAGAGAGAAATATATTAATAAGCTATATAATGGGAGGGAAAATGGGGTAATAAATGGCTTCTGTTTTCACTGCTTTTTCTCAGATATAAAAACGAAGATTTATCAATAATATTTTTACAACATGGCTCGTAAAAAGAAATTAATAAGGAAAAACGAACAGCACAGTCCGTCCCCCAGTGGAGGGTTTCCATCTTTCGTATTCGTTTTAATTAACTTCAAAAGGTTTGCTCTCCATAAACAACCAGCCAGGCGCAGGCAGAGCACGGCCCGTGGGGCATAGTCTCATATCGACATCCACAGCCAGGATCCAGGAAGCAGGAGCCCACATTCTGGTTCTTCCTCCTGGACTGCGTTATTGGCCACTGATTTGCGGCAACTGCAAACAAAAGGCGCTGGGCGTGGCACTCGTCTGCTGCCACTGCAATATATCATCAGTTGTTTGTCAGACCATACAGCAAAAAATACAAAAACCACACACAAAAAAAGGGAAAAAAGGG